AAATAGGCTGGATTGAGCTCTTCTCAATGTGCAATTCGAGAAACCGTAGCATTCTCGATTTGATAGTAGATTTGGTTCCTAGTCGATCATTTTGCTTTTTAAGAAAACGTTCAACGTTCAATACATCTTTTCATCTTTTCATCTGTGAACAAAATAATTGTGATGGTCAATTCCATTGAAGCGCATCAATAAGTGATTTGCTCGCAATTTTCGCTTGTATTTAGTCGCATTCAATAGACAAATTCCCGCCAATCACGGAAATCTTCCAAGCCATCGACTGTGTTGAAATCCGCATTTCTTATGCATATACCTAATATCACTTGAAGTGTTTGACTTTACCGGTTCACCCATTTTCCTAGATTTTCATTTCATTGTTTCACTTATTATCTTTGTAATCCTACAAAACTGTTGACAATAATGAGCTAAGTTTTGTCTCTAGATAATTGCAAAGTTCATTAGAGAAGAATTCGAGAAGAATTCAATTGTTTTTGAGCGAAATCTCAGTTATCAAAAGCTGTAATTTTGAAAATTAATAATGAGCGGTTTCTTGGGATTCCATTTTATGTCATTTTCCAAAAAAACACTGTTGAACCCTTGAAATCTTTTAAAAATTACTGGTTCATCGGTTTGTTTTGGACGAGTTTACTAATGAGGGGTTGTCTTTGGCTTTGCTTTGTTGGCAAAAATTGGCTTTGCTTTGTTTATGTCATCAAAATTTTCTTTAGAGCTTTCAAATTTCTATCAACAGGAACAGATTTTTATACTTTTTCTTTTACTTTTTCAACAGGAACAGATTTTTATACTGTCTCTTTCAGTTATGCAAGCAAATAAACGAGAACGTTTCGCGTTCTTTCGACTACAAGAACACCATATTGCTTTTGTGAGTACGGTGCTTTTGTGGGGTGGGTTTTGTGAAGCAAAATGGGTCATTGTTTCTACATTTTTATGGTTTACATAAGATTTCGAAGGATTAGATCTTTCTAAGGATTGGATTTTTCTAAGGAACAAATTTTTAATGTGTTTAATGTGATAGCCTGGCTCTGGTTCAGAGGTTTTCCAACCGGATCCTAGGGATGTTTCTCGTATCTAATTTGGTATGGTTTGGTTGCTATTTGGGAGCAAATCTCATAAACCAAGCGGCTCTAAAGGGGAATGAGTTTGATGGAAATGAGTGAAGGGGAAAATGGAAATGAAAATAAAGGGAAATGAGTTTGATAAAGAAGCATAAAGAAGCGCTAAACGCAAAGGGAATTTGCAAAAGGAATGACTGATCACTTTTCTTCTGGACTTCTGGACTCTGCGCTCAGGTTAAATTTGAAAAAGTCAACAAAAAAAAGGGGCTAATCTATTTTGCAACTAATCTGTTTTGTTCAAAAAAGGTGCGTCTTTAGAAACTAAAGACTAAAAACTAAAGCTTTATATGAAAAAAGCTTCCACCAGAAATATTTCCAGTTTTGTTTACTTCTTTTTGTTTTTGAGTTTATCTTTTTATTTAAAAACTGGACTATGAAAAGTTCAATTGAAGAAAGATTCCTTAAAAGGCGCCAGAAATCAATAAACTAATGAAATCTTCGACAATAGCCTAACGATTGGTCTCAAATTTTGGAAGTACTGGACATGATACAGTTCTGTTCTGTTCAGTCAATCTGTTCAGTCAATTTGTTTGCAGAATTTTACACAAAACTAGGATTTACAGTACCGACCAATGAAATATGATATTAGAAAAACGATCGTCACTTTCGCGCCTCTGTCACTCCCTTGTCGTTGAGTTTAAACTATTAGTATTTCAATGGGTAGACGAGTTTTTCTTGGAGGTGAGGGGATTCACTGGCCAGGGGTTAATGAGGGTATTGCTGGAGGAAACTTAAAAATAATTTTAGTTGAAAGGGAGCATTGCATACGTAGTGTAGCATGTGTAGTGTAGCATGCGTAGTGTAACATGCGTAGTGTAACATACATAGCGTATCATGCGTAGTGTAGCATGCGTAGTGCAATAGGCGTAGTGTAGCATGCGTAGTGCAATAGGCGTAGTGTAGCAAGCGTAGCGTATCATGCGTAGTGTAACATACAGTACTGGACAATGAAATATGATATTTGAAAAATGATCGTCACTTTCGCACGTCTGTAGCTGCCTTGTCTTTGAGTTTAAACTATTAGTGTTATACATTTTCTGAAAGCTCTTTTCAAGGGCTACACAATGGTAATATTAATATTTAGAAATACGGTAAAGACAAGGGAGTTATAGACGCGCAAAAGTGACGATCTTTTTTCAAATATGATATTTCATTCTCCAGTAGTGCAGGTACTTGAGTAGACTTCAAAGCTGTTCCCGTAAATGCTCTAATAGAGAGCTACTCTCTAATAGAAAGCCAAAAAATCACGTCGCAAATCCGCGGGCATACGCGCCCCGCCTTTCTTGATCGTGGGGTTTTTGAGAAATTACATTTTAAAAGTTGATCAAAAAATTCTATCGACTCAAACTCAAAAGACAGTCTAATACATTGCCAAAAGGGTACGCCAAAAGGGCGATAATTTTCTCGGTACTTGTCGGTTATACATCCACAAAGACTCATCTCGGTTAAGCAAGAAGCTGACAGCTTGTGAGGAATGATTATTTTCAGTGAAGTAGAGTGCTCGCCTGAAGTGATCGATCGATTTTGACAACTTTTTAAACTCGTTTTCATTGTTTGAGCTTGCATTTAGCGCTAGGGTTTAGCTTCAGACTTTCAGACTTTTAACTTCAGACTTCCAATTAACATCTTAACTACAAATTAGGAATCAAGAATACTTTGAATATTCGGTAATTGTCGGTTATACATCCACAAAGACTCATCCCGGTGAAGCATCTCAGATCCGAGTCTTCTCGCTTATCGATTTTCGTTCGACTGATCGACTGATCACTTCAGACGACTGATCACTTCAGACGACCACTCTACTTCATTGAAAATAATCACTCCTCACAAGTTATCAGCTTCTTGCTTAACCGAGTTGAGTCTATGTGGATGTATAACCGACAAGTAGCATTTTTTCTCACCCTATAATTCCCTGATTCCCTAAAATTCCATGCTAATAAAAAAATCGAATCAATCAATGTTTAGCCATCGCTGTTACTTTACAATTTTTGTTGGCAGGAGCGGAAAACCCTTTAATGTTTACAGTTAGCGCTTATCCGCCAGTGCCAGTCATGGAAGTTTATCGAGGGATCGTAATTGGAGTTGGTTAAAATTATCATCTTTCTTGATAGATCATTGGATCTTTCTTGGATCATTCAATTTTCACTCTTTAGCTATCCGTTTGCTCCGTTTTGAGCAATTTCTCTGCGTTTGCTATCACAGCTTTCAATCGTACAGTAGGGTCCAAAAGTTTGGAACAATCACCTTCCGGCAACTTTAACTCGATGTAACTTGCGTTAAATACATTCAATTTTGTTACTTTAAAAACTATTTTTGTTGATTTTTTTGTGAACTTTCTGAATGTCATTTGATTATTTGATATTTGATCTTTTTTTTGCTTGCCTTTTTCTTGGAACACCCATTTTTAGGGGCCAAAAGTTTGGAACAATTTCAAAAATATCAATACATTTTTCATTTTAAGATGCCAAATCGTTCGAATTTGACGGAGTATGATAAAGAACTTATTGTGGCTGAAGTAAATCGAGGAAGAGCCGTCAAGAAGTCGCCACAACATTCGGTGTCCCATTCAGCATAACCAAGATTTATAACAAATGGAAGGTTTCCGGAAATGTGAAAAAGCACAACAAAGGGAGGCCAGCTAAACTGGATGAGCGTGATGAGAGGACACTTGTACTTCCATTTGAAGAATCCACGCCTCAATTCGCTGATCTACGTCGAGACGCCGAGTCAAGCTATGGAGTTTCGCTCACCAAAACGACGGCTAAGCGCATCTTAAAGTCATTTTATGATTTAAAAGCAATAAAATATTGCTGTTTAGGAGACAAGGACTCAAAGGAAGTCGTCCGTCTCGAAAGCCGTTGATTTCCGGCAAGAACGTGAAGGCTCGGCTCGAGTTTGCCAAGAAGTACAAAGACTGGTCGGCTGATGATTGGAGTGATGTATTGTGGAGTGACGAAAGCAAATATGAGCTCTTTTCCACCAATGGAATTCGATCATTAGACGTCCAATTAATCAAAGAAACAACCAAAGTATCAAATTCCAACAGTCAAACACGGCGGTGGATCAGTTATCGTTTGGGGTTGGTTACCTCCATTATCAACGGGCTTATTTGAATTTAGGTTGTTTTTCACGATACGGTGTCGGTCAATTGTCGAATCAATGGTATTTGGATGCAGCTGTTTATGAAAACATCTTGAAACCCATATGCTTCCACACGGCAGAAACAACTTGGCCAACGACTTCATTTTCATGCACGATAATGATCCGAAGCTTACGGCCCAGCGTGTTAAGCAATGGCTTCAACAAAAAACGTCGATGTCTTCAATGGCCGGCTCAAAGCCCTGATCTGAACCAATAGAGCATCTTTGGGAGCATTTGGACCGACAAATCCGAACCAGAAACTTCACAAAAACATCAGAACTCATGAAGCGCTTGAGGAGGAATGGACTAAGATCCCAAGGCAAATAATTGACAATTTGATTGATTCGATGCCAAATCGTTGCGCAGCTGTTATTAAAGCAAAGGGATACGCCACAAAATACTGAATTTTGCCGGTTAATCGTTAAATGAATTGTTATTTTGTTGTTCCAAACTTTGGACCCCTAAAAAATGGGCGTTCCAAGAAATAGAGCAAGGCAAAAAAAAAGATCAAATATCAAATAAAATCAAATAGACATTCAGAAAGTTCACAAAAAATGCAACAAAAATAGTTTTTAAAGTAAAAAATTTGTGTGTTTTTTCCGCAAGTTACATCGAGTTAAAGTTGCCGGAAGGTGATTGTTCCAAACTTTTGGACCCTACTGTATATTCACTTTACCGATTCGTCTCTTTTTGCTTGCGGATTCTTTGGGAAGACTGGTGTTTTCGATGTACGCTGGAGGGATCTTTTACTGCACCTCGTAGTTGGTTTTGGGATAAGTAAATGAAGATTGGGAGTAGTGATTGAAATTTGGTAGATTTAGAATTTAGATAGAAATCAAGACTAATAGATCCTTTGCACAGTTCAGATCTGAAATCATCTACCGTACTTGTCGCTAAACTATTGGGTTGGTGAATTGGAAACTGCCGGGCTTTGAACTAAAATTTATTCAACCTAAAACCATGAATTCATTCCAAATAATTTCCATTATTATTGACGGCTTCTGCCCATTTTACAGGCAATTTGCGGATTCCTCTTTCGTAGTAGGATTTTGGTTTGTGTGTGAGACAAGTGTGACACTCAAAAATGGAGGACTGGAGATGTTCATATGTCCCAGTTTGAGCACTTTCTTCAAAAGAAACCCATTTTGGTGTCAATAGAAAAGTTGTAGAGAATCAAAAATTAGGCTTATAGCCAAATTTCCAAAAAGATACACTTAGTAGTTCCGCTTAAAATGCAAGTTTTGTGAAAATTCGTAAATTTGGCATTTCTTGAAAACCAGTTTTTGAGTCGTTCTGAAAATTTGGCTATAAGCTTGATTTTTGATTCTCTACAACTTTTCCATTGACACCAAAATGGGTTTCTTTTGAAGAAAGTGCTCAAACTGTCACATATGACAATAGCCAACAGTTTTCAATTCACCAACCCAATATTAGCCAAAGATAATAAGTTGCCAATTTAATAAAATGTTATTAATGAATGTTATTAATGAATTAATGAATTGAGCAAACGATTCGATCGCATACTTTTGCAGAAAGTTTATCACATAAATTTTAGCACTCAAAATTATCCGTGCAACCCATCGTTCGCCATCTTTCTACTCGGGCTAGGAAGCTACATGGAGCCAGCCATCAATATCTCGTTATTCTGCCAACTTGGTGAGTAATTATATCCCATCTTATAGCTCTTTATGAGTTATAAGATGTTATAAGTTAATGGAATCAAAGTTATCATTTATTTAGGTATGTCAATGAATCGTTACTTTGCAATATGCCATGATGGCAAATACTTCCACAGAACGATCAAGCTTTCCTATCTTCAACTAATCGTTGCATTGCTGGCGCCCTATGCTTTCTATCATGGTATCGTTTGGTTGACAGGTTTGTCTTCTGATCTTCTTTTCTTTGATAAAATGCACAGGTGGGATAATTTGGATTTGAGTACGCTAGAAATGGTGAAAATGGTTTCTACGGGGTGGCCGCAAATGATCGACTCCCAGTTTTTCAGCTATTTCTTAGCTTTTGCGAACCGGTTTAATTCCTTTTTAATATGAAAATTGCGATAATTTTTTGCGGATAATTTCCCTATACAAATTGTAGAATGCTTTTGAGGTTTTTATTAAAGCCTTGGAAGATCCTTAGCACGCAACTCAATCTGTAGCTTTACACGAACAGGTTTTAAGGGCTCACACATCGTTTGTTTAACTCTTTTCTGGTTAAAAGCTTAAAACAAGTGTTTTTTAGCAAAAATCTTCAACTATGTTGTGTTTTTATGAGCTCGGGATGAAAAATTCATCTTGAATCTTCAAGAAATCTTCAAGAAGCCGATTTCTTCTTGAATCGGCTTCTTGAAGATGAATTTTTCTTGAAACTGGCAAATTTCATCGGTTCATTTCAAAATTAACTTAAAGAGTTATTCAAATGTTACTCTTAAAGCTGAAATTTATCAAAAAATGCGAGAAAACTGATTTGAACTTTGAATTTTGAAGATGAACAAGAAAGAGCTTGAATAATGTTGCGTGGCAAGAATTGTTTTGGGCGTAAGGAGAGCCCCATGGGTCTTCGGAGGTATGGGGATGACTCTGGAGAGGCATCCCCATGAGTCTAAAGTCCAAGGTATAGGGATACCTGAAAAATGACGGACAATTCTCATCTAATCTATCAACACCGGTGAATTTTGTTAAGCCGGAGCCATTCACCGCTATGTTTGTTCATAGGTTTATTTTGATATTTTCGTGCTGGCTTCCAAAGGCTTTAATCAAAATCTCAAAAGCATTCTACAATTTGTATAAAGAAATTCTGCTTAGAAAATTATCGCAATTTTCATATTAAAAAGGAAATAAACCGGTTCGCGAAATTGCAGCCAAGATATAGCCCAAAAACTGGGAGTCGATCATTTGCGGCCACCTCGTCGAAACGCACCATTTCTAGCGTACTTTAAATCCGAATTTTAAGCAAGACTACAAGCTATTTGTGTAAGAAGTAAGCAATTGGCTGCGTCAATAGTCAATTAATGAACCCGATTTTCCAGCGCATGCGCCGATTGTTAGTGCTTACGTGGAAATCTTTCTCATCACGCTCTTCATCTCGATATTGGTTTCTCTGGATTGGATAACTTTTTACAAACATCATGTAGGTAGAAGAGCACTGTAAGTAATCAAATTAGCATTTAATACAGTTCAATAAAGCAATCTACAGATTTATTTCCTTTTCTCTACCGATTTGGTTCCTTGTCTCTACAAATTTGATTCCTTTTCTTTACAGATTTGGTTGCTTTTCTCTACCGATTTGGTTCCTTGTCTCTACAAATTTGATTCCTTTTCTTTACAGATTTGGTTCCTTTTCTCTACAGATTTGGTTCCTTTTCTCTACAGATTTGGTTCCTTTTCTTTACCGATTTGGTTCCTTTTCGCTACAGATTTGGTTCCTTTTCTCTACAAATTTGGTTCCCTTCCCAATTTGGTTCCTTTTTACGTTTGATTCCTTGTCCTATAGTTTGTTTCTTTACAGTTTGGTTCCTTTTCTCAACAGATTTGCTTCCTTTTCTTTACAAGGACTTTACAAGTAATCCAACTTTTAGGGTCGACAAAGTAAAAAGCGTAAGCAAGCCGAGAGGCGACTAGCGATTCAGGTAGCAGACTTGATCGGGCCTCTAATCAACGTTTTAGATGGTTGGGAACAATTTCCAATTTGTTCTCCACTATTACTTTGTCATCTTTACAATGATCTTGATTGTTCCACTAAATTGGGCGGCTTTCCAATTCCTAAATATTGTCGACAAATTGATCATGAACGCGGTGGCACAGTTTTGGGGAGGGTTCGCTTTTTTCCGTCTTTTCTACAAGAAAGAATTGTTTAGATTGTTGACAACAGTTTGCCTTTGCCGTGGTCGTGGAAACAAAGTACAACAAAGCAAACCGATCGTCTCCTCAATTCTTGTCGAGTCGAGAAAATCTCATACTCAGATTTCTCGAGTCAGCCCAAAAACTACGTCGATCAATACAAAGATTTCTTAATCGATTAACGTTAATCTTCTAAATTTTGTTTATATTATTTTGAACAAATTTCGTTTTCAGACTTTTCAGACTCATTCAATGCAATTCTAAACATCAAATGTTCACGAAAAGCTTAGAATACATTCAATAAATGATTAAATAAGTGATTCAATGTTTACGAAACGTCACTTTACTCTTTACAGGGTGTCGCACAATTACCCGGACTCAGTTCAGCTTCTTCAGCTTAGCGAAGAGTCAATCAATCGACCTAATTTTTTGTATTATCAAATTGAATATTTCTTCTGCAATGTGTTCTCTGGATTTGATCAGAACAGTTTCTAAACTTTTGTTAGAGCGCTGCAAAGTTGCGACACGCGTTTCCTTCGGCGGAGTCGCGATTTTTAACCCATTCGAAACTTCTGCAGCGAATAATGGCTGCAGCAAAAACACAGGAACAGACCGCTGCAGCGATTATTCGCTGCAGCGCTAATTGAGCTATTTTCATTCAATTAATTGGTTTTTTTGCTGTTTTTCAGCATTACATGTATATTCCAATTGTAACAGATCTACAAATTAAGTGGGCAAAAAAGACGTGTCATATTTACCCGCAATCAATGCAGCCTCTGGTTTTGCATTGAAATGTTCCATAATATTGGGTTGGGGAGAATGAGTCGGCGCCGAAAATCAAAAAAATGTCTAAAACTTCTATTCGACTTCGTCAAATAATATGCGTTTGATATCAGTAGAATGGTTAACTAATTCTCTACAAAATGACATTTAAAAGAAAATTCAAACAGCGCCTCCGCTCAACAAAGGATCATTTTTTTCACAAAAACTACAAACTGTCACCTAGAAAAAACCATTGGTGGGATCTTCCTGCAAATTTGGCAACTTAAGTAATTGAATGTGCTCTATCTTTTTTATATAAACACCAAAGAAGATGTATGTGAAAGAAACTGTTCAAATGATGAGTCGGACTCTTTGTCATTTTAACCAGCTGCGTTTGGAAGTTCATAAACTCCACGAAAGAAAAGCTTTGTGGAATCTCTGAAAAGTGATTTTGTAGAGAAATAGTGGATCCTTTTGATGAAACCAAACGTATGTTTAAAGAAGGCTTTATGTGTGCAAAAAGTCCCTTTAAAGTTTGGCGCCGACTCATTCTCCCCAACCCAATAGCTCTAATCTTATAAAGCCGATCTCCTGCAGGATCCAGTTCATTATCACAAAGACGCAGCTTTCGAAGAATAGATTCAAATTTTGCTCTTGACATAATGTGGGAGATGTGGGAAAATCCTCCTAATCCAGGCCTGCTACTCCAGTAGTCACGAATCCTCGGTAATTTGAAGCTTCCCATTTGAAGATACAGAGCCAGGAAGAGCTTGAAAGATTTTGCATCGAAATCCTGCCAGTTTGTTTTCCTTTTTCCATGTTTATTATTGGGTTGGGGAGAATGAGTCGGCGCCCAACTTTAAAGGGACTTTTTGCACACATAAAGCCTTCTTTAAACATACGTTTGGTTTCATCAAAAGGATCCACTATTTCTCTACAAAATCACTTTTCAGAGATTCCACAAAGCTTTTCTTTCGTGGAGTTTATGAACTTCCAAACGCAGCTGGTTAAAATGGCAAAGAGTCCGACTCATCATTTGAACAGTTTCTTTCACATAAACCTTCTTTGGTGTTTATATAAAAAAGATAGAGCACATTCAATTACTTAAGTTGCCAAATTTGCAGGAAGATCCGTCCAACCGTTTACTCTAGATGACAGTTTAACGATTTTGTGAAAAAATGGTCTTCTGTTGAGCTGAGGCGCTGTTTGAGTTCTCTTTTAAATGTCATTTTGTAGAGAATTAGTTAACCTTTCTACTGATATCAAACGCTTTTCATTTGACGAAGTCTGCGAGAAGTTTTAGAAATTTCTTTGATTTTCGGCGCCGACTCATTCTCCCCAACCCAATAGATTCGCCTACTAACATATTGATTAATTTGACGTCGATAAAATAAGAATAATAATCGATAGGATCTTGAAAAGTACTGAAGTCAAATCCAAATCGTTCTTCATCAAAAATAAATGGTGTAGGAGACTCTCTTACATCTTTCCAACCATAAATAAACTGCTTTGGAGTCAAAAATATCAAAAAAGGGCTTGGTCCGTAGACGAAAAAAAAGAAAAAACGCTGCGGTTTCGAATCGGTTAATTTCATCAATCTATCAGTTTCATCCGCTTCTTTCATCAGCAAACGTTTTGCACGCTTGTTTCTCCACCCGAGTTGATTATGATTATGAAAAGTTTTTATATGCAAATGCATGTAAATTTTTTTTATGCAAATAATTTTGCTATTACAGAAAAATGATAACAGAAGTGTTCGAATTTCAAATTTCGTTTTCAGACTCATTCAATGCAATTCTAAACATCAAATGTTCACGAAAAGCTTAGAATGCATTCAATAAGCTTAGAATGCATTCAATAAGTGTTTAAGAAGCGAAGCGTCACTTTACTCTTTACAGAGTGTCGCTTAGAATGCATTCAATAAGTGATTCAATAAGTGTTACTCAGTTCAGATTCTTCAGCTTAGCTTAGCTTTCTCCTTAGCTTAGCTTTTTGAGCAGCGTATAATGAATCACGCGCTTCTTAAATCACCAAACAGAGAGCATCACCTTCTTTGGATGAAGATCGGATTTCGGGAACAAATGAAGTGCTTCTCCTTTGCCAAGCCACTCTGAATTTCCTTTCGATTGTCATATAGTATCAACTTTTCATCGCACGTGATTATCCGGTCCAAAAAAAGATCTCTGTTGTTCCGAAATTTCAAGAAAGAGGCAGCAAGAAAGCGTATAAACTTCTGGCGGTCGTCCAATTGATGAGGTATCCACTTCTCTAGTTTTTCAACCTTTACAATATTCTTCAAGTGATCACTTATGGTCGAAATCCCTTCATTGAAGTGTTTTGCTAATTCTGGCTCAGTGGTCCGCGGATTGGCTTTGCCAAATTGTCCTAAATCATCATCGTTAATGAGTCTTGGGTGACCGCGACCCTTCTTGTCATCAAGATCCTCGTCTTCTTCCCGGAATCCTTCCCGGAATCGTTTGAACCAAAGTGTAGCGGTTCTAACAGAAGTAGTCTCATGACCAAATGCACGATTGATGTTTTCGACCGCAACCATTGCGCTATGTCCAAGCTTGAACTCATACAAAAAAAAATTTTGGTTTCTTGTAGAGAAAAGGAATCAAATTCGTAGAGAAAAGGAATCAATTGGCCTTTTTTATCATTTGTCGATTTCAAGAAAGAGGCAGCAAGAAAGCGTGTAAACTTCTGGCGGTCTTATTTCGAGTCCCTAAAATTAATCATTGTTAAGATAAACAACATTTTTACGACATTGTGAAGAAAAGCTATTAATAATTTTTCTTTAAACAAATCTAAAAGAATCCGTACTTAAAAAAAATCAAAAACAAGGCCCGACCTAAATAAATAAATAAATAAATATCAAAAAACGCAGTTATTTTCTGGATTACCTAATAGTAGGAAATAAAAAGTTTTATAAATATCGAATGAAATTATTTAGGGTTAATTTAGGGACATTTGGGGTTAATTTTGAACAAAAACGTGGTTTCTGTGGCTTGTTTGGCTTCAAATCGTCGTTTGCCACAGCCTGTGAGCGGTGTCCTCGTTTCAGATCTTCCCGACTTCCGTCATGCTCTCGAAATCTTTTGAACCAGTTTTGACATTGATTACCAGTGATAATATCTTTCCCAAATACGTTACAAAGTGATTCATGCGATTCCGTTGCTGTTTTTTCTTGTTTGAAATACAGCATACAAATACGAAGTAGATATTTGAGGTCGTCTAGCATCTAAAAGGTTTTTTTTTATTAAAATTCTTCAACTGGAAATAAAGAAAAGACGTGTAATAAAGCACAATAATTATATGTTTAAAATAGAAGAGATTGCGGTCGGATTAGTATCCACAGCGTTAAAACCCATAAAGAGAAACGCAAACGAAATTTCAATGTCACCAACCTGTCACCAATAGAAGCACAAAAATTTGAAAAAATTTCGTATCATAGGTTCTACAAATTCGTGTCCTTTCCTTTACACCCACGTAGTTCTATTTGCAGAAATTTTGAATTTAATATTTCCATCAAAATCGCTTTCTGCTTTATTAGATCGGCTATGTAAATCGCGATTTTTTGAGTTTTTGATTTATGAGGTACATTTTTTTGGAAGGCGGATTTCTATTTGTGACATCAAAATGAACGACCAAAGCCTAAGCCCAGCGGGCAGTCGCATAGAGTTTGTGAATCTTTTTTGTCATCTTTGTGATCTACTTTTTGATCTATGAAGCTCTCCAAAAAAGGCTTTTTGAACTTTTTTTGGATAGATTTTTGATGCTAAAATCAAGTATAAAAGAATTATTTTTTGAAGAGGTGAACGTGATTCGAAAACATTCGAAAAAAGGAACGATGAGTGTTCTTTTGATTTCTGTCGTTCTTCTCATTCAACAGGTAGATTTAGAGAAATGAATAAACTGTTTTGACGAGATCTATTAGCTCACCAAATTTCTTTTAGATCAACGCTGAGGATTGTCCGCCAGTGCCGGCCTCAGTTACATGGGACCCAATTGGAGGTGAAACAATTGACAAGAATCTAATTAATCTAATTCATCTAATTAATCTAATTAATCATTGAAATTTGTCTTTTCACATTTATTCTCAAATTTCCGACGGTTTAACTGATTGTTTCTCTTGCAAATCCAAATTGCTATATTCTTATATAGCTTAAGAAGTTTATGTAGCTTCTCTCCAAAGCTATATTCTTCGAGCTTTCTAGTTGTAAGTCGAACATAACTTGAAAAACCGACTGAGTTTATGAAACGAGTTTTGTTTTGTCTTGTTTGGTCTGAGTTTTGTCTTTGTCAATGATTGAGTGGTAAATATAGTTTAAGACAAAATCTGTAATAGTACCGCACCCCTCTCGTACAGTCGCGTAGTCGCAAAAGTTTTTTAGTATTTCATTTTTTTCGAAGCGCTCGTACTTTCAAAAAATGCATCTTTGGTATCAAAAAATAGCTGAAATTCAGGGCTATTTTTTGATATCTAAGAGTGCATTGTAGCTTAAACCAGTGTCAAGAAAAACTAGTTCAAAGATAGACTACGCAACACTCCGCACCGTCATTATGGGCGTGGGGTACTATTACAGTATTTACGGTAGCTAAATATTCACTTTTTTCTATTGACTTTTTCTATTGACTTTTTCTATTGACTTTTCCTAACATTTATGTTCAGAGGCTAATCCCGATTACTGGGGATATCAAGCATGGTGCAGCAGTGCCAATGGAAACTATTACTCGTGTTACAACGATGGAACTTCTGACAAGTGCTACTTGAAAGCCTGTGATCCATTGCCAGCAAGCGTTACATCAGATCCAGTCGAAGGTTTGACTTAAGGAATTTCGGTTTTACTCTGATACCGATGCCTCGGTTAATCGAACACAAATTTGAGTACAATAAAGGTGCCAAATTTAAATTTTAAATCAAAATCTGAAAAGCTCCGAGTCTCTACTTTAGATGCTAACTTTCAATTCATGGTGGGTGGGTGTAGTAATCGAAGCATGCAGTGTTACTTCGACGGTGTAGCAAACAAATGCTATTTCGATGTGTGCCCACCATTGCCTACAAGCATCACATGGGGACCTGAAATAGGTTGGCTGATTACATCCATCGATGATCGATAACTTTTAGCTGAAGAGAGGATTGCTAGATGTTTTAAATCGACTTAGGTAAACGAGATCAATTAGTGCAAAATAGAAAACTGATTACTGCAGAAAATATGTAAAAGTAGCAGAAAGAATCAAATGTTTTATTGAATATTGTTTTCGATTTGGTACTAACTGGTCAATTGGCACTAACTGATTTGCACAACTAACTAACTGATCTCATTTGCCAAGTCTAGTTATAAACAAAAGCAAGTAATGTACAGGGTGGGCCAAAATTACCACTACGTATAAAAAGCAACTCAAAAGGGCAAAGATTTTTCTTAAAAATAACTTTTACTGTCTCATAACAATTCATAGAAACTATTCCTTTTCAAACGGAGCTTTTCAATAGCTTTTACACAGGCGTCCAAACGTCGTAGAAAAGCGTCGATCGTGGCGAGAAGGTATAGCTCTTCCAGCTCCAGCTCTTCCAGCTCCAGCTCTTCCAGCTCCAGCTCTTCCAGCTCCAGCTCTTCCAGCTCCAGCTCTTCCAGCTCCAGCTCTTCCAGCTCCAGCTCTTCCAGCTCCAGCTCTTCCAGCTCCAGCTCTTCCAGCTCCAGCTCTTCCAGCTCCAGCTCTTCCAGCTCCAGCTCTTCCAGCTCCAGCTCTTCCAGCTCCAGCTCTTCCAGCTCCAGCTCTTCCAGCTCCAGCTCTTCCAGCTCCAGCTCTTCCAGCTCCAGCTCTTCCAGCTCCAGCTCTTCCCAAGCCTTTTCGAGCGCTTTTTTCAAACTATCAACAGTTTTGTGTGGCTGATAGCGTCAACTGATAGCATTTGTGATTTATTTTTCTAGCAGGCCTTTAACTTGAGCTGGTTTTTGATGATTCTTCTAAGGGATGTTCGCTCTGTATCCCCATTTTTTTGAGACATTTTCCGCACCGATTAGTTTGGCGTTTTCAAAAGGCGATTCCTCACTTTTTCTTGAGATTTTCGGAAGTTGTTACCGTTCGCTTTCTTCCATTTCGCTTTCTTCCATTTCGCTTTCGCATTTGCGCGTGAGTGAGCATTGTAACGGTAATTTTGGCGCACCCTGGATAATGAATTTGTCATCATCACTCATGAGTTTATTTTTCTAATAAACCAAGAAGCTATTATTTTTAAAAGAAATTCAAATATAAAAAAAAGTATGTTCAGTGGCAACTTTTGATCAATACGACGATGGATGCAATGGTAATCGTTTAAAGTGCTACAATGATGGTGACGCCGATGGATGTTATCTGCCATTTGTTGGTTTTTAAAGAGTAAAATTATCGCTGAGAAGCACTAAAGGAATTATGCTGTTTTTCTTGAACATTAGTGTCTCCGAATTTGTGTTCAACTTCAAAAAATTGATTTAAATGGTAATATCTAAATTTTGATCTAAAAGAAAATGCTTTTTCTGCTAAAAATGGTTTAAATGATCGAAAATTTGAGTCTAATTCCTAATTCCGAAAATTTCAACCCATTTCGGAAAGTAGTATGTTAGGACCGATTACAGAGAATACCGTATTCACTTTCAGAAAGGCCCTTGCCCGTCAAAACCCGCTACTGTCAATTGGGCTCCAGTCGGTCGTGAGTTCATTAAAGCATTTACGAATACAGTATTCTGTTTATGTTACTGTTTACAGAACTTGCAAAATACCCAAGTAGAAATACCGTATTTATTTACATTTACATTTTTATTTATTTACATTCAAATTCACTCTTTCTCTTTAGCCGCTCGTTTTGACATGTTCATGGAGAGAGCGTGTGATTTGGGCCAAGATTGTTACAACGACGGAGAAACCGACCAATGCTATAAGACTGAGGGAAGGTGTATGCCGAAACCGGACTCGGTCTTTAACGAACCCACCGGAGGTTAGTTGAAGGGAATGTGCGCTAAAATACCTAGACCCAATTAGAATGGACCACTGAATACTCCATGTTATCTCTCGAGAATGGCTCGGCTGATCGGCTCGGCTGATTTGGCTGAATCTTTTTGGCTATAGTTAGACTGCTCCCATTTTCATCAAAAAAATTTGGTAATGCTAAAGTTTTCTATGAACGGAAGAGAAGTAGAAGTGCTTAAGAAATTTCATTTGCAATTTTGGTTGGGGGGCACCGCAGTGACGATTTTTGATTGGGGATGGGGTATTTCAGTGCAAAGCCGTAGAAATATTTACAGCTAATCGTAAGAATAGCTTAAATTTGACTCTTTCTAGCCGCTATCGCTGGCAAGTGCCCCGAGGGCTACGCGTGTTACCATGATGGGGACATCAATCAATGTTATTGTCATGACATTGCCGGAATGTACATGTGAGTTTTTTGTTTAACTTGTTTAAACAAAAAAGCTAACTAAACAAAATTAGGAATCTTCACAAATTTTCAAATTTTGTTGTTGAGCTAATGAGCGTTTGTTTAACCTTTTTTAATACCGTATTTATTCTAATAGAAGCGCGGGTGCTTCGATTTTTCGAGCTTCCACATAATTGCTTCTCTTGGAGGACGCGCTTCTATTTTTTGATGGCTAAACATTGACGATGACGCATTTAGCCTAACTATACTTTGTAGCCACCCTATATATCCTTAAATCCTCAAGACTGAGGGTATTCAGTCTACTAAGCTGAATATCCATAATTGCTGCTTCTAATAGAGGCTGCGCTTGCACTACTATTAGAATAAATACGGTAATTTTTGTCTTTGATTGTTGGGTTCGAAAAAAACTAGACTAAGTAATAGTAATAAATAAGTTAAAAAAGGTTTAAAGTTTCATTTTAAAGTAAGAAGAAATTGATAAAATATTGTAAAAATTTCATATTTTAGTTGTCACGCGGGTCCATGCGGTCAATTGAGCAATTTATGCGCAAAAACGTGTGGCTTTTGCGTTGGACCGGGACCCGCTTGGCCCTACCCAATGACTGCAGCACCAAATATTGCATATTGAGGCTCCAATCGAAGATCTATGCATTTTTTTTTGTAGTTCTTCATCTTTTTTTATTGAGAGAGTCTAGATAAAGGGTTTAATTGGGATGTCAAGTCAAATCTCATCAAAAAGAAACACTGAAATATCTACAGGGGGTGGCAAAAGTTCTGGAGCCGCTTTGAAAACATTGCAGAAAATTTAGCTCACGCTTTTTTTTGTGTCTCGTATACTTTTTTTCGTTTTTTCGAGTATAGTTAAGGTGATTTGTTACAAAAATTTTCTTTTTAGGAGACAATGCGAAAGAATGAACGTCAAAAAACGACGCGATGTGATTCTCGGATTATACCAAGGCGGAAAAAATAGCCCGGAAATTGTAAAAAATATCCAAAAAGCAAACGAAATATCCAAAAAGCATCGTCAACAAAGCAATTAAACGCTAGAAGGAGTTAAAGAAGAACAAGGATTGCCCTCGAAGTGGTCGACCACCAACTTCCGTAACACCTACAAACATCAAAAAAATTCGCTGTCAAATTCGCCAAAACGAGCTGCGGTCGATGCAAAAGGTGGGCAAACAGCTTAAAATTAGCCCTCGAAGCGTTGGAAGGATTGTTAAAGAGAAACTAGGATTCTTTAGCTACAAATTGGCTAAAGCACACTTCTTGGGTGACGAATCCAAGAAGAAACGAAAGTGTCTAGCAAAGAAGAGGCCGACTTGCGAGGATCCTCTTCACCGATAAAAAGATTTTTTCTATCCAGCCATTGCACAACCGCCAAAATCATAGACAACTTCTCAAAAGAGGTCTGAAGAACCCATTTGCGGCAAATTTTATGGTTAGAAAGCATTTTCCAGCTTCGATTATGGTGTGTGGAGGTATGTGTGCTACAAGCAAGACACCGCCTGTTTTTTTGGACAGAAAAGTCAAGATGAATGCTAAAGACTACCGACAACTGGTATTAAAAGATGTTTTGAAACCTTGGCCAACAAATCACTTAGAACAAGCTGGTTTTTCCCTGCAACAGGACTGGGCTCCGGCGCATGGGGCTCACTCAACTCTCAAGGATTTTCACCAGCTCGTAGTTATTGTGTAGTGTACGTCATGTTTTATCGTTTATCATGTTGATACTTCTCACAAAGTGCGCACTAAAGAATTCCAATAAACTGCATGAAATCGATTGTGCCCATTCGCTTTTGAATACTCTGGGCTACTATACATTAAATAAACATGCTTTAGAGAATTTTCCCCGAAAAGAAATTTCTCGAGGATGGGTCCCAAAGCTTGAGTTTTTTGTTGTCGATAACTTTGATGATTTTTGACTTTGTTACATTTGTTTTGTTTCTTAGATAGATGAATGACTGTTGACATTATCGCATATATTGGGTTGGGGAGAATGAGTCGGCGCCGAAAATCAAAAAAATGTCTAAAACTTCTAGCAGACTTCGTCGAATAATATGCGTTTGATATCAGTAGAATGGTTAACTAATTCTCTACAAAATGACATTTAAAAGAAAATTCAAACAGCGCCTCCGCTCAAGAAAAAGCCATTTTTTCACAAAAACTACAAACTGTGATCTAGAAAAAACCATTGGTGGGATCTTCCTGCAAATTTGGCAACTTAAGTAATTGAATGTGCTCTATCTTTTTTATATAAACACCAAAGAAGGTTTATGTGAAAGAAACTGTTCAAATGATGAGTCGGACTCTTTGTCATTTTAACCAGCTGCGTTTGGAAGTTCATAAACTCCACGAAAGAAAAGCTTTGTGGAATCTCTCAAAAGTCATTTTGTAGAGGCTTGCATCAAAGCCAAAGGCGGATATTAAGGCGTTAAAGCCAAAAGCGTTAAACTTTGTTTGTTATCTTTTAAGTACCTCTTGCAAGATTTCTCGCGTTATTGTTGAGCTTTGACTGTGTTGCAGAACTTTTTACGCAAGCCCGGGAGACACATTAATAAACTTTTAAGACAATATTTACAAATCTTTATCTTTTTTTAAAGAAAGATGAATTTCTATGTTCAATGATGTCCACCGAAATGATGCCCACCGTGATGATGACCGCCGAAGTGATGATGTCCGTGGTGATGTCCGTGGTGATGGTGGTGACCTTAATTTCTTGTCTTCATTTCATTTTCTTCTATCAATTTAGCGAGTTTACTATTAAATCTTTTCTTACCTGCATGATGGTGATGGTGATGATGATGGCCAAAATGATGATGGTGATGACCCAAATGATGATGGTGATGGTGCTAAAATACAAAAGATTAGCTTAACAAACTGAATTAATGAACAATTGAATCACATAGTGAACAAGTTTTGTTAAAAAGAGTCAGGCTAGTTATATCAAGTCACTAAGATCACAGCTAGGATGGTTATGAGGTTGTACAGGGTAGACATGGTTATCGAATCAGGACCGATCCGATCCGATAGATCCGACCGATAGAGCTAGCCCGATCTGATCCAATCCGATAGATCTGACCGATAGGGCTAGCCGGCACTAATCTGATCCGATAGGTCCGACCGATCCGCTCCGAACTGATCCAATCCGATAGATCTGACCGATAGGGCTAGCCTGAACTGATCTGATCCGATAGGTCCGACCGATCCGCTCCGATCTGATCAGATCCGATAGATCCGACCAATCGGACTAGCCCGATCCGATCCAATCTGCTCTGATTTTGCCAAAAAAACCATGTCTGATACAGGATGCGGCGAAAGTTCTTCCCTTTTTAGAATTCCCTCTAAAAGCTTCCTGGTTGATTTTATTTCATAAGGGTTTATAGCCAAAAAATAGCCAATCTTTTACAGAATTTAAATCTTATTACAGTTTTTAAATAACTTTTTTAGATTTCGAATTATCACTACTCTATCCGCTTCGAAAAAAGTTCAAAAAAGAACATATTTTTGCGCTTTTTCATTGCAAAAATTTCTATAGAAATTACAAACTTATTGGAAAATCTTGTCGTATTTTTAGTTTAGAACTGATAAACACCTTTTTTGCGGGCTTCTAGAGGTCTGATTTCTAAGGTGTCAATAGGTTTTCTTCTACTGGTAATACTAATAACTGGTGCAACCAAAGAGCTCACGCAAATTGTGATAACTCAAAATCTAAAGGAGCTATTGAAAAACGGCAATAATATTTAGATTTTGTGATAGATTGGCTGTCTTTTGGCTATAAATACTTATGAAATAATAACAATCAGAGAGAATTTCATTTTAAGAGAGTTTATAAAAGGGCAGAACTCGGAAAAAGCTTTTTTATATTCTTACCGTTCAAACTACAAAGCTCCCAATTGTTAGCATCTTGAAAAGTTAATTTAAATAAGACAGAACTTTCGCCTCACTTTGTAGTTTGTTTTGACGCAATTTTTGTCAGAACAAATATTATGTTTGGGTTTGCATTACGTCCCGATTCTATAGGAAGTCCTAATTTAGTGATTCAAAGTCCAGTAGAGGTTTTGGTTGGATATCAGTTTGAGGAATTTTATTAATTGTGCCCAAGATCAACAATTGAATACCCAATAATCAACAATTGAACAACTTACTGGATGTATAACGACTGGCCCTGGATGTAATGGTTGAAAGTGATGTGGTCTAGGATGATGGTAAGGCCGCCAGTTGCAAGCACCTAAAGTAACTCGAGTTTTTGCGGAATTTGGTGTTTTCTTTTGTTTGCAATCTATTGAGTTCATTTGGTTTTGGTTTTTGGTTCATATATTCATTTTAAACTAAAGCTTCCCTTTTGTACTTACCATATTCCAAAAGCATAATCGAGAAAAGATTCATTTTAGTGAAATCGTAATTTTCTTGTCCGGAAGTCACTAAACAAGAAAATTTTAGTTTTTTAAGACTAAAGATTTGCTAAAGCAAACAAAGAAGAAAGCAATTAGCAAACAAAGAAGAAAACAACTAACACAGCTCTATATAAACTCACCATACAAAGGCTTGTATCCAGCCACTCCAATTCCTGTGCCCAATTCATTCAAAATCTTTGCCATTGCTCCAAGCCATGTCCTGAAAAAGTATCATTTCAAGATACCAATTTTAGCCTTACTTCATCATCTCCTCATCTTCAAAATGAATCCAAACAATTTTACTCCTTGCCCCTTCCCTCAATCCCAACATAAAGTTCGGGTTCATTTTCTCGAGAACTTTTGGGTATACTTAAATTCTCGTATTTGTGTTTTTCTTTAAATCCATACCAAGATTCAATTGCATATCTGGAATAAAGAATTGGGAGACGTCTTGGAGTCGAATCACTGTCTTCAGCGTTCGGCTACAGTCCTTAAAAGAATAATAATAATAATAATAATAGTAATAATAATAATAATAATAATAATATAACATAACATAATAGTAATGATATCTGATATCAACGCCTTTTCTGCCACACTTTCCCCACTCAAACACTTTTCCTAGTTGCCAGAAACTGGGAAAGAAAGATGTCGATACTATCGATACCTTTTCTGCCACACTTTCCCCACTCAAACACTTTTCCTCGTCGTCTTTTCCTCAAAAACTTTTTTGATACTAGCTATTATAGTAAATCTACTATGTATATACTAGTATAATATCTTATATCTTATAATAATAATAATGAATTTAAATTTTAAATTGTTGTTGGTCAAATAATGGCCAATTCTAGTAAGTCCAAGCTCGTTATCAGAGATAAAAAAACGGTAATCGATCCCTACGAAGTCTCCAAACTAGTAAGAAAACAAAGCAAATGGGAAAACTGGTAGGAGTTAAGGGTTTTGCACCCAAATGTTGGCCTGATTACAGCCCTGTAGGTCTGATTACAGTACAAGTGCCAGATTTAGCTTGTCTCTGGTCGATTGCGCTAGTTAGCTCATTACACTAATACCGGAATGTAAAGCTGAATATCTTTTGCTTCACTTGAATGTAATGTCATAATATTTTAAAATACTTTACTGGATCTTGATAGATGCTGAAAGTTCCTGATGATCCCAATGCGCAATATCTCTTTTTCCATTTTCCGCCAAAGAATCCAGATTTGAAAACGTGAATCCCAGCACCCTCGAGCACCGTGGAGTCTAGAGAAGATTGTTTTTCAATAGAAATTTGACACTTTTTCCTTAGAAAGTCCAAATAATTCAATTCTTGGCCTCTTTAAGAGGAAAGTAACAGTAACAGGAAAGTAACAGTAACAGGAAAGTAACAGTAACAGGAAAGTAATTTGAAATTTACCCATCAATTGACTTTTTTTTGAGTGATCTTCGATTCAAATTAAGTCTCAGAAGCAGAATTTAAATTAGTTAAGATTGAAGAATTGATAAGCAAGAATGTAAATTGGTGTTACGTAAACAATTGGGGTTTAGTAGTGAATATTTACAAGCTTTCAATGCTCTGGATGAAACACCAGACTCGAGCGTCCTTTTATAATCTCTTTTCTCTTTTCCATTTCGCAAGACGCAGATAAGAGAATTCGAAGAGAATTCGAATAAGAGAAGGCGAGAAACCTTGTTTAGTCATCAAAAAAATTCGGCAAGTTCTTGGTGCGGACGTCTCGTTTTCTGATCTTTCCTATTCGTTATCATTTTGCTTTTTGAAATCTGACGTCGAATCGAAAACGTCACAATGCAGATGTTTCATTGATCTTAGGCACTATTTCAAAATAGTTTTGTTTGCTTTGAACCGAGACAATCCACAAACTCGTTTCTAGCTCTTAGTGTCATAAGTTTGGGAAAGCTTTAATGGAAAAGCTTTAATGGAAAAGCTTTAATGGAAAAGCTTTAATGGAAAAGCTTTAATGGAAAAGCTTTAATGGAAAAGCTTTAATGGAAAAGCTTTAATGGAAAAGCTTTAATGGAAAAGCTTTAATGGAAAAGCTTTAATGGAAAAGCTTTAATGGAAAAGCTTTAATGGAAAAGCTTTAATGGGAAAACTAACTGAAGAAGTATTTGTTGATCTTATCTAAGAGAAATTTAAGATTAAATTGAGACTTGCAAATAATTTGTATATTTTTAGCGACGACACTTCAGGTTTTCGAATGATATCTAACTTACAATATGGCATGAACGGAGACTTCGCGAGCCATTTTTGCAGCATCGAGTTTATTCTTCGCATCTATTACTTTTTTTTTCTTTCGCTTTGGCTTGTTGGTTCCCACGTTTGCTTCTTTCTCCGATTCCTCGTGTAATTCTTCGTTCAATTCACGTTAATGTTCTTCTCCTTCTTGAAAGAATCTGTTTAGTTTGTGCTCAATTCGATCGCGAAACGCTTCAAAGTCATCCCTAGCTTTCGTGATCGCTCATCGAACCTAAAAAAATCAAATTATCAAAGAAAACGGATAAGAAATGCTAGAAAAGCAGTAAAAAAAGAGAAGAAGAAGAATAAAAATGTTTTAGTTGCAAGCTGCTAAAAAGCAAAAAGCTGAATATCTTGAGATTTCTCATATGCATTAAGATATTCAGTTAAGGAGCGCTACTATTAGAGGGGGCGCTATTATTACAGGCATTAATAAGTAGGCATTACGTTAATAAGTTTTCGAGATCCTCTGAAAGTTTCGATCATTTAAAGTTCCAATTTCCGGACTCAATAAAATGAATACCCAATACGGAGATTTTTGGAGAAATTTCTTCTTTAATTTTGGGTGTATTTTTCGACAAATTCTGCATTCGGCAGCTCAAAACTAGCTGATATACTCAAGGTTGTAACTGGCTTGAAAAGCTGATTTTATCTTTTAATACATTAAATTATTGATAAATTATTGATAAACGGATTTACCTTAATCATTTCTATTGGGTTGGGGACTATGACTCGGCGCCAAACTTTAAAGGGACTTGTTGCACACATAGAGCCTTCTTTAAACATACGTTTGGTTTCATCAAAAGGATCCACTATTTCTCTACAAAATCACTTTTCAGAGATTCCACAAAGCTTTTCTTTCGTGGAGTTTATGAACTTCCAAACGCAGCTGGTTAAAATGGCAAAGAGTCCGACTCATCATTTGAACAGTTTCTTTCACATAAACCTTCTTTGGTGTTTATATAAAAAAGATAGAGCACATTCAATTACTTAAGTTGCCAAATTTGCAGGAAGATCCCACCAATGGTTTTTTCTAGATCACAGTTTGTAGTTTTTGTGAAAAAATGGCTTTTTCTTGAGCGGAGGCGCTGTTTGAATTTTCTTTTAAATGTCATTTTGTAGAGAATTAGTTAACCATTCTACTCATATCAAACGCATATTATTTGACGAAGTCGAATTGAAGTTTTAGACATTTTTTTGATTTTCGGCGCCGAGTCATAATCCCCAACCCAATACATAAAACTTCATCAAAAAATGATATTACTACACCAATCTGCCGATAATTTTCGTAAGAAACGAGAATGGGAATTCGGATCCCTCTTTTAAGGCCTCTTTAAGCCGTTTGTTGCTAATTTAAGTGTTTTTTGGTTAAATTGAGTGATTTGTTGCTAATTTAAATGTTTTGTGGCTAATTGAAGTGATTTGTTGACGTTTTCCATTGAAATGTCAAGATAATGGAGTGGCTTTAGGCCGTTTGTTGCTAATTTAAGCGTTTTTTCGCTTAAATGGAGTGATTTGTTGACGTTTTCCATTGAAATGTCAAGATAGTGGGCTCTTTAAGCCGTTTGTTGCTAATTTAAGTGATTTGTTGACGAATCCTTCTCAAATGCTGAATAAAAAGTGAGGCTTTTTTCGCGCGCCAACCCAATCACAAATTACCCTAAAAGCTACAAAGTATTTCTGAAGTTTAGAGTGATCGCTTATAGAAAGTCTCCAGGTGCTTTCAACATCACCTGTGCTTTCTCGATTTTGATTTCTTCAAATCATCCCACCTGTCTCATCATCCCACAAATCACCTCAAATCATCCCACCTGTCTTTTTTCGCACTAACAAGCAAAGTCGAGAGGTTTTTACTTTAAAAAAAACAATGTTTTTCCCGAATAACCAAGTACAAAGCTTGATTTCAATATGTTATACGATGATGTTCATCCCATCGACCCTCCTTTTTTGCTTGGCTTTCTATTTACTTTTCTATCATAAATCACTGGCGACGAAAAGTTATAAAAGACTTATTTTTTGGCAAATGGTAAGAGGTTTTTTAAAAGTTTGGTTTAATTACCCAAATCGATAACCCAGTGTTGGGAACTCAAGATGTTCCAGAAGCGATTCTGGAACATCTTGAGTTCCAGAATCGCTTTCCGGCTCTAGTCAGACGAACTAATCTTGCCAGAATCGATTTTCTAGGTCTAGATCTAGATCTAGGTCTAGGTTTCTAGGTTTTCTAGGTCGAACCAATCTTGTAGTCGGAAGCCAGTCTTGCCTTGACTTTTAGCTTGATTTGCCCATTGTCCATGATTTTGCCCATGATTTTGCCGCATCAACTGGGCTAAAAACTTGATGCGAACTTTACAATCAACAAAATTGTGTACAGAAATACTTACACAAAAACAACATTCAGGCTTTTTCTTGGTTTTGCGTGCTCATCGAGACAAGCGCTAAACCAATAACTCTTATGGCTAACCGAATCGTAATCCTCCAATTCTATTGGCGACCATCCACTTTACAAGGACTCATTATCATAGTGCTTTGAAAGTCATCTTTGAAAGTCAAAGCTTTGAAAATCTAGAGCGTTTACCTAAGTCTGCTTCATGGCTGTGTGGGTATGGTGATTTCTTCTCTAACCTATCGACTTTATTTCCAACATTCTCTATCGCAATATCGTATCGCTTTAATAGCAGTTTATATTCTCGGAATTTTGATGCTAATGGTGATTGTTTTGATCTGTTTGTTGGTTGTTGTTTATTCGGATGACACGTGCATTGGAGACCAAAAAATGGTGAGCGCTAAAGGCATAGATGGGTACAGATAAGAGAAACTAACAAAAAAACTGTCTGAGAATCAGGGTATGGCCAAAGACCAAAGCCAGGCGTGTGGTTCTCGACCTTATCATCCTTTTAGCGCAGACCTGGCTAGAAGAGGTCAAATCAAACCCATAACTGTAACTCATGTAAATCAGGCTAACAAGGGAAAGGCGCCGAGTCAAGCTGATCTTTTGGTTCGGGAACAAGTCCATCTTATAAAGGGTGATCAAAAAGTTCTCGCACATTGAATTGATTCAATTGATCCACTCAATTCAATTTAAAATGCTACTTCATTTTGTCAGTTTGCCAGTTTGCCAGTGACAGTTTGTCTCCAACTACAATGCTTCTTTGGAGAGCTGGTGGCTTTGATTAGGATGGTTTAGGTGAAGAAATGCTCCCCAGATTTTCAGCTTCAAAATCTATAGTAAATCGAATTTCGATCTGGGTTTTAGCTGAAAAATTAAGCTGCTTTTGTAAAGTGTGCGGGAAGTTTTTGATCACCCTGTAGTAGACATGGTTTTTTGGCCAAAAATCAGATCGGATCGGATCGGACTAGCCCGATCGGTTGAACGGATCGGATCGGGCTAGCCCGATTGGTCGTACCTATCAGATCCGATCGTTCCTGCTTCGATCCGATCGTTCCTGCTTCGATCCGATCGTTCCTGATTCGATCCGATCGTTCCTGATTCGATCCGATCCGATAACCATGTCTACCCTGTAGAGTCGGGCATGGGGATCACAAATCCGTTTTTAGTTTTTACAGAACGCGAGATTTGAATCTCGAGCTTCTTAACCGGCCATCACACGCCCATTTAAAATGCTTCTGTGGTCTAGTGGATAGTCTGCTAGACTACCGAACCTATCATACTTTTGCCCCAAGTTCGAGTCCCACTCTAGCCAAACTTTTTTGCTTTTTAAAAAACTATTTCTCTACGAATTTGCAATGAATAAACGAGTTGAATTTTATGCACCGTAGCTCTGTAGCTTTTAGAAATGTGGCAGCAAAGGTTAAATTTTTCATTACTACAGAAGAGCAGAATGAGTAGATGATTCTGATCTGATTCTGACCTGATTCTGATCTGATTCTGATCTGATTCTGATCTTTTGTCAATCATTTGTTAAAGTTACAGAAAGCAGTGTATAAAACTTGAGTCAATAATTGAATGCAAATAGCTAAGGAAACAGTTTTTTAAAAAATCAAAGAAGTTTGGGCGCTAGTGGGACTCGAACTTGGGAGGGAATCATATAATGGTTCGGTCGTCTAGCAGACTATCCACTAGACCACCAAAGTTGCTAAGAAAGCGTTTGACGGCCGCATAAAGAGCTCGAGATCCAAGGTGATTTTCTATGCTAAATATCTCGCGTTTGCAAAGCGATTTTCAAGCGTTGTGCAAAAACTAAAAACGGATTCGAGATCCTTATGGCCGACTCGATAAAATGGACTTGTTCACGAGTCAAAAGGCCAGCTTGACTCAAAAGGCCAGCTTGACTCAAAAGGTCAGCTTGACTTTGACTACTTTATTCCTTGTAAGAATAAAGTATCCCAAAGCCAAAACATGACTTGATACAAAACAAAGTTCGACGACCAGGTATGACTAATTGGCCAACAGTATGGCTCACAATTAGAGGGGCTTGTTAGCACTTAATTTCCTATTTACCGGGCATCGAGGCATTTAAAGTTGCATAGTTAGTGATTTTAGATTTGTCTAAACGTTCCCTTCGCTTGTGCCCTAAATCTCGGGCCATTTCAAGCAATTCTATATTGTCAAATTAACGAGTTTGAGATGAAATTGATCTCTATTATTGTTATTTTACTCGTTTTATTACTAATCTCTGGATTTACACTATTTGCTTATTATGCCTTTTCTCAACAAAAACATTTCAATATGAGCCAAAAGACGAAAGAGATCAATAACTATTTGTCATTGATGTCATTCTTGCAGGTTGTTTGCAAATTTTCTTTGATTAGTGACTGCTTCTGGTGCATTTGAAGGATTTATTAGAGGGTTAAAGGATTAAAGTGTCTACAGGGTGCATCAGAATTGCCCAGACAAATCAAATTTCGCATCTTTCGCTCTTTCGTGGCATATAAACCACAAAAGAGCGTTTTTATGCAAACATATATTTTAGTTACTTTTATTTAAATATAAAGAACAATTTTTAAAACAAACTACTCAATGTTTCCTTCTTTAGAGTTTATAACAGCTTTGATAACAGCTTTGTTAACAGCTTTGATAATAGATTTGATAACAGCTTTGTTAACAGCTTTCATAACAGCTTTGATAACAGCTTTGATAACAGCTTTCATAACAGCTTTCATAACAGCTTTGATAACAGCTTTGATAACAACAGACGTTCAGGGTAGGCTTCGATTGCAGCCTGAATTTAGCTTTATAGGATTTCGTTCCATGCTCGATCCGAGCATGGAACGCATACATAACAAAATGGCGGATTCAAAGGGCAAACAGCTTTGTTCGGGTAACTATGATGCACCCTGGATTTTGTTATCGACATGTGATGTTATCTACATGTGCACAGTGATAAATCGTTGATAGATCTGATCATCGATATCAGCGACAGCGATAAATCGTTAGCCACTTTCAGATTATTGTCCTTGTCACTTGTATTGGATTTCCATTTGGTTGTCTTGCTTTATCCATGATTCGAATCGTTGAGAGTGATATTTTAGACGCTGGTTTGTTATTTTGGAAGTTTAGATCAAGTTTAGATGAGTTTAAATCAAGTTTAGATGAGTTTAAATCAAGTTTAGATGAGTTTAGATCAAACTTCTAAGTTTAGATGAGTTTAGAGCAAGTTTAGATGAGTTTAGATGAGTTTAGATCAAGTTTAGAGGATTTAGATCAAGTCTAAAGGATTTAGATCAAGTTTAGATGAGCTTAGATGAGCTTAGATCATGTTTAGATGAGTTTAGATCAAGTTTAGATGAGCTTAGATCAAGTTTAGATGAGTTTAGATGAGCTTAGATCAAGTTTAGATGAGTTTAGATGAGCTTAGATCAAGTTTAGATGAGTTTAGATGAGTTTAGATCAAGTTTAGATGAGTTTAGATCAAGCTTAGATGAGTTTAGATCAAACTTCTAAGTTTAGATCAGTTTAGTTCAGTTTAGATCAAACACAAAGGTACAAAATTCCACTGTCCACTGAATGAATAGTCAAAAATTTTTCAGATTTTAAAATTTCAAATCAATCAAACTAAAACCAGCCCAATTTTTGTCAAGCTAAGCTTGCCAATTAGCTTAACCTAACTTTTGTAGTCTTAACTGTCTTAGAAACGATCTGGTGCTTTCTCCTCTTCTTCTTCTCAATGTAATGTTCTCTATGTAATCTTCTCTATGTAATGCATATCTTTAGTGGCAGCTTTGGCTTCATTTGGCTCAAGTTCTCACTCGATATTCACCAGTTGTGCGGTGATTTTCGGATCGAAAACTTTTCGACAAGTGCTCGCCGACTGGTTGAACAAATTACTCAATCGGAAGAAATATCGAGCGATTTTTCATCCTAGAATTACAACGGTATCACAAAGATAAATAAAACTTTAACAATTCTATTCAAATCATCAAATAAAAGAAATAAAAGAAAACAAAGAAGCAAAATACAGAACTTTTCTCAAAGGCTCCCGCCGTTGTTGATGAAGTTTCAGTGGCTGTGGTTGTTGTGGTTGTCGTGGTTCTGATCGATGTGGTAGGTTCATCTGTTGATGGTGTTTGACTTGAGGTAATAGTTGTGATCGTTGTTGTTGTAGTTGTTGTTGTAGTAGTTGTTGTAGTAATTGTTGTTGTTGTAGTTGTGCTAGTGCTAGCAACAGCAGTAGTTGTAGTTGCGACTAAATTTTTTACAAACTCTGACTGCAAAGAGTTTGGATAACTTACCAGTCGTCGTTGTCGTTGTCGCAATCAGCTTCTCGTATCTAAACAAAGCTTTAAGTCTTTATTTTGGTTGAAATTGATTGAAATTGGTTGAAATTGATTGAAATGGGGCCCAGAAAGGGAAGGGTCTGTGGTCGACCCCGTCCGATCTGCCAAGTTGAGCAACGTCGGTTAGTCGTGGGTTCGACTCCCATGGGTTCCCCTCCGAGCGCCCCAGCCCGGCCATCGGAGTCTCATCGGCTACGACAACTACACTTCTGCCTCAGTAAATGTGGAAGCAGGTTGTGATCTGCGCTAAGTGCAAAGACAGATCAAATCATTATTTTAATTGATTGAAATTGATTGAAATTGATTGAAAGTAGGGAAAAAGTTGCTTCAATCTAACTTCAGTCCTTGATTTAGGCAATCCCCGTGAAATTAGGCAGTTAGGCAGTCCCCGTGAAGCTGGATTAGCTGTAAAACGAACAGTAAATCCTCAACAGCAAAGCGAAACAATAATTGCAATAAGGAGGAGAGATGAGGCTACAATTATAAACACAAACCAGGCAACATTATCTTGTAGATTTCGAATTGTGTTTAGATATAGGTTGTCCGGGTATAGGTGGTAGTGAATTCTGACCGAGAAAATCGTTTAATGGAGATGGCGCTGATATTTGACAGTTTGAAGTCAAATGCTAGAGACAGACGATTTTTTGGTTGTTTTCGGATTTTGAAATACCACAATTCCGAAGCCTGAATTCGAAAGAATGCACCAGTTTAGTCCTCTCGGATGCTCTCTATCTAATGGATGCTAACGGAAAGTCTCCAAGCAACAAGGCAACACAGATGACCCAACAAACAAATAATTTATCCCACTTACAAAAGCGATCTCCCAGAAAACACACAACTTGTTTACCTTATCTGCATTGGTACTCCACAAGTTGTCACATCATCGTTGTTCTCGCAATTCCACTGATACTTGATTTGCAACTCGGCGTATGGAAAGGATAACCGACAAATCGAGCTGTCAGTAGTGTAGCTGCAAAATTGTTTCAAACACTTGAATCCAACTTTCTACAACTTATTCGATTGGAAGAGTGTTTTGTTGACGTTCAACGAAATTGTAAGAAGACTATCCTTGGCCATTGGATTCAGGAAATTTAGTCGAATCGACGATGAGGGATTCGATGTCAGATTCTGGAATTTTTCAAATTTTTCACGGAAACTGCTCCTTACCTGAACCGAAACTGTCCATGAGTATTGGTTCGCAAAAAGCTGCTTGGGAATCGGATTGTACCGTGGGGCCAACATGAGCCCAACTTGGTCGCCACCTGTCCAGCGTTGAGCTAAATATCAATGTTGAACTTGTTTTGGGTTCAATGACACGAGCCTCTTAAAGGGCCCAAGAGCCTCTTCAAGGGCCCAAGAGCCTCTTCAAGGGCCCAAGAGCCTCTTAAAGGGTCCATGAGCCTCTTAAAGGGCCCAAGAGCCTCTTAAAGCGCCGAAGAGCCTCTTAAAGGGCCCAAGAGCCTCTTAAAGGGCCCAAGAGCCTCTTAAAGCGCCCAAAAGCCTCTTAAAGGGCCCAAGAGCCTCTTAAAGGGCCCAAGAGCCTCTTAAAGGGCCCAAGAGCCTCTTAAAGGGCCCAAGAGCCTCTTAAAGGGCCCAAGAGCCTCTTAAAGGGCCCAAAAGCCTCTTAAAGGGCCCAAGAGCCTCTTAAAGGGTCCATGAGCCTCTTAAAGGGCCCAAGAGCCTCTTAAAGGGCCCAAGAGCCTCTTAAAGGGCCCAAGAGCCTCTTAAAGGCCCCAAGAGCCTCTTAAAGGGCCCAAGAGCCTCTTAAAGGCTCTTAAAGACTTTTAAAGGTAGAAAAAGAATACTGTATCTTATTTAGTATACACTACATTACGAAAGTACGCTAAAACACAGCGTACACCAGTACTCAAACTGAAATCTTGCATCTCTGCAACACTCGTTTTGACCCCGAAAGCCTAACTAACTATTAGTACCGTACTTTCTCTAATAGTAGTGCACCAAGAGTGTCGCCTAAATTACTCGAAATCTCGAGAACCGCTTATCAGAACCTATCGATGTGGGGTCGGAAAATGTAGCTGACGATGAGATCTAGTGGAGGATTTGAGTGTTGGGCTTCTGGAAAAGCTTGGGAACCGTAAAATAGTGATCAACTCACCTCGGCGCAGTGCACTACTATTAGAGAAAATACGGAGAAATACGGAAAATATTAGAGAAATTCTCACTCAAATCCATTTTCTAGCTTCATCGTATCATTAAATACCTTGTTGAACACATTGATACTTCAGTTGACTCTCCTTTTCGCTGAGTGTGCGAATTGTGACAAAAGAACCAAAGACGAAACTTGGCAGAACATCTCGACTCACTGAATCGCAAGAGGAGTCTTTTCTGTAAACGGAATCAATAATGCTTTTGACGTTCTATCAGCCAGTCTAAGATTCTAAGCTGTAATAAGCTGTAATAAGCTGTAATAAGCTGTAATAAACTGTAATAAGTTGTAATAAGCTGTAATAAGCTGTAATAAGCTGTAATAAGCTGTAATAAGCTGTAATAAACTGTAGTAAACTGTAGTAAACTGTAATAAACTTTAATAAACTTTAATAAGCTGTAATAAACTGTAATAAGCTATAATAAGCTGTAATGAACTGTAATGAACTGTAATAAACTGTAATAAACTGTAATAAACTGTAATAAACTGTAATAAACTTTAATAAACTGTAATAAGCTGTAGTAAACTGTAATAAACTGTAATATGCTGTAATAGGCTGTAATAAGCTGTAATAAACTGTAGAAAACTGTAAGAAACTGTAATAAACCCTAAACCAACCCATAAACATTGTCCTCCACAGCCAGAGATGCTCCCTGATAAACCGAAAACGACATATAGTTGGTGATATTCCACATGAAATCAATTCCATATAGATGTGAGGTAGTCCAATTCGTGTAATCACTTAATGGACCACGGTAGATCACGATTGTTCTATCAGTGAATCCATCAACGAAATCAACAGCCATCTCATCCCCATCACCGCTGCAAAAGTCTTCATCTGGTTGATAGACAACGAGTTTCTCATCTAAAACTTTAGGTCTACAAAACTTTCTGCGAAATTAACGTGGGAAATTATTTTCACTAACGAACTTGTGGTGAAGATTGATTGAAAAGTTGTTCCAGGATCGGCTAGCTTCACGATTCGAACAGCAACGATATTTGAGGAGAATTTCAAGGTCGAGTTAATGAAACTAAAAGTTCGGTATATAACCAATCGAATTTCAATATTAGGTTGTCGAGTTTTGAATGCGAATTTTCGCAAAAATCTTTTTTCCAAGAGAACAAAGCTTTTAAAAAACTTGTACCATTAGAAATTGTACCATTAGAAAGGTAAATTTGTGTTCTAAATTGAGCTTTTCAACGCGGTTCTCGAGATTTAGGCAAAGCTTGGGGTACTACTAGAGAGAATACGGTATGTAGATTTAGTTCGGATTCGGAAGTAATGAAGTGACAGCTGGATTCAACCGATGGAGCCAATGAAGTGCTGGAGCATGTGGTGCTGTTGGAACGTCTCAAACATCGTGCCCATCAAGCACTTCGAGAGCTCTTGACAACCACCATCACTTCCTCAACCACAATCACTACTCCTTCTCTCTACGCTGCTTCAAATCCATCCATTCCACAGCCTTTCTTCTTCCCTTTCTTCTCCCCAAAACCAAGAACTCAAGGTAAGGATAAAGAGAGGTATGTCTTTATCCTTACCTTGGCCTAAAGCAAGGTAAGGATAAAGACCTGGTTCTAGCCAGCTTCTGGCTTCTAGCCAGCTTTTAGCTTCTAGCCAGCTTCTAGCTTCTAGCCAACTTCTAGCCAGCTTCTAGCTTCTAGCCAGCTTCTAGCCAGCTTCTAGCTTCTAGCCAGCTTCTGGCTTCTAGCCAGCTTCTAGTTTCTAGCCAGCTTCTGGCTTCTAGCCTAGCTTTGGCTAGCCTGTTGCCTAGCCTAGCTTGTTGAGAAAATTAATAATTTGAAAGCAGTTCTGGTACTTGACTGGCTGTTAGGATTCCCTTTTGTTTCTCTCAGAAAAATATAACTATTTCAAAAATTTAACCATTTCTCTTTACCTGGTAGAAATAAGAGTTCCTGTCTGCAAATTTCCATCAAAGATATCGACCAAAAAGCCATGTGGATGATCAAAGAAATACCCAATAATTGGCTTGCTAAATTTGTTTTTTTATTGAAAAACCTCTCGTTCTTTACTTTAAACAATTTCTATTGTCGAACTGATAAACAACCGCATCGAATTCTTTCTTTAGAATACCCGAATTCACTTCAGCGAAGGGAACACTGGTGCATAGATCGATGTCGAATTGAGTGGGGAAAACTGAATAGAAAAAGATATGAATAAAAAAGATATGAATAAAAGGTCTGAATAAAAGAGTCTGAATAAAAAGTTACTAGAATAAACTTGACTTTAACTAACTAAGAAATTGGTTTAATGATTGGTTTAATGGTTTAATGCTTGGTTTAATGCTTGGTTTAATGCCTGGTTTAATGGTTTAAAGCCTGGTTTAATGGTTTAAAGCCTGGTTTAATGCTTGGTTTAATGGTTGAATGCTTGGTTTAATGGTTTAAAGCCTGGTTTAATGGTTTAATGCCTGGCTTAATGATTTAAAGCCTGGTTTAAAGCCTGGTTTTATGGTTTAAAGCCTAGTTTAATGGTTTAATGCCTGGTTCAATGGTTTAATGCTTGGTTTAAAGCCTGGTTTAATGGTTTAATGCTTGGTTTAATGGTTTAATGTCTGGTTTAATGCCTTTAAAAATCCCTGGAACAAGTTCTGGTAACAATCCTGCTTACCTGGTACGGCTTTCAGCTCAAACGTGTATCCCATTGGCCCTGGATCGAGCATTAGAGGAGTAAACGAGTCAAATGTGTAAAGTGGTGGACTTGAGAAGGCAATTTTGACCATATCATGTCCATTGTAGTCATGAAATGATCCCGATTGAATGTAGCCACTGCTTTGATAGCTACTGTAAAGGGTTATAAATCGATGGAAAATACGGGTAAAAGAAAAAAGATGTAAGTAAAATGTATGCAAGTAATCTGTATGTAAGTAATCTGTAGGTAAGTAATCTGTAGGTAAGTAATCTGTAGGTAAGTAATATGTCTTTAAGTAATCTGTACAGTTGAAAAAGGCTTGCGAATTGATCGTAGATAGTGAGATCAAAGTAGGAGACATAGTTCAAGGTGATTTGTAGGATTGATGACCGATCAAAAGTGCTGAAGTTTCTTCGAATTGTTTAGAATTGCAAACTTTTCTACACAGTAGTGTTGCATTGCCAAGGACTACACACGGGAAAGCCCATTGAATTCCACCCATAAGAGATTGTTTCCGAATCATTTGCTTTTAATGTCACTGATGCTTTGGGACAAGTGCAGTCTTAAAGTATTAACTTTAAGAGCCTTTTTTGGCAAGCCACTCACCAACAGCCGTCACTTGGCCACTCATCATCGTGAAATCCTCGATTGAATCACTTTGAAATCCCAATTCTAAGCCTTGGCTATTGGTTTCATAAAAGAATTTAGGCGCAGAGTTGGTCGGATTGTGAGCGAGACTCTGAAAGTTGGCTGAAACGTCAAATATTGCAGGCAACTTATCATTAAGCTTCAAAAGTTTCAAACTGAAGTTTAGTCTTAACCTTAGCTTTCTCGCTGTTAGCTAGCTCCGGGAAATTGAGTCTAGAAACGAAGTTAAATAAGAATTAACTCTACCAGGTGCCAGATTGTCTACGATAGCTCAAATTAACCCTACCAGGTGCCAGATTGTCTACGATAGCTCAAACTAACCCTACCAGGTGCCAGATTGTCTATGATGACTCAAATTAACCCTACCAGGTGCCAGATTGTCTATGATGACTCAAACTAACCCTACCAGGTGCCAGATTGTCTATGATGACTCAAATTAACCCTACCAGGTGCCAGATTGTCTACGATAGCTCAAACTAACCCTACCAGGTGCCAGATTGTCTATGATGACTCAAATTCCCTACCGGCCAGCCTGAAGTCAAACTAACCCTACCAGGTGCCAGATTGTCTATGATGACTCAAATTAACCCTACCAGGTGCCAGATTGTCTACGATAGCTCAAACTAACCCTACCAGGTGCCAGATTGTCTATTATCACTCAAATTAACTCTACCAGCTAACAGATTGTCAGTCGATGACTCATAGATAGGGCAATGGTGCTTACAATTAGCATATTTCTACTAAATACTAAAATACCTATGCTAAATCTTTAGTCCCATTGCGTTAGCCTGCCTTACAGGCTTAGCAGCTCTTGCCTAACAGCTGGACCTTGCAGGCTTATTGAGCTTAACAAACCAAGTTCATCGGTCCAGCTCCTTTAATCGACACAAAGTCACAGCATTCCTCGATGTAGACTGTGTCAAACCTTGCGATCAATTGGTGACTTTGTGGAGTATTTGAAAATTTCCATTTACAGTTGCTTCCCGGTGAATAATTCGGAGAATCGGCTTTGGGCAGAGCCGAGAAATTAAGCGCTTGAGACGTAACTTGTTGCATATCGTAATTTCCAGCGTTTTGGCAGTCATTGAATTCAGCAACTTCTAAATTTCTAAATTTCTAAACTTTTAAAACTTCTAAAACTTCTAAAGAGTTCAACTTAAGCAAATCGGTTTTGAGCTATGGTTTGAATGAGACAAAGTTTCACTAACCGTCATATGGAGTGATCAAAATATAGTAGAAGTACTGCTTGTCAGCTGTAAACTCATAAGAAAGATCGATTTTTCCTTTAAACCAATAAACAGCTGTCGCTTTGAAGTACAATAAATCTTTTCTAAACGTTTACTTGATTATACAAATAACTGTGACAACTCGAGAACAATAGTTGTCGGAGAATCTTGATCGGATGCAATCCCAGTAATATTCATCGTCTGCTCAGTGTCCGGATTCCAATTTCCATATGCTTGAATAGCGACTCGAATATAGGCTTTGTCATTGGTGACAAATTGTTGTTGACAAGTGACATTTGTTTCGGCTGATGCTTGCGGATTTCCGGGGTTCTGATTTTCCCAATCTGATTGAATTAATATAAAGTGGGTCTCAAGATACTGTAAAGAGCCGACTTTTTACAGAATTACAGATCAAAATGATCTTGGAATCACTGAACTGCTTGAACCAATAGGCACAAGTCGGGACAATAGTTAGGTAGGACCTGTATCAGGAGGTCCAGATTCAACCAGGGAACCCCTAGGTTACATTTCAGGAGAGATCTGATTCCGACAGTGTTCTCGTTGCGAGCTTGAAGTACCAGCTACTGCTACCATTACTGTACAGCTACTACCAGCTGCTGTTACTATTAGAGTACAGCTACTACCAGCTACTGCTACCACTACTGTACAGCTACTACCAGCTACCGTTACTATTACTCTACAGCTACTACCAGCTACTGTTACCATTACTGTACAGCCACTACCAGCTACTGTTACCATTAGAGTACAGCTACTAAGAGCTGCTGTTACCATTACTCTACAGCTACTACCAGCTAAGAACCAAGAGAACCTGACTTTAACCCATTCGAAACCGCAGCGTTTTTTCTTTTTTTTCGTCTACGGACCAAGCCCTTTTTTGACATTTTTGACTCCGAAGCAGTTTATTTATGGTTGGAAAGATGTAAGAGAGTCTCCTACACCATTTATTTTTGATGAAGAACGATTTGGATTTGACTTCAGTACTTTTCAAGATCCTATCGATTATTGTTCTTATTTTATCGACGACAATATTTTAGTAGGCGAATCTAATAAACATGGAAAAAGGAAAACAAACTGGCAGGATTTCGATGCAAAATCTTTCAAGCTCTTCCTGGCTTCAAATGGGAATCGTCAAATTACCGAGGACTCGTGACTACTGGAGTAGCAGGCCTGGATTAGGAGGATTTTCCCACATGTCCCACATCATGTCAAGAGCAAAATTTGAATCCATTCTTCGCAACCTGCGTTTTTGTGATAATGAACTGGATCCTGCAGGAGATCGGCTTTATAAGATTAGAGCTATTATGGAACATTTCAATGCAAAACCAGAGACTGCATTGATTCCGGGTAAATATGAAACATCTTTTTTGCCCACGTAATTTGTAGATCTGCTACAATTGTAATATACATGTAATGCTGAAAAGCAGCAAAAAAAAAGCAATTAATTGAATGAAAATAGCTCAATTAGCGCTGCAGCGAATAATCGCTGCAGCGGTCCGTTCCTGAGTTTTTGCTGCAGCGATTATTCGCTGCAGAAGTTTCGAATGGGTTAAACTAAATCAGATCTGGACTAGACTAATATTGATTAAAGGGTAGACCTCGGGTCAAAGGGTAGATCAAAGGGTAGATCAAAGGGTAGATCAAAGGGTAGATCAAAGGGTAGATCAAAGGGTAGATCAAAGGGTAGATCAAAGGGTAGATCAAAGGGTAGATCAAAGGGTAGACCTTGGGTAGGACCTAACTCTGGACCTAACTTGGGAAACTTGAGCTCGTAGAGAATATCTTGATACTTACGATCGGAAATTAAAGCATAAAATTGATTTCCCGTGTCCAGATTGACTACCGCATCCTTTTTGCAGTCATTATAAATACGAGTTGTTTTGTCTAAAAATTTTGTTGGGCAAAAATTCAAAAGCGTTACTTGTCTTTTGTTCACTTACCAACTCTTGTGACTTGTCCCATCACACCCGGAAAATAACCTCTTGTCCCTGATGCCATAAAGTAGACCCATAAAGCTGCTAAAATTCTTCAATTCTTGCGATTTTCTTGAATCTTTTACTAGCAGAATCGACATAGTCGCTGACTTCTTTTTGGAACATCGCGTTTCCACACAATCGGTAAATCCAATAGCTAAAAAGGTGAATTGAAACTTGATTTATTGATAAGAATTTATTATTTATTGATTTGATTTGATTTGATTGATTTGATTTATTTGATTTATTGATTTATTGATTTATTGATAGATTGCAACCTTCTGCACAACGCTCCATCGTCTCTGTCACAAAAATGAATGCAATCATTCGGAGCTAAGGAGAATCGAAAATATTGAAAGGAGAATGCATAGTTGGTGTCTGCTGGATCAAGTTTAACAGCGAGAAGCTTTCTAAATGTATTTTCGCTTTTTTTTTTCAAAATCACAATGCTATTGGGTTGGTGAATTGAAAACTGCCGGACTTTGAACTAAAATTTTAAAGTTTTAAAGATTACATCGAAAAAACTTTGTAAGTTTAGCGGCAATTTCTTGAAGAACTCGCAACAACAATAGCTTCCCGTTTTCAACAAGCTTCCCGTTTTGGTCGAATTAGCGGCTACGCGAGCAAGACGCGATAAGGCAGCAACGGAACAAATGATGCAATCACTTTCAGCCATTGTTACTCATGCAAGGTTTGTGTGTAAAGGTGCCAGTCTTGATAGAACCATTTTCAGTCGTTTGTCAAAGGCCTTTTTTGAACATAAAACCATCAATTGATTCCAAATAATTTCCATTATTATTGACGACTTCTGCCCATTTTACAGGCAATTTGCGGATTCCTCTTTCGTAGTAGCATTTTGGTTTGTGTGTGAGACAAGTGTGAGACTCAAAAATGGAGGACTGGAGAGGGGGATGGAGGACTCCCAGTTTGAGCACTTTCTTCAAAAGAAACCCATTTTGGTGTCAATAGAAAAGTTGTAGAGAATCAAAAATTAGGCTTATAGCCAAATTTCCAAAAAGATACACTTAGTAGTTTCGCTTAGAATGCAAGTTTTGTTGCAGGTTTTGTGAAAATTCGTATATTTGGCATTTCTTGAAAACCAGTTTTTGAATCGTTCTGAAAATTTGGATATAAGCTTGATTTTTGATTCTCTACAGCTTTTCCATTGACACCAGAATGGGTTTCTTTTGAAGAAAGTGCTCAAACTGTCACATATGACAATAGCCCGTAGTTTTCAATTCACCAATCCAATAGATTGAGATTAGCCTTGGTTTGAGGAGAAGTCAATGTCCGATTTGAGGAGTTGGAGTCGGCCAGGTCAATTTGGCATAGGAGGAGGGAAGGGGGTATGTAAAAGCCCTGCGCCGGACGACGAGCGATTACGCGGCCGCACAAAGAACACACAGAACACACAAATTTTAAGCGAAACTACTAAGTGTATCTTTTTGGAAATTTGGATATAAGCTTGATTTCTGATTCTCTACAGCTTTTCCGTTGACACCAAAATGGGTTTCTTTTGAAGAAAGTGCTCAAACTGTCACATATGACAATAGCCCGCAGTTTTCAACTCACCAATCCAATATATCTAAGCTTTCAAGCTACTCTAGTTCTTCAAAATGCAAAAAAAAACATAAACTAAAACAAAAACTAAAACAAAAACTAAAACGAACACCATTTGAGAACCCGTATATGGAGCTGGATAGGTTGGCGTTTTGAAGAGAATCGGCTGATCACCGAGTGTGCATTGCTTAAATTTTTGAGTCTGTTCGTCAGTTAACGAACAAGCTACAGTTGTAAGAAGAAAATTTACCTGTGTTATGCAATCTTGGGCCAAAATGTGGGTAAAGAAAATGAATGGAATTGAAATGAATTGAATTGAAAATGAAAACATTATGAACTTTAGAGAAAATCGAAATTGAAACACGTTTGAAAACGAAATTGAAACACTATTTTAGGCGTTTCACCCTTTTCCGTTGTCAGTTGATTTTTCTAGAAGTGATAAGGACGAATTAAAAAACGTCATAACTTCTGATCTTCGCTCAAGTTTCTGCTCTTTGCATTCCCGATAAATTGTAACAGTTTTGTTGGAGTTTGTTGTTGTTGAATGTTGATGTTGAAAACCTCGCTCTGAAGTACAATAAATCTTTTCTAAACCTTTACTTGATTATACAAATAACTGTGACAACTTGAGAACAATAGTTGTCGGAGTATCTCGATCAGATGGATCAGATGGAATCCCAGTAATCTCGATCAGCTGGAATCCCAGTAATATTCATCGTCTTTTGTAGAGAATCTTTCCAGATTGAAACATTTTTAAGCCCTTGAACTTTCCGGTTGATATCGTTTTCTTGTAATCACCGATACCTTGACCGATGAACTGAAAAAAGAAATGTTTGTCTTAGCTGTAGTCTCATGATTGCCTTTCCATTCCCCTATTTTCCCTCAGTCGAATAAGTTTCGAACTCATCTAAAAGTTTAGAACAATCGAAACCAGGTTCCAATTGCCAGACTCAATGTCAAAGTAATGTCAAAGATGAATTATCCAAAGGTTAGCGGCGCATTTCGAGTAAGATTTCCTGGAAGACGAGGTCAAGTGGAAGACGCTCGTTGCACAGAGTATATAAATGAATTGTTGACCAGAAATCTGATGTCTTGCACAAAAATCGCCATTCATGGATCGTCGGCTGCTTATTGGGAAAATCTCGAAAGGATCGGTGTTAGAATGATCAATTTTCTTGAATTAGACTTGAGAAAACCTTTATTAGAGGAAAGATCTGGCTAATTTGTTGCCAAATAGAGGAAAGCTCTGGCTAATTTGTTGCCAAATAGAGGAAAGCTCTGGCTAATTTGTTGCCAAATAGAGGAAAGCTCTGGCTAATTTGTTGCCAAATAGAGGAAAGCTCTGGCTAATTTGTTGCCAAAAGAGGAAAGCTCTGGCTATTTGTTGCCAAAAGAGGAAAGCTCGGCTAATTTGTTGCCAAAAGAGGAAAGCTCTGGCTAATTTGTTGCCAAATAGAGGAAAGCTCTGGCTAATTTGTTGCCAAATAGAGGAAAGCTCTGGCTAATTTGTTGCCAAATAGAGGAAAGCTCTGGCTAATTTCAAAGGTGAGTATAAGAAACGTGATGGAATTGAGTGAATTTACATTACAATCTGAATTTCCTCAACAAATTTTATCTAGAAGCACTAATGTCAAAAGACTTTGAGCAAATTTCGGTCTAGATTTCGGTCGAGATTTCAGGTTGATTGCAAAATACATTTATTTTCCTTCCAAACGCTTTAAGCGAAATTCCAAGCGTGTTGATGTGTGGTCGCTATTAGATTTGAAAAAAAGAAAAGAGAAACAATTGTCTTAATGTTTTTGCCCGATCATTCCATGATCCATAAGGCAGAAAAGAGGCCACAATGAGGGGCGGGAAGAAGGGAAGAAGGGATAGGGAAGATAGGGAAGAAGATAGGGAAGAAGATAGGGAAGAGGGAAGATAGGGAAGAAGATAGGGAAGAGACAGGGGAAAGCCGAGGGGGCGGCCCGGGACAGCTCTTCCCTCCCCCATCCCTCAAACTCGACTTGTCAATGGGTTCTATGATCTTGTTGACTCACTCACCCCGTTTTAGCACTATGGTGAAATCCTAGAGTTCTTAAATCAGCTTCAGTACTTGAAATTTGATCCTTTAGATCCTTTTTCCTTGTTTTTGTGGCTGTTTTTCGTGACTAATAGCTTAAAAGCTTTTCATTGATCTTTCAGCTTTTCAAAACTCATTTCTCACTCTTCTGTTAGAATATTCGAAAAGTCTATTACTTTAATTCAAAAGATCAGGCTAAAAGACAAACTGGGAAGATGGGTATTCGGATAATCATCGATGATGATAAACCAGCGTGAGTTAAATGAACTCATCGACAAGTGATCGATGAATTTTCCGAAATCAAAATCAGCATTCAAGATCAGCGTTCAAAATCAGCATTCAAAATCAGAATTCGATTTTGTATGCAAGCTAGTTTATTTGTTTAGATTTAGCCGTTTGTAAGTGGCATTTTTCTCAAGATTTTGTTATCGCAGGGCTTTACAAGAGATCTTTAAAGAAGCTCGGTTGATCACTTCAAATGAAGCTCAGTGTGATACTTTTATGAAAAGTAAACCTTCCAGAGAAGGCCTCGAATGGGCGCCACCACTGCGGGTGATCTCGATCGTCACTCTTTTCGTTGCCACCCTCGACTTGTTAGCTGATTTCTTAGTCTGTATAAGGTGAGTTCTGAGAGTCTGTATAAGGTGAGAAAAGAACAACTAAAACCCATAATCTTTATTCCTTGTTTAGCAAGGTAAAAGCTCATTTGTCTCAAGATTTCACAAGATTTCACTATCATTTTCAGAATCAGCGAATACTTGGAGAATTTCCAATCAAGGAAAGCCATTTATGCTGCTTACGGGTACTTCTTTTTCACTGGTGTCTCAGTGATGGTTTATGTTTTTGAGGTGAGTTGAGCGCTTGTTTAATTCAAAACCTCTTGCTCTTGATTCTTGTTTAATTCAAAACCTCTTGCTCTTGATTCTTGTTTGATTCAAAACCTCTTGCTCTTGATTCAAAACCTCTTGCTCTTGATTCTTGTTTGATTCAAAACCTCTTGCTCTTGATTCAAAACCTTACATTACTTCTTTCCGAGTTTTACTCTTACATTTCTAGTTTTAAAAATTCTTATCAAAATTCTTATCAAAATTTACAATTGAATAACTAGAATAGAGCACTATGATAAACTTGAATGGCACTATGATAAACACTATTCTGATTTAAATTGAGAGGGGAAAATTGGTGGCGTTTTGGTGGCTCTCATTTTGGTGGCTCTCATTTTGGTGGCTCTCATTTTGGTGGCTCTCATTTTGGTGGCTCTCATTTTGGTGGCTCTCATTTTGGTGGCTCTCATTTTGGTGGCGAATGTATAGCCGAAAATGTAAACTAGCATACAAAGAGAGTAAAATTCACTTTTCCGGGCGCAAAAATCCAACATGATGCAAGGCAAACTTGTAAATGTAAACTATGAAAAGGGTAAAAGCGATAGTGATAAGTATCAAAGCGATACTGATAAATATTTAGGTAATTGATGTCTGCCAAGCTCTGAAGTACGAACAAGAAAATATCTTCACAGCAAGACTAGCGAAAAGTCTTGTGCTCACACTAGAAGAGGTGAGTAAAATCATGAGGTTATGGAGACTTTTCAAACATTGGCTTGACCTGATAAGCTTGATAAATTTGAGAAACTTGATACTTGATACTTGATAAACTTGATACTTGATAAACCTGACCTAATAAACTAATCGATTCAATCAGAATCTGAGCTTAGTTTTAGTTCTGAATTGTTGGAACAAAATATTAAATGTTAGAGCCTTATGGATGCATTTTAAACAAAATCTACATGACTAGATTGAGTCAGTTTGCTCATCTTCTGTCCATCGTTGTAAGCAGCCATCAAACCAGGCCATCATCTTGTCCTTGCTCCCAAAAAACAAGCCAAGACCTGTATTACTAAATTTTGAAACAAAAGTGCTTGAAATTACCCATCTTTTTCCTTCTTTTAAGTAAAAGAGCTGACATGGCTAAGAGCTGACAGGCTAAGAGCTAGGCATGGCTAGACTGGCTAGACTGGCTAGACATGGCTAGACATGGCTAGACATGGCTAGACATGGCTAGACATGGCTAGACTGGCTAAGAGCTAGACATGGCTTTCGGATCGGATCAGATCGGATCGAATCAATTCGGAGCTGATCCGATCCCATCCGATCCGAGAACGCGACTTTCGAATCAAATCCAATCCGATCCAAGACAGTATTTCTTTGTTGTTCCGATTTGTTTGTTTTGTTAAATTGCTTCTAGAAAGCAAGGTCTTTAATAATCTTGGCATCGCTCTCTGCAACACAAAATTGAACTTTAGACCATTATTTCATAGTAGCCGATATTATTAAAGTCGTTCACATTCAACCAGTTATAAAGAAACATAAAATGTGTTTAATCCGATGCGATCCGACCAGATCCGATTCGAGCCGATTCGATCTAATCCGATCTGATTTGATAGACCAGTGTCTCGGATCTGATCCGATTCAATTCGATAGACCAATGTCTTAGATCTGGTCCGATCTGATCTGATCCGATCTGATCTGACTAAAACCTGATCCGAAACCTCTACTAAGACTTTCGTTTAGTCTAAGTTTAGACTTTCGATCAGCCGGCCATGGCCGACTGGCTAAGAGCCCTGTATCTTAGTCGGGAGGTCAACGGCGCAATTCCGATTATTAGTTCTTTTTTGCTACATTTAAGGTTGAACTCTAGGCGTTTTGTTTGTGGATTGTTTGTACCATATGATTCGTGTAAATGTATTCCGTAAACTTCGTACCGCTCCCTCCCCAACAACAAGTTTCCATGTGATTTTGATGAGCAACCAAGCCGGCACGAAAACTTTCCCCTCCACAACTTTTTAAGTCTTTTCTTTTCTCTGTACTCGAGTGACCGAGCTGGAACGAGTTCCCATAAAGTCCCGTGGATTGGTGATTTCGGGGCGGATATTGACAAAGAGACAAGCCCGTTCCTCGGTCGATTTCTCCCCCAATGTCCCATCGATGTCCGCTGTTTTTTTTCCGTCTCAGACTCTCTCTCTCTCTCTCTCTCTGCAACGAATGAGTGTAAACTGTGAAAATGCCCGTCTTTTTCGCTCATTTCATTCCATCCAGCACATTTCATAACTGTGAATTAAAAATAGATCAGAGAGAAACGAGGGAGAGTTAAAAAAGGTTCAAAAAACGATTAAAGAGCTAAATTCTGATAAAAACTGAGCCAAAATGTGATAAAATCTGAAGCAAATAATAGATTGTAAATCTGGTACACCTCCGTAAAGTCTCTTTTTGTTATTTCTTTTGTTTCAAAGTTCAAAATCGTTCAAATTTCGGTAAATTACTTTATCAGATGTAACTTAAGACTGTAACCTTTAGTTTTCTTATTAAACAACAGTGAAAGATATCTAATTTTGATAAAAGGTAATACCGTAATCCTTGAATTCTAATGATTACATACCGTAAATACTGTAATTGGACCCCACCCCCGTAATGACGGTGCAGAGCGTTGCGTATTCTAGCTTTGAACGAGTTTTTCTCGACACTGGTTTATGCTACAAAGCACGCTTAGGTATCAAAAAATAGCTGAAATTCAGGGCTATTTTTTGATATCTAAACGCATATTGTAGCATAAACCAGTGTCGAGAAAAACTTGTTCAAAGCTAAACTACGCAACGCTTCGCACCGTCATTACGGTAGATGGAAAGCAAGTCTAAGATCATTAGCTCTAACACCAAAAATTTCAAATACATCTTGTCATTTCATTTATTTCCCAACAAATCTTGTCAATTCTCACCAACTTTTAACTCAAAAGTAACTCAAAAGCCAAGATTTTTGTCAAAACTTTTTCCTTAAACCCATCAAACAACCTCAACTTTTTGTAACGTTTTATCTGGCGTCACATGCCTTCTTGCAGGGTTCATACTCCTTTTTATCAGACTTGCGGGGTCATACTCCTTTTTATCAGACTCTTTGGTAAACAAAAATCAATTAGGTGAATGAAAATTTGATTAACTGAACGTAAAAATCAGTTCCGCTTGTAAATTAAAGAAGTCCAAAAGAAGAAGGAGTCCCTTCCAAAAGAAGTAACAATTTCAGGTACCAATGCCAACTTTGCTGAATATTCTGTTCACGAACGAGCCTCGACTCTCCTTAGCCAATCCGGTTTTCTTCTCCTCGTGGATCAAGCTGGTGGCCCTCACTTGGGGAATCATCAAATTCACGAAGCTGCGATTCTTTTGGCCGTGTCTTCCATGTAATCCGAAACATGATCGTCGGTGGGTTTTTGATTTTCCCGAAAGAAGTAATAAATGACTTGGTTTTTACAGGAATCTAATTGATTTTTACGGGAATCTAATTGACCAGCTAGGGTTGACCAGCTAGGGTTGACCAGGCTGACCAGCTAGGGTTGATCAGCTAGGGTTGACCAGGTTGACCAGCTAGGGTGGACCAGGTTGACCAGCTAGGGTTGATCAGCTAGGGTTGACCAGGTTGACCAGCTAGGGTTGACCAGGTTGATCAGCTAGGGTTGACCAGGTTGACCAGCTAGGGTTGACCAGGTTGACCAGCTAGGGTTGACCAGGCTGACCAGCTAGGGTTGATCAGCTAGGGTTGACCAGGCTGACCAGCTAGGGTTGATCAGCTAGGGTTGACCAGGCTGACCAGCTAGGGTTGATCAGCTAGGGTTGATCAGCTAGGGTTGATCAGCTAGGGTTGATCAGCTAGGGTTGATCAGCTAGGGTTGATCAGCTAGGGTTGATCAGCTAGGGTTGATCAGCTAGGGTTGATCAGCTAGGGTTGACCAGGCTGACCAGCTAGGGTTGATCAGCTAGGGTTGATCAGCTAGGGTTGATCAGCTAGGGTTGATCAGCTAGGGTTGATCAGCTAGGGTTGATCAGCTAGGGTTGACCAGCTAGGGCTGACCAGCTAGGGTTGACCAGCTAGGGTTGACCAGCTAGGGCTAGACTTGGCTAGAATTTATAGAAAAATACGGCCAAATTTATGGCAAAAATCGATCTCAAACATTTGCACATAGTGACGAAGCTAAGACAAAAATGGATCTCAACCATTGGACATAGCTAGGCCGGCATTGAACATAGCTAGGCCGGCATTGGACATAGCTAGGCCGGCTCAGTTATTGATCTTGGTCTTATTGATAGGGTGTTTCCCCTGTTCGAAAAGGAAGTTGACAGAAATTGGATCGACCAGATGCTAGACTTGGCTAGAATTTTTCGAAAAATATGGCCAAAGGCAAAAGGCAAAACTTTTGGGAATAATTTCCCCTTTACACTTTGTAGATTTCCTCACCACCCAAAAAGCCATACACAATGGCTCATACTTCAAAAAATGCACAGAAAAATATGCTATCGAATGATTTTTTGAATATTTTGAATATTTCATTGAATTATGTATTATCTTGCTATTTAAAGGCCCCTAGTATTAGGTTGGTGCAAAAGAAATTTCGGTCGATATAAAATGTTCTTATTTTTTTAATCTGAAGAGCTTATTTGATGTTCTTTTGTGCATTTGTACTCTTGGATATTTACTTTATTTTCGCATTTTTTCAAAGTCAGAGCTTTCACTTTTTAATTGATTTTTGCTTTAGATCATGGTGGATCAAAAGTATGTTCCGCGCACGTGTCTTCTCTATGACTTCAAAATGGGCAAAAACGCTGCTGATTCACATCGTAATCTCTGTTCCGCCTTTGGAGAACAGGTTATCACCGAAAGATCATGCCAGCTCTGGTTTGCCCAATTCCGAGATGGTAATGAATCCCTTGAAGACGAATCGCATGGACATCGTGCCACAGCCATCGACAATTGGAACAATTAATTGAAGCTGATCCAATGCAAACAACACGAGAACTTGCCAAACATCTCCAATTCAACAATTGTACGCCATTTGGAAATAATTGGAAAGACAAATCGTAATGGACAATGGGTTCCACATCAATTGAGTGTTGAGAATCTGGGAGCACGCGTTTCGATCAGCCATATCTTGCTCCATAAGTCGAAAAGAAGCCATTTTTTTGAGAATATCTTGACGATGGATGAGAAGTGGATTCACTTTGATAATACTTCTCGAAAAAGGCAATGGCTGAGCAAGGTCAAGCGCCAATTCCAACTCCAAAGCCGGATTATCATGGGCGCAAAGTGATGTTGTCTTGCTGGTGGAATATCAATGGACTTGTTCATTTTGAATTATTAGAGCCCGGAAAAACAGTCGATTCATCTTATTTTATTCAACAACTCAAGAAGGTTGACGAAATTTTGCGTGAAAAAGGCCTAAATCCCTCAACTATCAACTTTCTCCGTGATAATGCTCCAGCTCACACGGCAAAAACCTCTTGTAAGGAACTAGAGAAGCTAGGATGGAAGGTCTTACCACATGCGCCGTATAGTCCAGACTTAGCACCCTCCGATTTTCACCTTTTCAGATCGATGCAATATTCCCTTGAGAATTGCCAGTTTAAGAATGCAAAAGAAGTCGAAAATTGGGTGACCAACTACTTTGCATCACAGAATCAAGCGTTCTTTGAGAAGGGATGTCATAGATAATAATGGTGCTTATTGTTTTAAATAAATTGTTATCTAAAAAAATTTTGGATGACTTTAATGTTTGTAAAAAAACGAAATTTCATTTGCACCAACCTAGTAGCTGCTATTTAAAGGCCCCTAGTTCTAAGGTTTCCAATTCAAGCCATTTTGCCATATTTTTCTACAAATTTCACTACTACAAATAGTCCATAACCACTAAATCAAAGCTTACTTACTAGCTTACTTACTAGCTTACTCCAAAATCTTTAAGCCGATCAAACAAGCCGATCAAATCGATTTAAGTCGACTAAACTTCAGCAGAAATCATTTTGATTAGATTTACTTTGATTCTTTGATTTACTCTCTTTTTCTGTCGTAATCGCTGCTTTGAAAGGCGATTGGGAAATCGATGAAATGAAGAGACCAACTGTTGACCTGTGGCGTCAATCTTGCCATTCTTTTCCATTCCTTTCCATTTCTTTACCATTGAGTGTGAGGGGAGACTGACCAATGCACTCTAGCAAAAACATGTAGGAAAAAAGAGTATCCAGCTAAAATGAAAATCGGTCAAGGAAACATTTTGGTGAGAGAAACAATAGTTTGTTATGGTGAAAAGCCTGTCTCCTAGTAGAAATTCCCTGTCTTTCTTCTCTAAAAATCGAATAAAATTGAAAGTAGTGACGATTTCGTCGCATTTTACTAGAACAATCAAACAAATAACTATAATTCAATCTGTCTATTGACCAGCCGTCTTAAATACTCCAAGATCCAATGATTCCAAGATTGAATCCTTAAATACGCCAACACCAAGATTGTTCCAAAAGAATTTTTCCGTGCTAGACCCGGCCAGTCAATGTTAGGCAAGGCAAGACTAACTAGGGAACTGTTCCAACTTAGCATCGATTTGGGAGATGGAAACTAGCGCAGAAACACCATCTTGACATTCTAAAGAACACCTGTTTTTCCGTTTTACTCCATAGCATCCAGTTTTTGAGAAAAATGCTTTAGAAGTTTGGGCACTTTTTGGAAAAACGGTGTGGCCCAGTCTTGCCCAAAGTTGCTTAACTTCCGCAGATGATGACCGAATGGTTAAAGCTAAAACTTCTTTAGAAAACCTTCGAATCCATTGTAGTTGTGCCATTTCAAGAAAAATCTTAAAAAACAAAATTGAGTGAAACACCCGGAAATCGAACCCGGATCGTGTGGGTATCGTGTGGCTTGTTAAAGCGCTGCGGCTCCTGGCTGCGGCTCCTGGCTGCGGCTCCCGGCTGCGGCTCCTGGCTGCGGCTCCCGGCTGCGGCTCCCGGCTGCGGCCCGGCTGCGGCTCCCGGCTGCGGCTCCCGGCTGCGGCTCCCGGCTGCGGCTCCTGGCTGCGGCTCCTGGCTGCGCCGTCCCTCCGCCTCAAAGCATCCAGCCAAAAAAAACCCACCGCTAGGCGAGCCATCTTTTACCATATCCCAAATTGGTGCTTAGTTGAAGCACTTTCTCAGTAAGCCCAGTAGGGCAAGTCAGACTTAAACCCATGGCCTGGCTTCTGGTTGTTGGCCTATCTCTAACTTTGACTGGACAAGATAAGAATTCAAATCGTGATCTGGCGCTGACCTTACCTGTCTAGAATTTAGCTTAATCTGGTCTGGCTTTGTCTGGCTTTTTCTGGCATTAGCCTTGATTTACATTCCTTATGAGTAGGAGCATCCCAACTTTTGACCATAAGATCGGCCATCATTTCAGAGAAAACTTTCGACGAATGTTCACTTTCACTCCATATCGAGTGGCGATGATCATCGTCAATATCTGTCACATGTACTGTATCTTCATTGTCACGAAAAACATCATGGCCAGTGCGAATGGTGGGCGGCCGATCAAGGCTGAGAACTGATTGTATAAGAAACCATTTTCTATGATATCAATATGATCTAAGATGATTTCTAAGATGATCTAAGATGATCTAAGATGCTTTATATGTTTGCTAGTATCAAATTTGCAAGAGAAAACCTGTGATCTGATGTTATTTTTGAATTTTTATTATATTCTGATTTTTCGACTTTTCCCAAAGTCTTTCTTTCCACCGTGCCAAGCACCAATTATACGTAGTACAAAATGGGTAATATCTAGTCAATTCTTTTTGTTATTTTATGCATTACGTGCTTTAAATAAAGATTTCCATAGAATTTCCATAGAATTTTCATAGAATTTATTTCGTTAATATCGAATAAACATTGAATTTCATATTCTAAAAGAAAAGAGATTTTAAAAAAGGAAGTTTTTTGCTCCAAGTTGAAACCCGTAAGAAAGCAAGGGAATACTTTGTGTAACGAGCACTTTCCACTTGACCTGGGCTTTGAGCTCGAACTTGAGATTCGCCGCTAACCTTTCGCTGGATCTTTCATCTTTGACATTACTGCTTGTAGATCGTTGAGATGATTGAGGTAGAGATTTTGAATGAGTTTGATTGTGGGCATGAAATTCAAGACATCAATTTCTCGATCTCTGGCCGGGTTATTGACCCGTTTATCGGTACAAAAGGTGAAAGCTTAAAGCTTAAAGCTACAAGCTTAAATATTTGAGAAAAGACGAAAGTACGACCGATTACAGGTAGAATGATTCTCTAGCCTCTGGATAATTCATCTTTGACACTAGTGCTTTTGGATTACATGGAAGACACGGCCAAAAGAATCGCAGTTGGTAATTCTTGATCGCGAAATAGACGACATTATTCGACTGTTTGTCAGAGGACATTTAGCGATTCTCTATTGATAAACGGGACTTTGTGTCGGCAATCCTCGATCACGAAATAGACGACATTATTCGAGATTCTCCACAAATCTCAAGTCTAATTCAAGAAAATTGATCATTCTAACACCGATCATTTCGAGATTTTTCCAATAAGCAGCCATGCATGATGATTTCTCTGCAAGAAAACAAATTAATTCATTTATGTACCTTGTGTAACGAGCAATTTCCACTTGACCCGAGCTTTGAGCTCGAACTTGAGATTCGCCGCTAACCTTTGGATCTTTCATCTTTGACATTACTGCTTGTAGACCGTTGAGATGATTGAGGTAGAGATTTTGAATGAGTTTGATTGTGGGCATGAAATTCCAGACACCGATTTCTCGATCTGTGGCCGGGTTGTTGGCCCGTTTATCACAAAAGGTGAAAGTCTTACAAGCTTAAATATTTGAGAACAGCCAACGATCCGTGAATGGCGATTTTTGTGCAAGACAACAGATTTCTGGTCAACAATTCATTTCTGTACTCTGTACAACGAGCACTACCCACTTGACCTGAGCTTTGAGCTCGAACTTGAGATTCGCCGCTAACCTCTGGATCATTCATCTTTGACATTACTGCTTGTAGACCGTTGAGATGATTGAGATTTTGAATTAATTTGATTGCAGGCATGAAATTCTGCGCAACGAGCGTCTTCCACTTGACCTCGTCTTCCAGGAAATCTTACTCGAAATGCGCCGCTAACCTTTGGATAATTCATCTTTGACATTACTTTGACATTGAGTCTGGCAATTGGAACCTGGTTTCCATTGTTCTAAACTTTTAGATGAGTTCGAAACTTATTCGACTGAGGGAAAATAGGGGAATGGAAAGGCAATCATGAGACTACAGCTAAGACAAACATTTCTTTTTTCAGTTCATCGGTCAAGGTATCGGTGATCACAAGAAAACGATATCAACCGGAAAGTTCAAAGGCTTAAAAATGTTTCAATCTGGAAAGATTCTCTACAAAAGACGATGAATATTACTGGGATTCCAGCTGATCGAGATTACTGGGATTCCATCTGATCCATCTGATCGAGATACTCCGACAACTATTGTTCTCAAGTTGTCACAGTTATTTGTATAATCAGATTACATTAGTGCTTCTAGATAAAATTTGTTGAGGAAATTCAGATTGTAATGTAAATTCACTCAATTCCATCACGTTTCTTATACTCACCTTTGAAATTAGCCAGAGCTTTCCTCTATTTGGCAACAAATTAGCCAGATCTTTCCTCTAATAAAGGTTTTCTCAAGTCTAATTCAAGAAAATTGATCATTCTAACACCGATCCTTTCGAGATTTTCCCAATAAGCAGCCGACGATCCATGAATGGCGATTTTTGTGCAAGACATCAGATTTCTGGTCAACAATTCATTTATATACTCTGCGCAACGAGCGTCTTCCACTTGACCTCGTCTTCCAGGAAATCTTACTCGAAATGCGCCGCTAACCTTTGGATAATTCATCTTTGACATTACTTTGACATTGAGTCTGGCAATTGGAACCTGGTTTCGATTGTTCTAAACTTTTAGATGAATTCGAAACTTATTCGACTGAGAGAAAATAGGGGAATGGAAAGGTCATCGTTGAATATAAGATATAAGACTGCTTGTAGACCGTTGAGATATAGATTTTGAATGAATTTGCTTGAATTTGATCGTTTCCTCTCCATCTTATATTCAACGATGACCTTTCCATTCCCCTATTTTCCCTCAGTTCTCCAAGAATCCATTCTGAAAGCTCTTAGTTTCAAAGATGCTCGAAAACTCTTGATAATTCTCTTGATAATTCGTCCTCTGGATAACTCTTCTTTTTGTTATTTTATGCATTACAAGTGCTTTAAATGAAGATTTGCATAGAATTTGCATAGAATTTATTTCGTTAATATCGAATAAACATTGAATTTCATATTCTAAAAGAAAAGAGATTTGAAAAAAGGAAGTTTTTTGCTCCAAGTTGAAACCCGTAAGAAAGCAAGGGAAAATGAAAATCATTCCGGGCCTAGGAACCTGATTTTGGACTAGATTTTATATCTAATTTTCATTTATTTCTAGACCTTTTTTAGATCTTCTAAATTCTCGATAAAAGTAATGAGAAATTAAAGGATTAAAATTCAAAAGAAGATTGAGATTAAGCGGCAACGGTGACCGCATTCTTGATGTTGTTTCGACTCGCGACATGCGTAACCGTTCGACCAGCAGAGCCTCGACTGCCTTCAAATACATGATTTTAGATTTTTCATCGTTTAATTTTTCTAAAAAATCAAATCTTTTAGCACTTGAAAAGCTGATTGATTTGGAAACTATAAAAAGCAAAAGAAAATTTTGCCTTCTCTTTTGTCAGCTTCGAGCCAAACTGATATTTTAGTTACTATTGAATGATTTGTCTATGTGTCTATGTGTCTAAATGCGTTCTCCCTGTGCTTATCCCTTTCATCGCCGAGAAGGCGCGGTCCTTGGGATTGCCTAGGAGGACAAGTGAGGCTCACTGAAGGCTCACTGAAGCTCTCACTGAAGCTCTCACTGAGGCTCTCACTGAGGCTCTCACTGAGGCTCTCACTTGTCCTCCTAGGCTTGGAGTCCCCCTTCCCATTTCACTCATTTGTAATCTATTCATCTTATCGTACTACTATAAATAAAGATACATATCTTCCGGGTCTGTGCAACTGCAGTTCAGGTCGGTCATTTCACAGGGACTCCCTTCTTAAACATTTGGAGGAGTTGAGTTGGGTTGTCGGGGTGTTAGAGATAGCAGGATATCAAAAGGGGTCCACTCTCTTTAACTTAACCTAAATTCTAGTCCATATCCGTTTACTCCTAGGAACGAACATGACGATTAAACGCTTCAAGGAATTGGGAACAAATGCTGAGCTGGTCGAGGAAAATAGCGTTTAAAGGTATAAAATCTTTAAACTGAAAGATCAAAATGATCTCTAAAATGATCTCTAAATGAAACAAAAGTTCCCTATTTTGAGTACTCCATTTTAGGCCTTGAATTGGATCCGTTACCTATCCATTAACCCATTAAAAACTTGTCTAAAGGCTCAACTCACTCAGCCAAGTCACTCAGCCAAGTCACTCAGCCAAGTCACTCACTCAGCCAAGTCACTCAGCCAAGTCACTCAACCAAGTCACTCAACCAAGTCACTGAACCAAGTAACCAAGTCACTCACTCAGCCAAGTCACTCAGCCAAGTCACTCAACCAAGTCACTCACTCAACCAAGTCACTCACTCAGCCAAGTCACTCAGCCAAGTCACTCAGCCAAATCACTCAACCAAGTCACTCAGCCAAGTCACTGAACCAAGTCACAACCAAGTCACTGAACCAAGTAACCAAGTCACTTCAGCTAAAGAAAACTTATTTTTTACCTGAAGCTCATCATGATTTTTTTATCAAAATAATATAGTCAAATATAGTCAAATATAGTTGAAATATAGTCAAGTTTATGAAAAAAATTCGGAAGAATTGATGAATTGCTTTTTGAGAAATCATTGTGCAAACTTTTTCGACGAATTTTTTCGACGAACTTTCTAGCCAACTTAATAGTTTTGATAAAAGCTACTAACTCAAGAAGCTACTGGTTGAGCTACTGATTCAATTGTTTTTCCTTTAGAATAGTCAACTTGATTTCATTGTTCATTGTTCACTGTTGCCTAGTTCAAAAAAACTCGTCGAACTTTCGGCGAACAATGCAACCACTCGAGGTTTCGAGTTTCCCATACTTGCCCCTCACTAGAAAAAAGAATCGGTGACGTTTTTTGGGTTAATTTTTAATTTTTATCGACTATTGCATGTATTTTGGTTGGTTTTTGGGTCAAAAATCAAATACTCACCGTATGCAAGCTCGAAAGCACACCCAGCTGCAATCAAAAGCCCGATCACGACTAGTACGATCGGATGGACGCTGTTGATGATGTCTGAAAGGGGAATTCGAGTTGTAATCGAGACTTTAAAGGGGTTTACCGTATTTCTTCGAATAGAAGACCGGGTAAAGAGTATGATCGCGTACTCCTGCGTAGCAGCCCTTTTTAAAATTTCTTTCCTGCATAAAAGCTTTCAATGAAGTGCTATAGGGCTGGAAAATGACTCAAAAATACCAAATGAGCTAACAGATTTGAGCCATGAGCCATTTTCCAGCCCTATAACACTTGATTGAAAGCTTTTATGCAGAAAAGAAAGGTTAAAAAGGGCTGCTACGCAGGAGTACGCGATCATACTCTTTACCCGGTCTTCTATTCGAAGAAATACGATAATTGGGAAATGAATTCAAATTTTGAAAGTCTCATTGGGAAATCGAGTCATCTAGAAAGCTAGAAAGCTAGCAATCTTGAATCTGCAATCAATCACAGGTTTAAGTTCAGTTAAAGTTTCGTTTAAGTTCAGTTTAAGTTCAGTTTAAGTTGAGAAAGTGTTCACCAAACGATAAACAAACCTTTGATAACATTGGATGTGTCATCAACAAGAACATTTGCACTACGCTGAAAAAATGACAGATATTTCTGACTTATTTAAGTTCAAAAGTTTTTCTGGATATAAATAAGAGAATACTGGATATAATTTGAAGAAAAAATCTGGATATATATCATTTTTTTTTTGAGAGTTGAAAGCCTTTTCGACTTACCACAGTGCGCGGTTGATTCGGCTGATCGGCGAAAGCGGTGGCCGTGCAAAGAGCCAAGACGCCGATCACGTGAGACATTTGAGAAAGCTAAAATTTAAGAATTTACTGATCTTTGATTATCATTCACATTTCAAACAACTCTAGTATTACCTCAAGGAAGTATTACCTCAAGAAAAAGGTCAAAAGCTACTTGTAATTTGTGACCTAGTCATGTAATTTAGTTCCACAAGACTTCAAATTGAAAATAGAACTTTAGAACAAGGCTCTAACACCTTTAGAACAAGGCTTTAACAACTTTAGAAGGCTTTAATAACTTTAGAACAAGGCTCTAACAACTTTAGAAGGCTTTAACAACTTTAGAAGAAGGCTTTAACAACTTTAGAAGGTTTTAACAATTTTAGAAGGCTCTAACAACTTTAGAAGGCTTTAACAACTTTAGAACAAGGCTTTAACAACTTTAGAAGGCTTTAACAACTTTAGAACAAGGCTTTAACAACTTTAGAAGGCTTTAACAACTTTAGAACAAGGCTTTAACAACTTTAGAAGGCTTAAAATTACATTCAAAGTCTTACAGAAGAGAGAAAATTTGTGTCAAAGTTGAACTACCTACGTGGAAAAGTCGATCAACTTCGACGGTCTATAACTCAAGGTATAGAAGCTAAATCAACCTATGGTTGGTTTTAATAGAATCTTCATTAAATTTGGTTATAGAAAAGTAGAATTTGTTTTGTATACTCAGGTATAAAAACATAGAGAAAAATTGTCTCAAAGTTGACCTTCCGAATAAAAGTCTCGGAGTTTGGGGACTCTTCTATTTTACTCTATATCACGACTCCCAGTAATCAGATCGACTTAAGGTTGGTTTTAAAATGATCTTTATTAAATTTGGTTATAGAAAAGTAGAATTTGTTTTGTATACTCTTATGTAAGAAGTGTCTATATCTCATATGTCAGTAGAAACTCAAAATTGGTCTCAACGAAGAAACTCTAGCAATAATTGAAACAAAATTCTACACTTTTCAATTCTACACATTAATTCTAACAAAGCCAAACGATCAAAAGTCAAACGATCAAACGTCAAACGATTTCAAGCAAGAAAAAAAGCTTAAAATCATTTATAAACAGCTAGATTTAGGTTGCTAGAGTTTTCTTCTTTGAGATCAATTTTGAGTTTCTACTGGCCATGTTCTTACATAAGAGTATACAAAACAAATTCTACTTTTCTATAACCAAATTTAATAAAGATCATTTTAAAACCAACCTTAAGTCGATCTGATTACTGGGAGTCGAGATATAGAGTAAAATAGTAAAAGAAGAGTTCCCAAACTCCGGGTTTCGCCACGGAATTTGGAAGTTCAACTTTGGCACAAATTTTCTCTATGTTCTTATATCTGAGTATACAAAACAAATTCTACTTTTCTATAACCAAATTTCATGGGAATTCTATTAAAACCAACCATAAGTTGATTCAGCTTCTATACCTCGAGTTATAGACCGTCCAAGTTGATCAACTTTTGCAGGTCGAGATATAGAGTAGAATAGAAGAGTTCCCGAACTCCGAGATTCGCCACGGAATTTGGACTCCGAGGATTTGGACTCCGAGGATTTGGACTCCGAGGATTTGGACTCCGAGAATTTGGACTCCGAGAATTTGGACTTCCCAAACTCCGAGACTCTTATTTGAAATAAACATTGAAACAGATAAAAACCGTGAAATTTAGTGTCTGCCTAAAAATTCTTTGCAGAAAATAAGAGGGATGGGTGTTGTTCGTACGAAGAGACTCGCCGAAGATTCGTCGACGGAACCGGAAACCCGTAAAAGCCCGAGAAAAAAAAGAAACTCTCCGCGTGCCCGACAAAAAAGAGAGACGAAAAAAGTGAAAAAGACAGTGCGAAACGGTAGATTCGGGCACTTTTCGCGTCTCTCTTTTCCACTTTTCCACTTTTCCTTTTCCTTTTCCTTTTCCAACGAAAAGACGCCTCTTCCGGCTATTTGTTGACGCTGAATTTGACACCTCTTTCCAGGCCTCCAGGCCAAAATCTTCCAAGTGAATCGGTGAAAAAACATCACTTTCGACCATTCCCAGGTATTTACTTCACGTTGTACAATAGTTTTCTTTAAACTAGAAACCTAAAAGTAAAGGAAAATCAGAAAGACGAAAAGGATTTTAACACGTTGACGACAATGGCGTCTTTGCACAAACAATCGCATGGGACAACGTTGTTTTTTTTTCAACAAAAAATGTCACCTGACATCAGGTGACAATGTCCCAGGCAAACGAATGTGTCAGACAGCATCAGGTGACAATGTCGTCAACGTGTTAAGGAGCCTGAGCAAAAAGGAGCGAAAAGAAGCCTGAGCCTACGTAAATTTACTTCCTGGCCATTTAAATTTGACTAATTCCAGACCAAATCGACCTTTTACACGCTTTGAAAGCCCATCACTTGGTCCATTGATTCTCCAATCCCGAAAATTCTCCAACTCTGATTCTCCAATCCCGGTCCATTGATTCTCCAATCCCTGAATACCTTAAGATCCAGCCTCAAGACCGTAATCCAGCTAATCTAGACGTAATACCTTATTCTAGGCTGAATACTTTAAACTAGACTAAATACGGTAATCCTGTTATTCCAGACTGAGTACCTAAATCTAGACTAAATATCGTAATCCAGCTAATCTAGACTGATTACCCAATCTAGACTAAATACCGTAATCCTGTTAATCTAGATTGAATACCTTAACCTAGACCGAATACTATAATCCAGCTAATCTAGACTGAATACCCAATCTAAACTGAAGACCGTAATGCAGCTAATGCAGACTGAATACCTTATTCTAGGGTGAATACCTTAGTCTAGACTAAATACCCGAAAATTCTCCAACTCTGATTCTCCAATCCCGGTCCATTGATTCTCCAATCCCGGCTACAAATTTACAGCTCAAATCCTCTTCTTTTTGCACGACCAACAAAGCAGAAAATCCCTGAAGAAATGAAGAAATGAAGAAATGATTCAGAAATGGATCAAAGTTTGCAACTACAGTACTCTCAAGATTTTCCACGATTTAGCGAATCGCTTGGGTGGCCACTTTCTTCTTTATGGCCATCATGATATACTCGAATTTCTATATTTTTCTTTTTACTCTCATGGAAAATGGTGTTTTGCGCGTGTTTTCTCCCGTGGTCAAGTGGAGTTTTCGATAAGCCTTCAGTCTAGTAACTTGTAACTTCTAACAACAAGACCAATGTAACAAGACCAACAAGACCAATGTAACAAGACCAACAAGACCAATGTAACAAGACCAACAAGACGGCTTGTCGCCTAAGTCATGCCCTAATTACCGTAGCCGTGACCAGAATTCACCCTCATTCTGGCTCGAACAAGAAAATTGAGGTACTTTGAGCTTTTCCTAAAACCACTCTTTCTAGCGCAATGAATTCTTCGTTTTTATCACGGGAAAATGAAAAAACTCAGTTCTAGCGAGGTGTTCTTTTTAAAAGATTTAAAAGATTTTTAAAAGGTTTAAATTTCGTTGCATTTTTCTAAAAAATCCTGTTCAACGATTGTAGTTACAAATTGAGCTTGCTAAAAAATCTGATTTTAATCCTTTATAATGAAACAAAAAAAACAACACAAGGTGAAAATAACAGCGCAAATCGTTTTCCGTCAGAAAATTGCTAATATATATTTACCGATATTCGACAAGGCTAGAAAGAGAAAGACTATGTACACCTAATTTAGGCAAAAAGAAGAAAGAATGAAAAAAAATCAAACAAATCCAAAGACTTTCACTTGAATAGCACTTCTTAGCTTTGAGGCCAAAATCTTTTTCGATGAATATTGTGGAAGATAGATTCGAGAGATGCAAGTGTTGGCAGAAGGGAGGTGAGCATCGGAGAGACTTCTGGAATTTGATGTAAAATTATGATAAAATCATGAAGGATTAAATTCCTAAAGAATTCAACACACTAGATCAGGGAGAAAAAGCTTAATTTTCGTTTGTAAAGTTTATTCTAAGCAGATCAGAACATTTGAATAGACATCTACATACTTCGAGAACTGTAAGCCCGTTTCGAAACTCTAAATTCTTCAAAACAAAAGAAAACAAGTCTAAAAACTGTTTTGGAAAGCTTGTAAATTTAGCCTAGTCTGTTCAAAAGTCAGCTCAGATTTTTTTACAGGGTGACCCAAAGTAGCCCATCCTAATAGTCCGTTCTAGGCTCATATTTCTGTTATTTGTAGACGAAAACGCGTAATTACTTTGAAAGAGACGTTATTTTTTGACTAGCCATTTTTGAGCGTTCATAAAAAAAATTTCTATCAATGATATGGTGATGAAATGTTGAAGATATACAGAAAATGATATGAATTTTCATTTAAAAAAGAAATTACTCGTTTTCGTCTACAAATAACAGAAATATGAGCCTAGAAAAAAAGGACGGGTTATTTCTGGTCACTCTGTATTAGGCAAACCAGAAGCCAGGTCAGATCTGAGATTCTGGCAAGCTTTGGGTTTTCAAATTTTCTTGAATGGTGCCTAACTGATGCCCAAAATACAATAGCAGTTAATTGTTCAAGTTTACTCACCGAATCACGACTGTTGGCCTTGGGACGAACATCTCGTCGAGAGCCGGCAATGTGGCAGAGCCAGTCCAGAAGAAGACCAACTCCTAAAAGAAAATAAGCAATAAGATTATTGAGTTATCAAAATTCATTTATCAATTGAAAAGTTGTTTACTTGTTTTTCCTTGTCCGTGAACTTGTCCACAGTTTCCCAGAACCATCGACTCAACTTGTTGATCTCAACCTCAGAAATTCGGCATTCCTCTTGGAAGTTAGTCAGCTTTTTCAAGCGCTCGAGATTGATCTAAAGACTTTTTCTTTTAACAGATTCTTTTATTTTGGATGTAAAATCGCGTAGTTGTTCACAGTTGTTTTACTGATAACTTGGTGAACATTCAAAGATAAACTAAACTATTATAGCTCATTAGATAGAGCTGAAGCTCCTCTTGAAAACTATTACAAAGTTGCCACAAACTTTTTGCGAAATGAATAAAAAAATCCTTAAAAACTTGAATTGACACCAAAAAGAATTGTACGGCCCATCGGTGAATGTGCTAAAGATTGTATTTTTCTAAAGTTTTACCTCAGCAACGCCATTCACCAACAAAACGAGATCCTCGGGACTGAGATGATCCATGAAACCCGGGGGAATGGCATCATTGATTCCTTGTCGGATTGACTAAAGTAGTGAGATATTTCATGAGAATTTGAGACTATTATTGAACTATTTTTAGCCTGATACAGTAGCCTGTACAAATCCTCTAATAACTTACTTGATAACACTGTGTGAGCTCTCCTCGATGTAACCGATGTTTGACAAGCTCGTGCACGTATTCGAGAAGATTCGCTCGAGTCACTCGAATATCTTTCCCGCCTGGACAAAGCTCGACTTCTTGAGGACTCTGAAAATTTTGAATTAACACATTCACGATAAAGTCATTGTTTGCTTGACTGATGTTTCGGATGACAGCTATTAGCTTTTGAATCACTTTAATGACCAAGCCAATACGGTCAAAACCCTCTAAAAACTTGGGCAATTAAACTAAATGGCGAAAAAAGAGCGAAACTAGGTTTGGGTTCTGTCCTATATCCCTGCCAGAGGCCGCACGATTAAAAATGAAAATTTTCACGCTTTTGTAATCGGGCACCTTCTGGCACAGGCCCTGAAGTCGCACTTGAGTAATTAAACCGATAAAGTATCCAAAAATAGAGCAGCTTTCTTTAAAAACTAAGTAGGGATTCGAATTCCTTGACCCCGAAAACCCATGGTGCAAATGTTTTCAGCCCAATTGGCCTCAAAAAAAGTACTAAATCTACGGGTCGGCCTACTAGACATGGGAAAATTCCAACCGAAACCTAATTCCACCTTTGTTTTCTCAACCGTCTCTTGGCCGATTGCTCTGAAATCGGCCAAGAAAACGAAGGTGGAATTAGGTTCGCTTTAGAATTTTCCCATGTCTAGTATGTCTAGTATCGTGTGTTAAAATTGTAATCTTTTTTTTATTAAACTTACAATTCCATCGCCTTCCTCTTTCGGGATCGCACAGCTGAAGTAGAGATCGATTTCCTCCAGTTTCTTTGTGCTCACTTCGACATCTTTCAGATCGATGATCAAATCTCGGAGTCGGGTGTAAAGCTGCAAATTGGATAGATAAAATCTTGATACTTATTGTTGCACCACAAAACAAGTATGAATCCCTGGGTTTGAATGTTTTTGTGAAGGTTATGGACCCAGTGGAAACTAGGGATTACAAATACTAAACATGAATCTGAACAACTCAACAATTAAGATAACAATTCACATAAAGTTGGCCTGTATTACACTCTCTAGATTCTTGATAGCCCAGTATTTGATAGTACACTGGACCTCGAGTAGTTCTTAAAACAACAAGGCTACCGGGTACCGAACCTAACTCAGTTTTTTACTGCCTCTCCTGATGCCGATCACCCTGCTATTTGTCAAAAACTACTTATTATCTATAGAACTTTAGAATAACATATTTTGTTGGTTTATAAAATGAACCTCTTTGTCAACGAAGGCCAAATCGTGGAAAGAGTGCGGCCGATCGAGAATCGATTTCCACACATGGCGGGGTAGATGAAGAGGGAAGACATGTTGTTGCACAAGGCAGAGTCCGATCACTCTAAATATTTTGGTTATTAGACCTGAATTCTTCTGATATCTGACTTATAGCTGAATATTACATCTAAATAATCTAAATAATATCTGAATGATATCTGTTTAATAGACTTTGTCCTCAATTCTCACCGTCCAACATTCCTGAAAGCGCTCAAACGAATCGGCGAGAGGTTGCCCGGACAAGGTGTGAACACTTTTTGCTCAGCGGAGACCTAAAATTTCTCAATAAACTTTGGATTTTGCTAATTTATAGCTATTTCTAGATAATTTTGATACCTGATAGAATAACGGAGCTGTGTCATATCTTTGAACCACCGGAGTCTCAGTTGTCTCTTGTTCACCCTTGTCAAAGATCGCCTTATCCAACGCATCACCGCTCTTTTGAAGCAAATCGATGGCATCTTGGAGGTATTGCTAAAAAGCTAACAATTTTCAGGTTTTTCTTTCAAGTTTACCTTGAAAATTTCCTTGAACATGTTCATTTGGATTCCGATTGAGACGGGCAGATCAACAAGGAGACCGACAATTCGCTCGACGCCGCGAGTGTGTTGTTGAGCGACCCTGAAGTTTGGAGAGTTGTACTTGAGAGACTATTTTTTAACTTTACACAGATTGACACAACTTTAAAAGACGGATTAACACAAGATTTAACTGCTAGAGCACTTGGGATTGTCGCCAGATGCTGTCAATCAGTCAAGCTTCTTAAAACCAGCCTGTTGGCTGCTTTGTTATGGTTAGTCAGAGGTTTTAGCTAAAGGAGTTAACTGATTACAATAATTGTTAACCGAGTACCCTGATACCAATCCCCAACACATCACTAAACGCTAATAGAGCTCTTACATTGCATAAATCCGATCAGCCAGCCCCAAATGTTGTCTAATCGTCGAGCTTTCGTCAATCGGTGGATTTCTTCCTTCAATCATCGAGAGCTCACCAAATACATTTGGTGTCGTTTGTGATGTGTAAAGAGCAGACGTCAATTTTAGTTGTTGTCTTCGTGTAGTTGGTGTCTAAATGAATTGCGTAGTCAAGAATATTGCTAAGCCAAAGTATTTCCTTTTTACGACGCCATGTTAGATCAAAAGAATTCAAACACTAGAAGTGACTTTAGGGTGCCAGAAAGTCTTTTCATTTCCTTTTCATACTTCCATTGGAAAATAACAAATTCATCAATTAATCTATAGTTTGTTCTATAGTGTTATTTGTTGTGTTTATTTTGTTCAATTACCCATATTTTTAAGTTAATTTTAGCTCACTTTCAACCAAATTCGAGAGTGAAAACATGGGTTTTTCGTAAAAAAAACTATAAAAACCCCTACGAAGAGATTGACTGAGTCACTTTCTCTGAAAATTTGACTATATACCAAACCTTTTGTGCTCTATCTTTTATCTATTGACACTAAAATAGGTTTCCTTAGTTAAAATGTCTAAAACGTATCATCGAGCCGTCGTCATTTTTGACGACCCGACTTCATGTTCTCAAAAAAATCCAGACCTTTTAAGACATTTTAAATACGTTTTAATGTTATTTTGCAAAAAAAATAATTGGTCTTTCTAATGAAACAAACCATAGGTTAATTTAGTGAATATGTTATTTTTTAACGGACATTTTTAACGGAATATACGAAAAGGAATGAAAACACTTTCTAGACAGCCAATAAAACGATTGTTGGACATTTGATATGCGCCCCGCCCCCTTGGCCATTAGAAATCAAACTTTGAGCTCAAATATCTTGATGCTGGGTTGTCCAATTGAAATAGTTTTTATATCAATCGACAGAGAAAGACTTGGCGCATACAATGATACGAAGAAAATTGAACAGCCTAATATCAAGATATTTGAGCTCAAAGTTAGATTTCCAACGGCAAAGGGGGCAGGGCGTTGCGTCCGATAACCCAATAAAACCGGTGCAAACCTTTTTTGGGCTCCTCTGCAACCTGCCAGGTAACAATTGAAGCCTTCTTGCAACGGATGGTTGCTCATCAAGCGCCGAAGATCGATCTGCTGAAAGATTGCTTCGTCAAAGTCGATTCTCTAAAAACTCACTGCTACTGAAGTATTCAATGATCCCTCTTGTCTTTTGTGGACTTGCTTCTGGTGGTGCTCCTCCATAAAGATATTCCTCTGAATTCTCCCAACCAAGATCGTCAAATGGAAGCTTTTGAAGGGAAATCAACGATTCAGCCAACGCTGAATAAAAAGCTCGAGCCACTCCACTGCCCTCTCCTGGTTCGTTTTCGAAGCCGACTTTAACCTGAAATATTTTGGAATAGATTCTAGATTTAGAAAAGTTGGATTAACTTGCTATCCTTGGATAATTTCTAGAATTAAATAATGCTTTAATTGTACTTACCTTGTGAGTGAACAATGGTGGAATCGTTCCCTTTTGGTTGGCTCGTTTCGTGAACTGGGCGTTCAATTGGAAGACTGTATCTTTCACCAATTTGTCGTGAGACCGAGAGAGTTTCTGAAATGAAAATATCATCTTTTCGTTCTCTTTTGTCTCACCTCCAGCACAAGTTCTTTACACGATGCCTGTCCGGGGTGATCGAAAATCTTTTGGTTGAAGAATTGAGCTCGGGCGTTGTAGCTGGCATGTCCGGTGATCAAGAGGGATTTGTGGACCTGAAAGATTGAAAAATTGGAGACTTGGCTTTTTAAAAGTCATTACCTCATGTCCACAAATGCTGAAAATATCATCGTGATAATTTCTCGCCAAGCACTCCAGCGTGTAACGCCAGCGGGATTCAGAGCGGACCTAGAAGTGGGCTTTGATTAATCTTTGATTTAAATATAGACTAATCATATGCGCCTTTGGTTCAGTGGTAGAATGCTCGCCTGCCACGCAGACGACCCGGGTTCGATTCCCGAGTTCGACACCAATGTGCAAAGTAATGAGAAGCTTTGCTGCGCCCGGTAGTTCAGTGGTTTTAGCAGAGATCATAGGGGATCTTTCCAATATCAAGAGATTTAAAGAAAACCTAAAGAATCAATCGGGGAAAAGACCGTCTAGCAGTCTTAAATTACAACAGAAATCGTAGAGATTGCTGTACAAAATAAGATGCAAAGCCTAGGGTACTCCTTTTTGACTAATATTGGCTCCTATTCAAAATACAGTTGATAATCGATGATGTAAAAGGTTAGACACTAAGCCTAAGAATTGTTACAAGATCAACAAAGCAACACTTACCTCCAACAGCCGCAGCGTTGAATCAGCATCCATATCCGTGGGACTTCTCGCTATCGGCTCTTCACTCATCACCAAATCTTGTTTCACCACCAATCCCCTCTTCAAACTCCAATAGTCGTCACTCTCCGATCTTCCGGCTAAACAAATCGATTCCCTTGTCTGCCCTCCACTGTCAACAATCTCCAAATTCATTCGCTCCTCGTAGAACTTTTTCCATTCCTCTCGAGTCATTTTTGCGCTCTCATGCTCATAGAAATCGGGTCTTGCAAAATCGGGCATCAACAGGAATGGATTAGTTGAGAGATTCAGTGGATCATCAAATATAGAATTGTTCTCTTTCTGGATGATTCCTGGATAGCAATAATCAAAGCTTCGCTCAAAGAATGTGGTTCGAATTTTCTGTTGTTCGTTTGTGCCATGAAGGGATGAGCGGAGTGAGTCAAGCGAGCGACAACGAATGAGGAAAGCGTCAGCCACAAGGGTTAACGGGCGAAGAAGATTTGAGTCGAGAGTGGGCGGACGATCGCCTAAATATCCTTGTTTTTAGGGTAAAATTATAATCTTTAACACATTCACGACAATACGACCCACCGGGTGGGCTGTACTAATGAGAATTCATTTTGGTGTCAACTCAGGTTTTTAAGAACTTTTTTTATTTGTTTCGCAGAAAGAAAGTTCTTGATAACTTTGTACTAGTTTTCAAGAGAAAATTCAGGGTTATCGAATGAACTATAATAGTTTAGTTTAACTTTGAATGTTCACAAAGTTATCATTAAAACAGTTAGCGACTACGCAATTGTACGCCCAAATTCCGCGAATGTGTGAAGGATCTTTTAGCTCACCTTGTTCCCCGCTTGCTCCACGCATCAAATCGATCAGATATGAGGAGACTGTTGGCACTTCGTTCAAGTGTTTGGGAGCGCTTCTGAAATTTGCATACAAATTCATTGTTATACTTATCTTGAATTTAGATAGTAAGCCAAACGTACTCCGGTTGAATTTCGACATCCTCTCGGCGATGTTTCGCCAGCTTGATCTTCGCCTCAGTCACGTCCATCACCGTTCTCAACCAGTTCCAAGCAGGCGCCAAGCATTCCTCAATGTACTTCATCGAATTGTCATTCAAACTATTCGACGAGTTCAACAGTTCAACTTCAAAAGCTATCCTCGACAGAACATAGAAAGCCGAGCAAAGATGCCGAACACTGTCTGCATTGTTTGTCAATAGTTCTTTAGTCTCATTTTTGTCTCTTTTCTCAATTTCGACATTTGTTGCATCACCGGGTGCAGCTGGGGGTCTTCTTCTGTCATCAGTTGTAGCTTCAACAGTATGAGAAGTGATCACCGGTTCATGGTGGATTCTAGAAGTATAGTGACGTCTGTATCTAGCTCTTCTTTCCCTTCGCCTTCTCTCAGTCTCTTCTCTCATAATTTGTTCATCATCCTGATTCACTGTAGCTTGATTTGTATTACTGTCATTCGAGTTCTCATTTCGTTGATCGTCTTGTCCTCGATTGAGTGCCGGTGGATCGCCTCTTGGTTGTCCCACACTATCATCACTTGATCGCGAGTCTCTCTCATTTCTTGCTTGAACCAAAGCATCGAAATCGAGGATTTCCATATCGTCCAACGGTTCTCCATCTTCCTCAATCTCTTCTGGATCATCTTCTTCATTGTGTTCGTGATCTTCATTCTCATCTTCGTTTTCTGAATCATCGTCGCTAGAGTAGGAGTTAGCACTTCCATCTCTTCTTGAAGTGTTTAAGACAATTGAATGCCTGGTGAGACCAGAGGTTCTTGGTGCTTCTTCTTCAGGCGCACGATCGTCAACTGGTAAATTGCTGGAGGTAGAAAGGAGGCGATTCGACGAGGGAAGAGTGTTTCGATCGGTGTCCATCTCGTCATCAGTTTCCTCGCTCTCTGTTTCCTCTTCACGATAGGGGTCCTAAAAATAGACGAATATTGCAATTGTTACCGTAAATACTCTAATCGAACGCCACCCCCTCGTACAGTCGCGTAGACTAACTTCTTTTTAGAAAATCTTTTTTCTCAGCCCCTGCTCTCTTAGCTGGTGAATCTTGGTTATCCCACACTATCCTCACTTGATCGCCAGTTTCCCAACTACACTTTTGGCACCAAAAATACTAGATTTCAAGGGCTATCATTTAACACTAACACTTAACACTAGCACAACATTTAACACTGTAGCATAAAGCAGCACTGAGAATGGGACGTTCAAAGTTAGATTACGAGATTGTACGCCCGTCATTATGGGGGTGGCGTTTTATTAGAGTATTTACGGGAACAGACAGCACATTGTAACTTATATTTTGATTACCCCAAAATAATTTACCTTTTGTGGTGAATCTAGTGTTCTCGTTTTAGTCACAGTCCTCCGCATGAGTGTCGATTCAATCTGATTGAACACCTCACTCTCTTTCAGTTTATTGTTCATCGGCACAATGGTTCGAGCCCTTCCCACAAGCAATGGACCAATCGTTGCCGCAGCCATTCTTGCCGATTCGAGACTCGTGAATGATTGGAAAGCTTTTAGAACATTGTGGCAACGAGTCATCGCATCGATTATGCTGAAAATAATTGTTTTTTTTTGCTTGGATTTTGTTTTCTTACATTTCTGGCTTCACTTCTTGGGGCTTGGCTCCGGTCATTAGTCTTCTGTAGTTGATCACAGTAAGGCGATCGTCTTTCTTTTCTTCAAAGACAACGGGGAATTGTTTCTAAAAGCAAATTTGGTAAGATTGTTCTTGGTTTTGTTGAATCGATTGAATTTTTACAAAACAGTTAAAGTAGAGTAACCACAACACAGGGTGTTAGATTTTTTACTGAACCCTGCACTCGGTTTTTTAAGTGTAACTCAGCACTCAGATGTGTAATCATCTCGCGCTTTGTTTTAATAGAAAATTTAAATATTTTCCTATGGTAGATTCTCAGGGTTGATGAAAAACTTTTCTGTCTTTTTTATAGAACCTCGAAGTTGGCAGTTAGGAGTTGCTTGGCGCGGCACTTGGTTTTGGCGGATTTTCATTTCCAGAAAAGATTGAGCATGTCTTTGAATCCTTTTGGTTTTGCAATATGTTTTAAACATTTTCAAGTGAATCGGGAGGTAACGTGACACTCAATTAGACAAAATTTTGCTATTTTGGAATCTTGGTTTCACATGGGCCTAAGTGTTGGCTGTCAAAAGATGGAAACAGAAATTTTTCATTTTTCAGTTTCTGTTAAAGGTGAATCTTTAACCCTTAGGTAGCCTAATAAAACTAAATTTAGCACTGAAACGTTCATGATCATCAAAATTTTTGTTAAATCTCCCAAAAACAAGTGCCGCGCCAAGCAACTCTTGACTGCCAGCTTAGAGGTTCTATAAAAAAGGTAGAAAAGGTTTTTTAATCAACCCTAAGAATAGGCAGAAGTTATCGATTTTGAGTCCTATTTTGCTCAATCTCGACGGAATTCTATTATAAATACACGTCTATTAATGTGGACAGAACTTTTCAGCCACCGTGTATATCTAGAGCCTATAGCCTAGTAGCGATTCCATTCATCTCACCTTTGAGAAAAGTCCATTTGCAGCAACCATTGCAGCTGTTGTCGACAGTGTGCACAAAAGCACATAGATTCTCAAGATTGAGCGAACGATTCGGCACACAACTGTTGCCACTTCATCATGCTTCAAATCGAGTCCTTTCTGCAGAGTGTCCACCAGGGTGTTGATGTAGTCGACTGGGCATCTAAAGAAAATTCTATAATTGATTGCAAAAACCAAATTAAAAACCAAAGCTAAAGTATTTTATGTAATAAGGCAATTCTAACATTTCGTTTCTTACTTGGTTAGGAGAAGAAACAGAGTGACATCGAGTTGTTCACTTCTTAATCTCTGACTCCACGCCACACTCTCGATATCGTTCAACTCATTGGCTTCAAAGTTGTCATTCACAACCTGACACAAACATTTTAGAACTTTACGACAGTTTTACCAGTTGACTCATCTTTTTGAAGTTTATATTAGTGTTAATCCAGCAAACCTCTGTAACAAAATGTTGCACAACATCTAGACTTCCCAAACAGACTTCCAGGGCTTTTGTGGCAAAATTCGGAGGTTCCAAATTTTGCTCTGGCACGTTGGAATCACTTTCTGAAGAAGTATTGAGATAAGTCTAATTTTTGATGCATTTACCTCCATCATTCGCTTTCGGAATCCGTTTCTTATAGGGAATTTGTTCGGTCGTTTGTCGAGCAACGGTTCTCGCCAAGAAATAGATGATATGGCAGCCGCTTGGATTCGGGAAAGCGAAGCAATCGGTTTTCTTCAGGAGTTCTTTCAAAAGCCACATTCGAGCATCTTGGTTGCCGGAAACCTGGAACAAAGCTTTTTAAGGAGATCAGGCAATTATTTGGCTGGGCCTAGGCTTAGGCTTAAAACAGCCATTGAACAACCCTAACCCTTTGCTTGGTAAACCATTGCACTAACCACTAGATCGCCGAGCCATCTCACCCGGACCTTTGAAAACGCCTTAAGACTATTTAGCAAAAACCAGTTTTAGTGTGTTTACAATCCTCACAAGCAGCTAATTTTTACATCATTCGACTCGTCTTTCCAAGCTCGACAAGATGTGCGCCTATTGAGATTCCAACGCGAGCTCCAAGCGGTTCCTTGTGAGCTCCTTCAAAAACCTTGTCCAACTTACCAAAGCTTTACAAGGGCACTTCTCCCAGCAATCACAATAGGCAGTTGGGCTGGTTCTCTTCAAAGAACAATCATGTCCTCGATGGCAAGTGAAAGCACATTCTGTACAACAGCAAAGAGTCCCCGTCAAGCCACAGGTTCGACACTCGAATATGTCCTGAAATAGCTTGACATTGTTGCACAACTTTTTCAAAATATTACCTGATTGATGTGATCTTGTCCAGTCCATGTAAACGAGCATGTGTCATTGTAGCTCAACACAAACAATGCCCAACTTTTGTTGTGTTCCGGTAGAGAGAACCAATTTGGTGGTGGTTCGAGGAGAATGTTTAAATCGATTTCTCGTCTCACAGCCGATTCCCAGATCGATTTTGCCGCCGAGTAGGCCCGGTTTTCAACCGCGCAAGAGTACGGGTTCAATCCATTGCAATCCTGGAACAAGTATAAAGTTTTTTTACAAGAAAAGTTGGTCTTGAATGTTACCTTTTGCTTCAAAATGTTCGCGAAGAGGCCATTTGATGGAAAATCGACAAGCAGTTTCACGATCTCAAGAGCGTTGGTTTGACGTTGCTTGGCATCGCTCAAGAATTTAATTCCAGCATCAGTTGTATCTAAAATTGTATCTAAAAAAAATTAGATATTTGTACTATTACCTAGATAATTTGTACGATTACCTTTATCTTTCGGAATCCCTAGCGCCTGCAATTGCTGAACTCGTTTCTCTGTGGTGGACGAGCGAAGGAAACGCGACCATTTTTGATCCATCAGCGATTTTGGGCTCTTGGTACCAGCACCTATAAAATCCTCTAGTTCAACCCAAATTCTCCAACTACAATTAAATAAAGCTTCAAATTACCTTCATCCGATTTATCAGCTTGATCTCTATTTGTAGCTGAAGTTGACAAGAGAACAGCCGCATGAAGTATGTTTCCGCCGACATCGTTGAAAACTGGAGACTCGTTGTCCTTCTTTGTCGAGTAGATTCCAAAGATTTCACGGCATTTTGTTTCGGAAGCTAAAACTTATAGTGATCTTTTAGTATTTTAAATTCTAAGTGTTTTGTTTAAAGCCTTGTCCAACCTGCAGCCAACACCTCCAGTTCCCTTTTCACCGCCTCAACATCGCAGTCCAAAACAGCTTGGAAGAGATTTCCCTCGGTCGGTGGAGACAAGCCAAAAATAATCACAGATCCCGTTTTCCTAAATTTTCTTGAAAGATATTTTTTGATTCAATTTTACTTGTCACTGCTTCCACTGCCTGGATCGATCCAAAGTGATTGCAGGAAACAAAGCGGTTGATGGAAGGAGGCAAGTGCTCCAAATCCGCCCTCAGAATCTCGCATTAATGCCAACATTGATGATTTGGGTTTGGATCGGATGAAGAGAGCCTCGTCCTGGAATCAGTTGTTAGAATATGCCTTTAACAACGTAATCTTTACCTTTGAAAAGTTGACTAATGACGGTTGATGCGGGAGCTCTTCGGTAGTCAACTTCTTTTGTCCTTCGATCACAGAGGTGGAGGAGAATGGAAGTGAATGTTTGGAAAGGACTCGGCCATTCACCGACACTCGCACAATGTTGTAGACACCGTCAGTGCATAGAAGACAGCGGATGCCTAGAGTTTGTTTATTGAAAGAATGACAGAGTTTGAGATCGAGTAAATCTGTGCAAATTACAATGAAATTGAGCTTTAATCCATCAGTTGACTACTGCAATCCATAGCTTTAACAATGCAACACTTTAGGCCCCTTTAAAAGTGAAACTTTTCAATATCTTACCTTTTTCATCAGCAACGACACTGCAGAGAATGTCATAAGAGATCGGAATTCTAACGGAGAGACGCAATGGTTCAATGCATTTCGGAGAGTCATAGAATTGCGCTGGTTCGATGGAAGATGGACGGACTTGTAGCTGGCAGACTTGTCGAATTCTAGAATTCTGTAAATTTGCTAATCATTTGTCGCTTACTGCAGCTTGCTCTCGTGGAATCTTGGGTGTGAGACAGAGAGCTCGCTTCGAGGTATGTCGATCCAAGGAGATTCTCGGGGATTCACAACAACACATTGTTTCGAGTCTTTGTCGTGCTAAAATAAATCAGTTTTGATAGAATTTTATGTGCGGAATTTCACACTTGTAAGAATCCAAAACCAAAGCAGTGTCTATTTGTCTATTTGCGTACGTCTTCTTTTGCATACAAATCCGAATACAGTAATCTTGTCACTTGATCTAACTCCGCAACAATTAGATCAAACATAGCAAGTTGTGCTTGTTGAGACATACAAAATGACGCAAAAATCATAAAGATTGGCCAACTTAGAAGAAAGTTATGATGAATTGTGCAAAAGACCCAGTTGCGCAAAAAAAATTTGGCTCAAAATAGCCACCTCCCCCCTTATCCAACTTACAATCACAACGATCCAAACATTCTCGTGTGGCTGCTCATAGATGAAAACCGCGTCATTGACCGGCCAAGGCTCTTGCGTTTGCGATTCGCTCTCGTTTGCCCGCCTCTTCCTCGTATCCCCAACCATTTCTATAAAATAACAGTATAAAGCATCCACCGACCTAAATAAGAAGTTATCTGAAAACAACCTGGATCATTTTCCAGCTCATTCCCATCATCTTCTAATATTCAGTTAAGTTAGTACAGTTTTAATCCACTTACCGGTAACTATTGTCTGCTCTTTGCCGATGTCTTTAAAGTCCAAGTCGTAGCTTTCCTTGTCGACGATTCGGAAACGGCAAGTTTCCGTGGCTGACCAGACTTTTTCCATCAGCACACCAACCTGGAAATGGTTATAAGTTTTGTTTGAAGATGTTTACAACTTAAACTTGATTATGTTCATAGATCAGTCTGGCATTCTTGAATTAACCAGTATCTTTGCAAAAAGTTATTTATTCAATGTTCGTTGGGCTCTCAGAAATTGCGCAAGCGTTGTTTAATCTTTAGGCCATAGCGGTCATTTCTGATCACTTCAGGCTTTCAGTTGACACGCTTTTTCATCATTGAGGAATTGAACCATGATCGCTCAGGTAAGAGACCAGCGATTTACCAATTGACCAAAGAGACTAGCGAGCCGGGTAGAATTTTTGAGCTTACCTTCGGAACGCCATCCTTCAACAAAACAGCCACACTTCCGGCCTCGTACAATGGAGCCGTTTTTGGTCGAACTTCTGCCCCAACATGGATCTCGTTATCAGCTGGTCCCTCCTGACTCCATTGTTTTCTTGTCTTTGATCGAGTTTTCCCGAAATTGTGAACCTTTTCGGCGGAAGGAACAATTCCACTAAAATGCATCGTTTTAAATAATTGCTATTGATGCTTTGCCTCCAATGAATGTATCCATTTTGCGTGACGAAACCGGCGAATAAATCCGAGCAGAAAAAGTTCACGTCACCGCCTTGCGCTTTTCGATCGATTGAGAATGGTTGTGGTGGGAAAGATTGCTGGAGTGAGTTGATTAGTTGATAAAAGTACGTAATCTTTACCGATAGCTCCATTCCAACTTTTCCGGGTAAGAGTTGTGGGTCCATCCATGAGGCGATCTCTCGAATCATTCCTTCTCGCGATGGTTTCTCGTAGAGAACGGCCACCCGAAGGTAGGATGAGGTGATTTTGACGATTGAAGCGCCTGAATAGTTGACCATTGCTCATTTATTAAAGTTAGAATTCATATTTAAGTTAGTAAAAAATTGCAGTTGGCTCATTCATTGGATTTTGCACAAACCCCCAGTCACAGCAACGGCTCTCTCGTGTGGTTGAGTGGATCCACTTCCTTCACTCCATTTCCATCCATACACCTTCCCATCAGCCAATCCGATCAATTCAGTGGCACAAGCTGTGATGTCAGTGAATCTAGAAAGCATCTTTATCAATATCCTTTCCAGAACTGACTTCATTTGGTGATCCTCTGTAATCTCGTCTCCGCTTTGCCAGAAATCAACCTCATTGTCGAAGAGAAATTCCTCATACGAAGCGGATTCTTTCTTTTCTTCTAAATAAAGTCTATTTTATGGGTTGATTCGTAAGGCCATGATTGGCTAAACAGTACACGAATAAACTAATTGCATCCATTGCCTAGATGTATATCTAAATGATCATCGGCGCGAATGAAAATGGCGCAAAGGATTTTAGCGCAAAAAACACTACAAACTACAAAGTCAGACTACAGATGCCTGTAGAAACGCGTAGAATGGCTGTTTTCAAAAACTGTTTTTACCAAAAAATCGAGCCAACTTTGGCTTTTGAATGACATCAAGGTCAGACCAATTCATCATCTCTGCTCAGATAACGTGCTATTTATAGAAGTTTGTAGTCTCGTTCCATGGGGTAGGACTACAAACCTAGAAAAAACATCAGATTTAAGCGCAGATATGGTGGATTGGCTTGATCTTGGTGCCATTCGACAGCCGAAAGTTGGCTCAACTTTTTGGTAAAAAGAGTTTGTAAAAATAGACATTCTACGCATTTCTACAAGCGTTTGTAGTCTAATCTTGTAGTTTGTATGTCGATGTCTAATACCTAACTCTAAGAGGGGCTAGCAAAAGCGCCACGTATCATTTTCGTCAAAAATTTTTGCTATCCACTGCGCCACTAGCCCTCTTTTTTAAGGAAGAGAGAAAAAGCTTAAAAGGACTCCGAAAATCGGCCTAAACTTTGATGCCAGATATCTCGCGCTACAGTGCTCCATTGGGAAAAGTAAAAGCATTTTCAGAATCAGGATAGCCGATTCCATAGAGCCCCGTGGCTCTTGTATTCAAAGGTCATCTTGACCTCGTGCCTTTCGCTAGTAAGCGTGTACTGTTGGAACAGAATATAACCTCTAGTATCCTCACTTTTATCTCCATTGTTGTCCCTTCTCCGATTCGCTCTTGATATCATAAAAGCCGACTCCAAATCCTGAGCATAATCGTCATGGAGGCCACTTGCCTGGATGTGTACCTGATGTGCGTCCAATAGGGTCAACAGCTCTTCCGGGATGCAAACTTCGGGTCCACCCTCTTCCTCATCTGAAAATCAAGAATACAAGTCACTTGCTTGGTATAGCAAAACACGATTGTGATAGTTGTACTGGTAAATTTACAGTTTACAGTAAAACTAAAGTTTATTCCATTTAAAGACAAATTTTACCTTCATCATCGTCCTTTGAGAGCAAGTTGTTCACCGCTTCATTCACGTTCAAGTTGGTTCGCTGAAGATTAAAGTCAATGTGCAAACATTATTGAATTTACTTGTAGCTCTCGGACGATCATTTCTCGTGATTTTCCTTGAAGAACAACTTGCGCTTGAGCAATGAGATCTTCGGGTACTTCAGAAGCTGGAAGCATTGGTCGAGCTCTATCCACAATTACTCCACCCCGATCCCGTCTTGAGCTACTCAGCATCACTCGCCGATACTAAAGTATTAGATTTAAACTAACATGGGAAGGTCGCGAAATCAAGATCGCCAATCGAAATGAGATCTAGACCATCCGTTGCAGAATTTTACGCTGATTCCGAATCTGCTGTCCGTTTTTGCTAAATAGATTGGAATCGCAAGGAATTTGGCAAAAAAAGTTTTTTGGCCTCTCTTATAAGGCTTATGCGCGGGTGACGAAGACGTTGCGTAATGTAGCGTTATCCGCTATACCACGCAGCCATTTCCACGTGGTGCACGCGTAAGCCTTATAAAGAGAAGCAAAAAACTTGTTTGTCAAATTCCTTGAGATTTCGACCTATTTAGCAAAAACGTACAGCAGATACGGAATCAGCGTAAAATTCTGCATCGGATGGTCTAGGTCCCATTCCAATTGGCCATCTTGATTTTATGACCTTCCCTTGTAAGTAACTGCCAATTTAGAGCAATAAAAACTAAATGCTAAATGCTATTGATCCGGTTGACCAGTGGGTTTGATTCGATTTTCTAATTCTTAAAAATCTTGGTATTGACAGTTAAGATAAAAATGGATCAAATCCACGTGCAATCACTAAATATCCGCTTATATTAATATATCCATTAATATACAATTACCGTCAAAACTAATAGAACGGTCCCCTATCGGAGTGTCGCTTAGTCTAAGTTTACTCTCCAACAAACGTTCATATCTCAACACCACTACGTTTGTTTCTGTGCGCTTGGGTATCAAATTAAAGTAGAAAGAATGGGTGATTTTTTGAGATATAACACAGATTTCTAGCTTTAACCAGCGCTTAGAAAAAGATTGAACGAAAATCGGCTCTTTTTTGCCACTTTCCAATCATTCTTTTCAGACTCTGGTTAATGCTAAAAATATCTCAAAAATCACCCATCCTCTATACTTTAACTACTTTAATTTATCTTAATTCTTTTAATTTACTTTAATTTGATACCCAAGCGCACAGAAACAAACGTACTGGTGTCGAGATATGATCGTTTTTTGAGAGTAAACTTAGACTAAGCGACACTCGGATAGGGGGCCGTTCTATTCGAGTTTTTACGGTATATTATCGATTTAAGACCTGCCGCTTTTAAAATTAACCTTTGGATGTCTTGCCGCAAATGGTGGAGGAGCAGCGTGTGAAGTAGCCGCTACCGGGACGGTTCTCGTTGGGCTCACCGATCGATTCTTTGTGCAGAAGCCCAGGCGAAATACTCGACCATCCTGAATTTCGTTGTAAATCGTAAAAATAGCATTAAACCTTTAACAAAAAGACGATATGAGCCGGTCCAACGACGATCTTCTCGTAGTCTTCAATGGAGAGATTGAGCACCTCCAGTGCGGGAATCGTTCGACACCCGCGATCACCCGTGTTCCGCCGAAGGGATGTTGATTTGAAACTGTAACAAGTACATATTATTAAATAAATAAAATATCTAAATCTAAAGTAGATCAATTAAATGCGTAAACTAACTACCGGAAATGGTGTTGAAATCTAAAGTTAATCTAAGTTAAATGCTGTGAGTTTTTGACTTTGATTCAGCTTTTGATCAAACTAAAATGCTGTAAATTATGCCTTTAATCAAAAATCTTATTGCAAAGTATCTTGAAATTGGTCTAGTATTGGAGTAAATTGAAAATTTAGAAATATTAGTATAATTTTCTTACATATCAGAGATCTCATTGTCCTTGGCGCCCAAGTCGTACTTGATCATGAACAACTCGGGTGTCGATTTCACAGCAGAAGTGCTTTCATCCATTTCTTCTGTCATCTGAAAATTGAAACAAGAAAATTTGCAAAAACAAAAGAATAAAACTGAAAAGATTTAACGTTTTAAAAAACGAACAAAATTTAATTTCGAAAATGCCACTGGGCAATCGCCGCCTCTTTTTCGCTGCCTCTGATCGTAATTCAAATGCTTTTGGCAAAAGGATTTGAAGAGAATGATTAAGAATACAATTTTGTAGCCTAAATTTAGAAAACTGCAGAAATGATAGTAAAAACTGTAACGTTTTCACGATTTGACAGGAAAACGCAAAAGATTTGGGTAGTTTCGAAATTTTTCGGAAAACTTGCCAAAAGCAAATACAAAAATTTTTTTATACCTAATTGACAGGTAATCATTAAAAAAAATTCTGGTCAAAGGTTTTTGGATTTAAAACAAAAACGACTCGAATTTTGATTGGTTTTAGAAGTTCTAAAAGCTTAGAATCAAAAATTTTGTGTTTAAGGAAAATTGGAAATTTAAAAAATTTTAAATAAACTCTTTTTCAACTCAATTCTAAAGTTTTAAAGCTTAAAAATAAGTACGTACATGAATTTTGTATAAAATTTTAGTATAACATTTTTTCTAGAGACTTCTATTGCAAAGTTAACGGGGAGAAAGGGGGGTTGGGGTAAGAATTCGGAGTGGTCATTTTTGCTTTTCCCCTTCATCTTTGAGAGAAATTGCACCTTTTCTGTCCCGCACAAATCGCTGTGAGACCCGTTTTTGCGAAATTACTGGAGTAATGGTCCCTGCGCCCGGCAAAACGAGGGAAATTTCAGAGAAAATGAAAAAAACAAGCACAGCTCTGAAGGACCTGTGTGACTATTCAAAATCTTTGATAAGTAAAATGGTTAAACGAACAGTGTTAAAGGCTTCTAATTAAAGGGGAACTTTTGGGTGTATATTTCAGTGTTGTAGCCTGGATGTAACCTTCAAATTCTAACCGTATTTCAGAGTTACCACCAATCCAAGTCGAATCATACACTGTGTCAAAAAATTATAGACGCACCCTGTTTTTTGCTAGTTTAGAGCCGGATATAAGTGCTGGTCCAGTGAAAAGTATTTTTTTAGTTTCTTTAATGTAAAAAAACAACCCATGCAAAATTTCAACTCATTTCACTCATCCAAAGTATTTTATCGTACAAAAAACGTTTTATCAGCTGTCAAAAAATTATAGACGCACTTTTATTTTATCAAGAAAAAGTTAACAGAAATAAAAATAACAACACAAACCAAATAAATTAATAATGTGTGGCACCTCCTTGCTTTAGTCCAACTGGACTGGCACTTATATCCGGCTCTAAACTAGCAAAAAACAGGGTGCGTCTATAATTTTTTGACAGAGTGTATAATCGACGGTTCTCAAGGCTAAACTTTTTCTATACCAACCAGCAAAAAAAATCATCCTCTTCTTTGCTGTGAATTGAAACAAGACCCGCATTGAGTTGTTGACATTTTGAAATAGACACATTATAAGCAACCCGTTCTTTTTCAATCTTCAATCTGAAAATAGTGCACTCGTTAAATTACCAGCCTTTACAGGGTTCGGCATATATAGTGTTCTACAAAAGGATGATTTTCTCAAAAACTAAAAGTGTTGACAGCTTTTTCGTTTAGATATTTAAAATCTACGGACATTTTTCCCTAGATTCATGAGTTTGTGTAAAAATTTAAAACTTTATTTGTTTCATATAAGACTTTAAACCTGACTGCTGCCCTCGAAAAAATGAGATTTGTCAAATCTTTGTTAGTCGTCTCTGTTAGCTGTCTTTGTTAGCCAAGATAACCTCACATTTGCAATAATGGAGCTCAAAAAGCACTTACTTTTATAGTAATTAACTCGAAATACAGTGGTCCACAAAAGTAATGCCCCATTGCCATTCAAAAGTATTTTTTGCAAAATTCCTCCTGAAAAAACATGTATTTTAAATATATTTTTGTCCTTTTAAAATACTTTAGAAATTCTAGTTGTTAAATAACTGGATTTTTTTGATTGAGATCCTTCCAATCAAAAGATCGATGTGGAAGAGTGCAATTACCCCTAAAATTAGCTCCACAAAAGTAATGCCCCATTGATCGTTTTCATGATTATTCTTTTTGTTTCTCCTTCTATGAACATTAAATGTATTCTATTGTATTATTTAGATCCCTGACATGAAAAATCTTGACACTCCGAAGAAGCTCCAAATCGCTAAGGCCCGGGAAAATGGGATGCGGGAGAAGGATGTGGCCAACCTCTTCAATTGCTCGATATGGACAGTGCGCCGCATTTTTTCGCATAGTCATTAACTCGAAATACGTATTGATGCAGAAAAAAGCGATTTTTAGTGATCCCAAACTCGAATTTAACTGTTTTTCAGCATCGTGTCGCATAACATTTTTTGTACTGCTCAACTAGGGTTGTTAAAGTCACTAAAAAAATGTTACGGTTCTTCTATTCTATGTAAAATTACGCGTAGATTTTATCATTAATTGTTGTTTTTCAGCTTAGGTTAATGTATTGTCTTAGAAAGCCAAAAAGATACATTAAGCGCAACACTATACATGCCTATATACAACACTATGTATATGCCGCACCCAGTACATACGGTCAGTACAGGGTGCGCCATAACCACTCATAAACGTGCCAGCCGCGTATCCTTCGAGTTTTTTTTGCAAGTTTCTTGTATTAATATAGAATTTTTGTTATTTTGTCGACATTTGACATTCCAACAGGATGGGGCTCCTGCTCATAAGGTTCGTTTTGTCCAAGACTAGTGCTGATAGAACTTCCCAGACTTCATCGCGTTTAATCAATTGGCCCCCGAGCTCCCCAGATCTCAATCCGATCGATCGCAAAAGACAAAAGCTTGTAAAAAGCCTCATAAAAGCATAAGTCCTTTAAAGAAAGCCCTTTAAAGAAAGTTCTTTAAAGATTGTATTGTGTATTTGTCTTTGTAATGTGTATTTCTTGTAAACAGTTTTTTTTTTTTTAAACATAAAAAAAAAAAAAAAAAAATTTTTTTGTTTTTTTTTTTTTATAAAAATATAAAAATAAAAAAAAAAAAAAAAAAAAAAAAAAAAAAATTTTTTTAAAAAATTTAAAAAAAAAAAAAAATTATTTTTATTTTTATTTTTAATAACCCCAAAACCCCCCCCCACAAAACACACAAAAAAAAACTTTTTTTCCCCCCCCCCAAAAATTAAAAAAAATAAAAAAAAAAAAAAATAAAAAAAAAAAAAAAAAAAAAAAAAAAAAAAACAAAACAAAAAAAAAAAAAAAACTTAACCAACCCCCCCCCCAATTTTCCCAAAAAAAAAAAAAAGCCGAAAGGGGGCTTGTTCCACACCCACCTAAATAACGGTCCGCAAAAGAAGATAAAGGAGTGATGGGGATGGGAACCGACCGAAATTTGATATGGATTTGATTGATTGATATTTGCTTGATTGATATTTGATTTGATTTGATAATTTGATTTGATTTGATTTGATAATTTGATAAAAACTTAACGGCTTTACCCGGGTGCCCTGACGATGGGTATTGAAGACTCTAGTGTACTTGCATTTTAAAGCTGATTGTCTGAAGAGCTGAAGATAGCAGCATTTGTTCCAAACAATTTGAAAATCCACAGAATCAACAGAAAAAAATACCCTAACCAGCACAAAAGGCAAACAAAAAAGTCAACAACACTACAACAACAAATACATAAAGATTAAAAAACTTTTAAACACTTACCAATCTTTTGAAAATAAACCTATTTAATAATGTTTGATTACATTTAGACAACAACTCAACAACAGTCTAAACTAGACTCAAAGAAGCTCTACAACAACAACGAGCAACAACAACAACGAGCAACAACAACGAACAACAACAACGAGCAACAACAACAACGAGCAACAACAACAACCAACAACTACTACTACTACGAAACAACTAACGAGTCTTTATAGTTGTGTTTTGCTCAAAGCTTTCTTCTCTTCCGAATTTCCCCTTTCCTCTTTGTACCTGCCAATCAACTTTCCTCACTCTGCTTATTTTTCGGATTAAATTTTCGAAAAAAGTGTGAATGGGGTGCGATCTGACCCATTCTTTTCACTTATCTCTCCTCTCGCAAACGCAAAAAATAAATTGCCATAGTGAAAAAGTTAGCAAAAAAAGTGGCTTAAACGCTTGCTGATAAAAATCGGACAAAACACTTTTTGAAGAAGTAAAATTCTTGAAAAGGGACCACCAAAGGAGCTTTGGCAGCTATATTATGCTATTAATTTTGAATATTTTTGTGTTTCTGATTTCATTTGCTTTTTCATTTGATGATCCACTGGGGCCGATCACAAAGGATTTCGAGGAGTGGCTGAATAGGTGAGTGATTGAAATGCACTGGCTTGATGCACTGGCTTGATGCACTGGCTTGATGCACTGGCTTCATGCACTGGCTTCATGCACTGGCTTGATAGTTTTAGGATGCTTTTATGGAGGAGAGCTTGAATACCTTTTATTTTAAATTACTAAAGAAACATTGAATAGAATAGCATTGGGAGAATAGAATAGAGTTAAGAGAATATAAAAAGAATATAAAAAGAAAACAGTCAAAGAATCACATATCAATATAAGAAGTGGTGACACAGTCACCCCGACCTTCTGGCAATCCCTGATCCAGAACTATTTGAGTCCAACTCTCTCTGTGTTCTAATTTCTCTATTTCTCTGATTTTAACACTACAGTCTTCATGATTTGCAAAGAACTTCTTTTTGCTATTCCTCACAAAATATAGACGTAAGTTAGACGTTAGAAAGTAAGTTAGACAAAATATTGTTAGACGCTCAAACCGAACTCTAGAGCTTGAATGAGTTGCTAGCTCAAGTTCGATCGGACCGGGACCAGACAAGAAGTCAGGTCCCTGGTTTGGGACCTGACCTGAGTAGGTTCATACACTTTGTAGATCAAGTCTTTAACGAATTCAAATCTCACCAAACTGGATCAAGCAAGACATCACTTCTGGCCTATCAAAGAGCTTCTTGATTCTTGATTTCGAGTTTCTTAGAATTAGCCTCGTGTCTTTGTCTTTGTCTTTCAAAATCTTTGCCCTTATCAGCGTGCTTTTTGTTTGTATTCATGCATCGGCCTTGTTTTAGACTTTGTACTCAATCGTGTTAGAAATGTTCAACATTAAAATGATGTTCAATCATTTCTTTCGTAATCCATTAGCGTTACAGAAACGGTTATGCTCAATACGATTTCCCGAGACATGACTGGGGAAAAGTGGGAAGTTATGGAGGAAAAGTGGACGCAAATCAAAAGGTTGGTTATCGGCATTTGATCCGCGCCATACCACTTTTTTCATTGGTCATCTAACTTCGAGTTCAAATTTCTTGGTGTTGGGCTGTTCAATTTAAAAATTCTTGATATCATTGGATGCGCCAAGCCCTTGCCAGCCACATTGCGAGCCACAGCTAGATCGAGCCACAGCTAGATCGAGCCACAGCTAGATCGAGCCACAGCTAGATCGAGCCACAGCTAGATCGAGCCACAGCTAGATCGAGCCACAGCTAGATCGAGCCACAGCTAGATCGAGCCACAGCTAGATGCGAGCCTGAGCTAGATCTAGGTTCTAAAACTAATAGTAAGCAAGAATCTATTAATTTCTTAGGTCAAACCTTTTGAACCAGCCTTAAATGTTGTGAAGTTCAATTTTCTTCGTATCATTGGATGCGCCAAGTCTTTCTCTATCGATTGATATAAAAACTATTTCAATTGGACAACCCAGCATCAAGATATTTGAGCTCAAAGTTGAATTGCTAATGGGAAAGGGGGCGGGGCGCATATCAAATGTCTCACAATCCAAAAGATTAGCCAGTTTTTAGCCGATTAGCCAGTTTTTAGCCGTTAAATTACTTATAGCTCCGTTTCACTCCGGTCATTTTTATGCACGGTAACTCCGATGGAGCTTTAAGGATACCTGGACCGTATAGTTCCGGATCTTCCACACAAATTGCATATTTTCAATCAATGGGGTTAGTGATACTTTTATTTGACTCAAAAAAAGAGTCCCTTGTTTTCAGCTATACTTCTGCTGAGCTTTATGTGACAACTTGGGGAAACCGAAGTGTACCAGATTCACAGTTTCAGTCAGTTTTTAACAGTTTAGCTCAATTTCAACTTAATACCAGTTTTCGCTTTGTAAACTTGGCTAAGGACATTAAAATTTTTGGCTCTTGCGTAGTTTTCAAGTATTTTGAAAGGATCCGGTTATTTTGAACGGGTCATCACGCTTTGAAGGTCTATAACTTTGTCCAGAGATCATATTTTTGTTAACTTTTTATATCATTGTACAGAGGACATTTCAGACTTTCAAATTATACCAAATAGAGCTTAATTGGATAATGAGTCCAAGAAAATCAGAGCCAACTCTGAGCAAATGAAGCCTATCCAACTTGGGTGTTGTGTCGGCTGGTTTGCTTTCGGGTTTGATATCCTTTTTCTTGAATATCTTTAGAAAATCATTTAAGTACCTGAACATTGCTTTCTATAATCGTAGACTTTCTGATAATCTAGAAATTTTAGCAATCTTGGGCTCTTGCGTAGTTTCCGGGTATTTTGAACGGGTCGTCACGCTTTGAAGGCCTACAACTTTGTCCAGAGATCATATTTTTGTTAACTTTTTATATCATTGTACAGAGGACATTTCAGACTTTCAAATGATACCAAATAGAGCTTGACTGGATTTTTCATTCCCATGCAAACAGGGTGACACGACACCCGAGTTGGATCGATGTCATTTGCTCAGAAATGGCTCTGATTTTCTTGGACTCAATTATCCAATCAAGCTTTATTTGGTATCATTTGAAAGTCTCAAATGTCCCCTGTACAATGATATAAAAAGTTAACAGAAATATTATCTCTGGACAAAGTTATAGGTCTTGAAAAGAGTGACGACCCGTTTAAAGACCCCGATTTTTCCAGAATACCCCGATTCTTTCAAAAAGATTCTTTCACCCTGTAACTCCGCAAGAGCCCTGGTTTTTTTACCCTGTAAATAATACTGTAAAGGTGCTTTGAGGTGCTGGAGTACTGTAAAGTCTAAAGTCTACAGTTTACAGTCTACAGTTTACAGTCTACAGTTTACAGTCTACAGTTTACAGTTTACAGTCTACAGTTTACAGTCTACAGTTTACAGTCTACAGTTTACAGTCTACAGTTTACAGTCTACAGTTTACAGTCTACAGTTTCATAACTTTGTCCAGAAATGTTATCTCTGGACAAAGTTATAGGCCTACAAAGAGAGACGACCCGTTCAAAATAACCGGATTCTTTCAAAATACCTGAAAACTACGCAAGTGCCAAATTTTTTACTTCACTAATTTACTTTACTAATTTACTTTACCAATTTACTTTTTACTAATTTAATTACTCTGCTAATAGGCCCAATATTAACCAGCAAAAATTTCTGTGCAAAACAGACACTTTGAACTCCTTTCAGGGCCCACAATTTCAGGGCAAAACAGACACTTTGAACTCCTTTCAGGGCCCACAATTGTTCAACGATCATTCATCTTCGGAGATTCGTTGAAGCAGTGATGGGATATACAAAAGTAAGCTTTGAAAATGAAAACATTTAACCAGCACATTTCTCATATTTAAGTACTAAAAATAAATATAAAAATGATAAAGATAAAAATGAATAAAGATAAAAATAAATAAATATAAACATAATAAAGGTAAACAAGTAAAAACTAACATTTCTTTAAAAGCAAGCGAATTTTTTTTTATTTTAGAGTCCAACCGTGAATCTCGCTGGTCACTCAATGGGTGTGACTCTCGCAAGAAAGGTGGCCAAAGGAGGGAAAATGGTTGAAAAAGTGGACATGAGTAAGCTGAAAGTGTTCAATAAAAAAAGCTTTAGCTGAGTAGCTGAATATCTCACTGAATAGCTGAATAGCTAAAAATTCAATAGCTGAATATCTTTCGTCTTTAATAGAATGAATCTGTACATTAGTTGATTTGGAAGTGGGACAAATGCGACCTTTTTTTTGCGCACCCGGACATTTGCGCACCTTTTTTTCCGCACCTTGCCCATTAGCGCACCTTTTTTCGCGTTTTAAAAAAGCTCTAAAAAGCTAATATTAACCAATTTCTATTCCAAAAGTTGTTTTTCTAGGTAATTTTAGGGCGTAGAATGAAAAAACACCATTGTTTTTCCGCTCCTGACCCATTAGCGCACCTTTTTTGCGCACCATTAGCGCAAAAAAAGCTCTAAAAAGCTAATATTAACCAATTTCTATTCCAAAAGTTCTTTTTCTAGGTAATTTGAGGGTGTCGAATTCAAATTTTGACATAACAGAGCGTGTGGAACCAATTTGAAAGACAAAACGGCTAGATCAAATTACTCAAATTACGATCAAATCAAAATTGTCGATTTTTCTCTTTGTATAACTCCGTCCGTTTGTTTCCACAAGCTCTGATATGTCAAAATTTCGATTCTACGCCCTAAAATTACATAGAAAAACAACTTTTGGAATAGAAATTGGTTAATATTAGCTTTTTAGAGCTTTTTTGCGCTAATGGTGCGCAAAAAAGGTGCGCTAATGGGTCAGGAGCGGAAAAACAATGGTGCTTTTTCATTCTACGCCCTAAAATTACATAAAAAACAACTTTTGGAATAGAAATTGGTTAATATTAGCTTTTAGAGCTTTTTAAAACGCGAAAAAAGGTGCGCTAATGGGCAAGGTGCGGAAAAAAAGGTGCGCAAATGTCCGAGTGCGAAAAAAAAGGTCGCATTTATCCCACTCCCGTTGATTTTACTTTTTAAGGCACTTGTGACATTGGAAAACCCCTTACCGACGTTGTCGAGGTTTTCTTGGGAATATGCGGGGCCAACTATGGGATGTGCTCGTGTTTGCTGGACACTTATACGTGCAATAATATCGTGAGCATTCAAAAACGCGCCTAGTCAAGCTTGTCTATTCTCAAATTCGTTTAGAATGGATTCTTCCCAGGTGCAAGTTGTGGCAACAATAACGCTGATCAATGCGGAGCTAAGGTAAGTCTTTAGAAGCAAAGTCTCCTCTTTTATCTAGAGAAGACAGTACTATAATACTATTGTAATTGTACTAGTGTAATTGTACTATCGTAATTGTACTATTGTAAAGAATAGTAAAAAAATGTACAAAATAAAATGATACAGTACAAAATGGTAAAATCAACTACGTTTTTAAACTACTCAGTCATCTGTTAGTGACAATCAAAGCTTATCATTCAGCCTTTACCCGAGAAATGCATTCAAGACGGCTACTCCCAATTGCTGCACGATATGAACACCGATCGAGTGAGAGAAGGGAAAAAGGTCTACGCTTTGTGGACCTCTGGTGAGTGAGATTTTATGCGAGCAATCATTTTATGCGAACAATTTGAACAGATTCTTATCTTATTTTGCTAACACAGTACTGTTTTTCTTGTATATGTCGTAGCCGTTTACGAAATATACAAGAAAAACAGTACTGTGTTAGGAAAATAAGATAAGAATCTGTGTGATCCTCAACTTTGCAACGATGCAAAGAAATATGACAATACTTGCAAAGATCCATTGGACATCTTGCAAAACATAAAACATATCTTATTGTTTAGATTTATTGGGTTGGTGAATTGAAAACTGCGGGGCTTTGAACTAAAATTTATTCAACATAAAAGCATCAATTCATTCCAAATAATTTCCATTATTATTGACGAATTCTGCCCATTTTACAGGCAAATTGCGGATTCCTCTTTCGTAGTAGGATTTTGGTTTGTGTGTGAGACAAGTGTGAGACTCAAAAATGGAGGACTGGAGATGTTCGTATGTCCCAGTTTGAGCACTTTCTTCAAAAGAAACCCATTTTGGTGTCAATAGAAAAGTTGTAGAGAATCAAAAATGAGGCTTATAGCCAAATTTCCAGAAAGATACACTTACCGTAAATACTGTAATAGTACCCCACCCCCATAATGACGGTGCGGAGTGTTGTGTAGTCTAGCTTTGAACGAGTTTTTCTCGATACTGGTTTAAACTACAATGCGCGCTTAGTTATCAAAAAATAGCCCTGAATTTCAGCTATTTTTTGATACCAAAGATGCATTTTTTGAAAGTACGGGCGCTTTGAAAAAATGAAATACTAAAAAACTTTTGCGACTACGCTACTGTACGAGGGGGTGGGGTACTATTACAGTATTTACGGTAAGTTCAATTGTGGAAGACAAAAGATGATTGGGATTCTTGATTGCTTTCGTAGTCGCAATTTCAAATCAAATATGTTGTAGTGGACGACATCGTTGCACCCAACGATCTAGTCTGGGCCCGGTACTCGTCTCAATTCCCTACAATGGATCAACAATACATTTTCACAAGTAAATTTTGAGCCAAGTTTCCCTGTTGATGATTTTTTTTAGATCTAACCCATATGCAAGTGAAAGAGTTGACGGTTGATCTCCAATTTCGTCTTCTCAACCCCGGTGGCAATATGGAAAAGCCGTTTTCACAGCCGTTTCTAACTCTATGAACACTTCAAATCCTTGCCGAATAAACTGTACATACAATTATGCAATAATTTTTATTATAACTTAACATTTACAGCATTTACAACAGCAACTTCACAGCTTTACAAAGTCTTTTCCTCAAATCCAAGAAGTTCATAATCTTGATAGTAAATGGCTCTGATGTATTGCATTGACTCGCGATTTTCTTCGAGTGATTTCTTCAAGTCACCCTTTCGGTTCTCATTGTGATTCGCGTGCGATGTGTCGGAGCCGTCGATGTGTTTCAAAACCTGAATAATTGAAAGATTAGTCGAGCGATATGACATGACAAGCGATAATTGTAATGAAATCATATTTTACTCAAGATCAGTCTATCCTCATCTATCAGGAATTTTCCACCTCATCTATCTAACAACAAGCTACTAATCTAACAACTCCATCTTAAGTTTTAACAAGTTTTAAACAGTCTTCATATTTGAGCTATCTAGACTAGCACATTTGAACTTGTAAAATTCAACGTCAGTCTTGAAATTGACAGCAAGCTTCTGACAGCAAGCTTCTGACAGCAAGCTTCTGACAGCAAGCTTCTGACAGCAAGCTTCTGACAGCAAGCTTCTGACAGCAAGCTTCTGACAGCAAGCTTCTGACAGCAAGCTTCTGACAGCAAGCTCACTCAAATTACTCCTCACTCACCTGCTCTGAATAAGCAGCCGGAACTTTTGCGGCATCCAATGCCCCTTTGATTTCACTCTTCATCGCCACTCGATCCGATGAAAAGTGAATGAGGTGGAAATTCGCGTGATCAGCTGCCAAATTGCAGAACCTGAAAGATTTCAATATTTTTTTTTTTGTTTCAACTGCTCACTTACCAAGTTTGTGGCTGAGCATGGTAGTCAATGATATCACGATCCTTCTCTTGAAAGTTTGTTCCTTTGACTGATTTTGTTTTCAGCAACGTGTAGATATCCTTGGTGAACGTGTGAATGTCGGGCTTGACACCGCACAGTTTGAAGTTCCTGGAAAAAAAATCAAAGAATCAATCTCCCAATCAAAGTCGAATAGGAGAGCTCGATCGCTCGGAGATCCAATTTTAACGGAAACGAGCGTTGTCTGGAATCGGTATTGAAAACTTAGACCCTAGAGACGGGTAATGAATTCAAATGACTCTCGTCCGAGGTTTTTGAATGTATGATGTCAAAGGAAATGAGGTTCAATTAAACCATCAATATGGTAAAATTTTTCCTTTAAAATGGAGAATTTCCACTGGCATTGTGGTGCTATATTAGAGGTAATATGTAAATTAAGATTCTTAAGTAAACAGTTTCTTGATTAGAAGTTCCTTGGAGAAAATTAGACCTCTCTTAGAAATTAGACCTTTGAGGTCGGTGAGTTGAAAGGGCCTATGCATGAGAGATTAGATTAATTCTAATCTTGTATAAATCTCATATCTAAATCTAATTCTAGTTACTTTTTAAATTCCAAATCATATCGGCTAGCTGATAAGATTTCAAACTTTTTCGGCTATACAATTTCAAGGGTTATAAATAGCCTATATAGATGTCAAGGGTTATAAATAGGCTATACAATTTCAAGGGTTATAATTAGCCTATACCTTTCAAGGGTTATAAATAGCCTATATAGATGTCAAGGGTTATAAATAGGCTATATATTCCAAGGGTTATGAATAGCCTATACAATTTCAAGGGTTATAATTAGCCTATACCTTTCAAGGGTTATAAATAGCCTATATAGATGTCAAGGGTTATAAATAGCCTATATATTTCAAGAGTTATATATTTTTCCATATTTCAAGAATTTTAGATATTTGCTTACTCGCAAAGGAATTGGTAAAGTGAGACGAATCGTTTGACTGGATGACGAGTCACTGCGATCTTCGTCTTTTCAGCGCCAGGTTGCCAAAAATCCCGTCGATACTTCTTTCCTGCGCCCACTTGCTCTTTCCACCAACCATTCGCTTGACATTCACTAAACTTTTCACAATTTACATCTAGAATTGAGCATAACTGCTCTAGAAAAGAAAGTTTTTGACTTTCGAGCAAAAAAGTTCAACGCTACCTGAGCTGCTTGTCCTTTGTCAACTGCAACTTGAAAGCAATTCCCTTCCAATATCGATACAAGTCGCACAAAACGATTTTCATGATTGTGGCTGCGTTCTTCGGAATTTGACAGTGAAAGATCCCCATCTGATCAAAGTTCTAAATGCAGTAAACTTCTTTTAAATATATTCTCATCTTAGCTCATCTTAGCAAAAACTCTCATAGCTTATTAGCAATGAGAGTTACTCTCATAGCTACCCACTGTGTCTGTTGGTTCTACAGCTGGCCGAAAGGGGATCTTCTCGATCGATGACTCTTCTAAAAGATTTGAACTGATATTGATTTATACTGATATTGATTAACTTATTTAAACTGATTAACTTGTTCATAAGGTTCATAAGGTTCATAAGGTTCATAAGGTTCACAAGGCTCATAAGGTTCATAAGGCTCATAAGGTTCATGAGGTTCATAAGGTTCATAAGGTTCATAAGGTTCATAAGGTTCATAAGGTTCACAAGGTTCACAAGGCTCACAAGGTTCACAAGGCTCATAAGGTTCATAAGGTTCATAAGGTTCATGAGGTTCATAAGGTTAAGTCATAAGTCATAAGTCATAAGTCAAAACTGTACCTGGCATCTTATTCCCATCATCACCAAAAGCACATTGAAAGACCGAAAAAGAAATTAGAAGAAGAAGAAATGTTTTCATTAGAAAATGTCTGAATTTGTCGAAATGGCTGGCTTAAAATGTCGCATGAAACTCGGCAACGAGATCGGATCTGGAAGTGAGTGGAAACGATGGTTATCTCTTCCGCTCAAGGCTCAAGGCTTCTGCAGCTTCAGATGCGTGATCTGTGTGTGACTGGATGGTTTGATGATTTTTAAAAATGCAAATTTTAAAAATCCTACCGTTCATACGTACAGTTGTTGAAATTATTTAGAAATAAGAGGAGTACAGGATGATCAACAAATTTCCCCGCACACTTGTAAATGATTTATTTTCTAAATGAAAGCTCAAACAAAATAGATCACAACCTGCTTCCACATTTCTCTATCCCTTGCTATTGTCATCCAGTGTTTCCTATCTTGGTCGTTCCTGGTTCGAAGTCTTCGACTTGCTTGTGGTTGCACTCTAGCCATCCTTTCTCTGTCCGTCTCTGCCATCTCTGCCACTCTTGTGATCCACCTCGTTGCTAGTCTTCCGATGGGCCTTTTCTCGTCTCGTGGTAGCCACTCTGTGATCCGTATCGTCCATCTGTCGCCTTAAACAGTCGTTTTCAATACTTAAAAAAGTAAAACGAAATGACAAACAATAAAATTGAAATTATTAAATAAACGGAGCACCCACCTTTCCTTTGCATTCAATCTCTCCACACCCTTTCGAGATATCAGTTTTACCCTGAATCTCCTCATGACCGAAAAAACAATATTTCTCCCGTGGTCCACAATCAATTATGGTAGCCGATGAATTCTGGAAGAAAAATATGATTTAAATTATTGGGTTAGTGAATTGAAAACTGCCGGACTTTGAACTAAAATTTATTCAACATAAAACCATCAATTGATTCCAAATAATTTCCATTATTATTGACGACTTCTGCCCATTTTACAGGCAAATTGCGGATTCCTCTTTCGTAGTAGGATTTTGGTTTGTGTGTGAGACAAGTGTGAGACTCGAAAATGGAGGACTGGAGATGTTCGTATGTCCCAGTTTGAGCACTTTCTTCAAAAGAAACCCATTTTGGTGTCAATAGAAAAGTTGTAGAGAATCAAAAATGAGGCTTATAGCCAAATTTCCATAAAGATACACTTAGTAGTTTCGCTTAAAATGCAAGTTTTATTGTGAGTTTTGTGAAAATACGTAAATTTGGCATTTCTTGAAAACCAGTTTTTGAATCGTTCTGAAAATTTGGATATAAGCTTGATTTTTGATTCTCTACAACTTTTCCATTGACACCAAAATGGGTTTCTTTTGAAGAAAGTGCTCAAACTGTCACATATGGCAATAACCGGCAGTTTTCAATTCACCAACCCAATATTTTTTTTCGGGCCCCCGATTTTGAAGCGTTGAAAATAGACGACCATAGAGTTTTATTTTAGTTTTTCTCATTTTAACACTTTTGCTATAATGTTTAATGTTTTTCTTTAGGTGATGGGCGAAGAGATGCGCAAGACGATCGTTGAGCCAATAGCTGAGCAAACGGTGAACGATAGACGATAGACGATTTGATGAATACGACAGACGACTTTACGAGAGGGGTGGGGTATTATTGGGTTGTCCAAAATATTGGGTTGGTGAATTGAAAACTGCCGGCTATTGTCATATGTGATAGTTTGAGCACTTTCTTCTAAAGAAACCCATTTTGGTGTCAATGGAAAAGTTGTAGAGAATCAAAAATTAGGCTTATAGCCAAATTTTCAGAACGATTCAAAAACTGGTTTTCAAGGAATGCCAAATTTACGACCGTCTATTAGAGTTTTTACGATATATTAGGTTGATGCATAAGTCTTTTCGTTTTTTTCGTACTTCTGTTGAAAAGTAACAAATTCACCAATTAATCTATAGTTTGCTCTATAAAAAAAGTGTTTTTTTGTTCAATTTGCATCTTTTTAAATGAATTTCGGTTCACTTTCAAGCAAATTCGAGAGTGAAAAACGCCTTTTTCGTAAAAATCTATAAAAAACTCTACGGAAAAATTGGCTGAATGAATTTCTCTGAAATTTTGGCGAAATATCAAACGTTTTTTTCTCTATCTTTTATCTATTGACACGAAGATAGGTTTTCTTTAGCTAAGGTGTCTAAACCGCATCATCGAGTTAGCCCTTTTTGACTACCCGACTTCATACTCTCAAGAAAATCCAGGCATTCAAATATTTTTAAACCCGTTTTAATGTTATTTTGCAGAAAAATAATTGGTTTCTCTAATGAAATTAACCGTAGTTTAATTGGTGCATTTGTTGGCTTGAAACGGCAGACGAAAAGGAACAAAAACACTTATGCATCAACCTAATATAAAGTGGGCTTTTTTTTACTAAAGCCATTAAAGTTAAAGTTTGAATTCAATCTAAAAAGTTTCTCTTTTGCTTTTCTCATTTTCTCATTTGTTTTTGAGTGTTCACTTTCTTTTGCAAATCCTCTCTGTTGAACGGATATTGATTGTTTTCTGCAAGCGATTGAGTGACTCGAGAGGCAACAGAAAGAAAAAGGAAAAAGTGAAGAAAAGCAACCAAAAGCTGGGCAACCAGCTCTAGTGCTTAAAATATTAACTGAAAACCTTTCAATGCACAATTTTCATTAACAAATTTACACAAAACGTCGAAATTTTAACTCTTTAGAGCTTTACGATGGTAAACTATGAGATTCCGATTGAAATTCTCGAAAGAATGCCCGACGAAAGTGATGGTGAGCTTAATTTTAATGTTGACAAGCAGTTGAGCGGTTTTGATTTTAAATTTAAACATTAATTCATTTTTATATCTATTTTTAGATGATGAAATAAACATTGAAATGTTCGATTCCTATCTTGGCATTCACGCCCATTGTTCTCATTGCATTTTTGCGCAATGCTCTTATACAGGTTTGGTTTACCAATGAATCAATACATTATCTATTGGGTTGGTGAATTGAAAACTGCGAGCTATTGTCATATGTCATAGTTTGAGCACTTTCTTCAAAAGAAACCCATTTTGGTGTCAATAGAGAAGTTGTAGTGAATCAAAAATCAAGCTTATATCCAAATTTTCAGAACGATTCAAAAACTGGTTTTCAAGAAATGCCAAATTTACGAATTTTCACAAAACTCACAATAAAACTTGCATTTTAAGCGAAACTACTAAGTGTATCTTTCTGGAAATTTGGCTATAAGCCTCATTTTTGATTCTCTACAACTTTTCTATTGACACCAAAATGGGTTTCTTTAGAAGAAAGTGCTCAAACTATCACATATGACAATAGCCGGCAGTTTTCAATTCACCAACCCAATATTTTGGACAACCCAATAATACCCCACCCCTCTCGTAAAGTCGTCTGTCGTATTCATCAAATCGTCTATCGTCTATCGTTCATCGTTTGCTCAGCTATTGGCTCAACGATCGTCTTGCGCATCTCTTCGCCCATCACCTAAAGAAAAACATTAAACATTATAGCAAAAGTGTTAAAATGAGGAAAACTAAAATAAAACTCTATGGTCGTCTATTTTCAACGCTTCAAAATCGGGGGCCCGAAAAAAATATTGGGTTGGTGAATTGAAAACTGCCGGTTATTGCCATATGTGACAGTTTGAGCACTTTCTTCAAAAGAAACCCATTTTGGTGTCAATGGAAAAGTTGTAGAGAATCAAAAATTAGGCTTATAGCCAAATTTCCAAAAAATTTCCAAATATCGGTTCGGGTTTGCCCAAAAATTGCGATGCTCCAGGGGTGAAAAAACTTACCAGCAGAAAAGTACCGTAAATGCTGTATTAGAGCGACCCTCTCAAAGAGAGCGACCCCCTTCTTTCATAAATTTTTTTTTATTTTTCATTTTCTGGAAGGTATTCGGTTGGTGAATCGAAAACTATTGTCATATGTGACAGTTTGAGCACTTTCTTCACAAGAAACCCATTTTGGTGTCAATGGAAAAGTTGTAGAGAATCAAAAATGAAACTTATATCCAAATTTCCAGAAAGATACACTTAGTAGTTTCGCTTAGAATGCAAGTTTTGTTGCAGGTTTTGTGAAAATTCGTAAATTTGGCATTTCTTGAAAACCAGTTTTTGAATCGTTCTGAAAATTTGGTTGTAAGCTTGATTTTTGATTCTCTACAACTTTTCAAAGTCCCGCAGTTTTCAATTCACCAACCCAATGAATCTAAATAATAAGATATGATTTATGTTTTGCAGAATGCCCAATGGATCTTTGCAAGTATTGTCATATTCCTTTGCATTGTTGCAAAGTTGAGGATCACACAGAGATTTGTCTAAAGGTGAGCGCAATATTACACTAAAAATATTTACGCGAACATTAAAAATACTAAGAAATAATCTCGAAAATTGCAAAGCGTAAGTACTTTTAAAAAAAGTTTTGATAAAAACTATAGGAAAATAGGAAAGTCCGCAAGGTACTTGGGCTTGTAAACGATCAAAATAACAGCTGATGCTGGAACTGAACCAGCAGTAGTACATACAGTGCCAGACAAAATTATAGGACCAAGAGTTTTTAGGGAAAAAATGACCAGACTATTCTTCAAATTAAGCAAAAGTTCAAGCTTAAGTTCTTATTTTTTCATAAATCTAAAGTAATTTCCAAATCATCAATTGGCTTAGGCTTAGGCTTAGGCTTAGGCTTAGGCTTAGGCTTAGGCTTAGGCTTAGGCTTAGGCTTAGGCTTGGACTTAGTGCGTAGGCTAGCGGCTGGCGCCTAGCACTAAGTCTATTTGGGTTTGGGCTGAACCCCCATTTTTTGGTTAGGCTTAGGCTTAGGCTTAGGCTTAGGCTTAGGCTTAGGCTTGGACTTAGTGCGAAGGCTAGCGGCTAGCGCCTCGCACCTCGCACCTCGCACTAAGTCTATTTGGGTTTGGGCTGAACCCCCATTTTCTGGACCTCAGCCAGTTCTCGGAGCTAAGGCACACCCGCCTGGCGATGCTCATGCGGCCCCTTAGGCTTGGGTTTAGTCTTAGGCTTAGTCTTAGGCTTAGTCTTAGGCTTAAGAAACAAAACTTTACCGGACAAAATTATCGGATCTTTACATTGGAAATTTCTAAAGACTAAAATGTAAAAGTAGTTTAACGGAAGATATGCTACTGAAACCAAGTCTTTTAGGTGCAAAAAACTTCAAAGATTATTTCTACAATTTGCAAAAACCTTTATATCTCCTCCTTGAAGAATTACAGACCTAAAGACTTAAAAGTTGAGAAAAATTGAGGAAATTTTTGGAGAATTACAGACCTTAAGAGTTAAAAAAACTCAAAATCTCCTAGATTTTTCTCAACTCTTTAGTCCTTAGCTCTGTAATTCTTCAAGGAGGAGATATAGAAGCTTTTGCGAGTTGTAGAAATAATCTTTGAAGTTTTTTACACCTAAAAGACTTGATTTCAGTAGCATATCCTCTGTTAAACTACTTTTACACTTCAGTCTCTATAAATTCTTTTATAATTTCCAATGTAAAGCCCCCATCATTTTGTCCGGCACTGTATTTTACAACTAGATGAGTTTTTTTTGGTCTGAAAGTGTAACCAGGTAATACCTAACTAGTTTAGAAACAATTTCTATTAGTAACAATTAGAAACAAATTCGACAAGCTTTTCAGGTCCAAGTACCTTGCCTTAACTCACGATTTGGTTGCAACGAGATACTGAGAAGAGATCGAATCTCTGCCCATCTTCCCTCATGTCCAGCTAGTGCAATTGTCTGCACAAGGGAAACGAATTGGAAATGTTTAAATGATGAAGCAAAGGTTTATCTAGTGCTTTGAAAAGTTGAACTTTATATTTATAATAGATGCAGTTGAAGAGATGGGGCAAAGGAATTGAAAGCTATGAAAGGGTTTCGATTCCCGAAGAAGAATTGGATGTACTCTTGGCTCAAAATGCTCAAGAGGAAATCATTCAGAGCTACAGTTACAGTCGAAAAAGTCGAGTCAGATGCAGAGATCGGATCAATAACAAACATCCGATAGTGCCTTTAAGGTGTGATTGATAACTTCTTGTTTCTTTTAGCTCTAAGAAGTCCTATAGTGAAACTGGTAACGGTAAAGAGTCAGCTGCAGCTCAGTCAGTCTATTCTGCTGCAGTATGACGGTTAGGTACTTGTTTATCTTTTGCCTGCAATGAAAATTTTACATACCATCTAATTTCCCTATTTTCTTGGCGCTTCACGGTTATAAAATGGGTAAAAGATAGATTTTTGGGAATTTTGGGAATAGTTAAAGTATGAAAATGATCAAAAACAAGCTGATTGCGACAAGCTGATTGCGACAAGCTGATTGCGACAAGCTGATTGCGACAAGCTGATTGCAACAAGCTGATTGCGACAAGCTGATTGCAGAGTAATGCTTGTGGAAAAGCTGAAAAGATAAACAAGTTCACTACGGTGTACTTCTTTATCTTTTTCACCGTTTGATATGCAAATTTGGTCGCAAAATGAAGCAAATCCAAAGTATCTGATTTCTGGAAAAGATAAATAAGTACCGAGAGGTGATTCATGAAAACTTTTATTCAAGCATTCAAGTTCAAACATTCAGGATACTAATTCAGGAAAGGATACTAAGACTCCACGAAACTTTTAACTTTGATAACTGCTTTGATAATTGATAACTGATAACTTTGATAACGAAACTGCAAACTTTGATATTTCCTTTAAAACTCTTCTTACGAAGGTCAAAACAAGCTAAACGAACAATTTGCAGAAGCCTGTTCACGGATCGAGGCGAACAAATCGGTCCATTGGACAAAGAAAACCACGACCAAGGAGACAGTAGCGATGAGGAGAGAGCTATCGAGGTGGGTACTAGACATGGGAGAATTCCGATCCAAGCCTAATTCCACCTTCGTTTTTTCAGCCGTCTCTTGACCGATTGTTCTGAAATTTTGTCTACAAGCAAAGAATGTCAATTTCTATTTGTCAACAAAATTTCAGAACAATCGGTCAAGAATTGGCTGAAAAAACGAAGGTGGAATTAGGTTTGGCTTGGAATTTTCCCTTGGAATTGGAATGTCTAACGAATATCGGCATAATATTATACAAACGTACCCTTTCTTACACATTAAACTCATAAAAAGAATGAATTTACTTCTACAAGCAGATGAAGATCAGCAGACGAAGACAAAGATCGATTGTTTAGAAAGCAAAACGAAAAAAACAGCTGGCAATGTTCGCGAACTGTTGGATGTGTCAATATGATCCGGCTAGTCAACATTTGCATACACTTGGAAATGAGAATCAAAAGTTTCGGCATCAAACAAAGAAAAGGAATACACCGAAAGAGATTGGAACGTTCAATTCAACCAGGAAATTGATGGTAGTCTTGCAAAGAAATTCTACATGAATTCTTGCAAAGAAAAATTGATTCCAGTTGGCCATTGACGAGGAATTCATTCCGGAAGTGACGACTAAAGCCGATAATATTTATTATTTGAGACGTGGTGGCACTGTTTATACAAAAGTGTAGGTGAAATCGGTTTTTGGAGTGTGCATTTCAAGCTTTTAGTTGTCTTGGGGTGATTCGAAGGGACCACGTTTCGAATCATTTTAGATCGCAACACGCTGAAGGAGAGGTAGAACGAGACCGTGAATTGAGCTTGAGTTCAGCTTGAGCTTGAGTTTAGCTTGAGCTTGATTTTAGCTTGAGTTTGGGTTTAGCTTGAGCTTGGGTTTAGCTTGAGCTTGAGTTCAGCTTGAGCTTGAGTTCAGCTTGAGTTCAGCTTGAGCTTGAGTTCAGCTTGAGTTCAGCTTGAGCTTGAGTTCAGCTTGAGTTCAGCTTGAGCTTGAGTTCAGCTTGAGTTCAGCTTGAGCTTGAGTTCAGCTTGAGTTCAGCTTGAGCTTGAGTTCAGCTTGAGTTCAGCTTGAGCTTGAGTTCAGCTTGAATTCAGCTTGAGCTTGAGTTCAGCTTGAGCTTGAGTTCAGCTTGAGCTTGAGTTCAGCTTGGGCTTGAGTTTAGCTTGAGCTTGGGTTCAGCTTGAGCTTGAGTTCAGCCTGAGTTTGAGTTTGGCTTGAGCTTGAGTTTAGCTTGAGTTTGGGTTTAGCTTGAGCTTGGGTTTAGCTTGAGCTTGAGTTTAGCTTGGGCAATTCTTTGACGTCAAAAATTGGCATTTACAACGAATCATAACAATTTGACAATAAGCATCAGCTTATGAAGTAATTAAAAAAATGGTAGTGAACGATTTTTCAGATTGAAACTTTAATCTTTGCACTTAAGTCTAGCCAATATACAGCACCAGTTCCATCAGCTCGAGCGTTTTTGACAAGTTATAACATGCTACCAATGAAGAGGAGTTGTCGAGCGAGGGAGCTTCATTTTCTAGCAGTTGACATGCTTTTTAACGTCTTAGGCAACATTTGTGCTTGTTATTCTGCCTTTCCCCCTATCTGTCTACGAAATCTTTTGAAATAACTTCATTTACCAGGATGATATCTTGTAGAGCTCAATGAGAGCTTTCAGATGCTATATAACACTTATATATACGATTTCTACATCTAAAGTTATAATCCCTCAAAACAGCATCACTTTTTCGAGAGGGATACGATTTTGACCAGAACACATTACGTCACGCAGCCACAAACACATTTTTGTGCTAGTTTTTAAGACACTGAGCATTGTGGACACTTGCCATGCATGGTGGACGGCTGGACGGCTTAACATTGCCATTTCAAGATTAGATCCTGTCCAATTTTAGAACCAAATCCCTTGCATGATCCAACGGTGTCCTCTGTGGCATCGCGGCTGCTCGTTCTACGTGACCCCGTTAAAACCAAGAAATGGACGAATACGGTAAAGCGTCTTACATGGAGATTAATAACATGAATTGATGAATCGATCAAGCTCACAGATAGAAATTTAGCTATTTTGATGGATGTTTCCATTTCTGTCCAAACACTGAAGAATCTCCCCTTGCCGAGCGCACTCTTGACACCGTGCCGCCAGTGATTTTCTTCCAAATCACAAAATTTCTCTCCACGGCCAATCTACGAGTCCTATCAATGGTAAAAAGTTAAAATTGACAATTCAATTCAATTCAATTCAATTCAAATTTTAGGTAAACAAATCAATGAGAACGATGTTGTTTCAACGTTTTCGCTGGCTTGGTGTTGTGGAGCTTTTGTGGAAGAAGATAGACGGGTTCTGGGAGGAAAATGGATTTGTGAGCAATTCTAAAAACCATTGAAAAACCAACAAAACAATTGAAAGGCAATTTAGAAATGGTCTTTTCCGAAAACTGATCAACCTGCTAATTTCTCATACAATTCTTGTCCAGAAATGAATCTCCATATTCCGAAATGTCCCTACTCCGATCCGATCGAATGGAGTGAAGCAAAGGTGGGAATGAAAAGCTATTTCAAGTGCCAGAAAGTGTGTATTTTCATTCACAAAACAAAAAGTACCCTACCAACTACTAATTGAATTGAAATTTTAACTTTTTACCATTGATAGGACTCGTAGATTAGCCGTGGAAAGGAATTTTGTAGTGTACTTTTGGGAGCGGACTTTTGGGAGCGGACTTTTGGGAGCGGACTTTTGGGAGCGGACTTTTGGGAGCGGACTTTTGGTAGTGTACTTTTGGTAGTGTACTTTTGGGAGTGTAATTTTGGGAGTGTACTTTTGGGAGTGTACTTTTGGGAGTGTACTTTTGGTAGTGTACTTTTGGTAGTGTACTTTTGGGAGTGTAATTTTGGGAGTGTACTTTTGGGAGTGTACTTTTGGGAGTGTACTTTTGGGAGTGTACTTTTGGGAGTGTACTTTTGGGAGTGTACTTTTGGGAGTGTACTTTTGGTAGTGTACTTTTGTAGTGTACTTTTTGTACTTTTTGTTTGTATTTGTGTTTGAATTATGGTTTAAAATTGCTACATGCTACAAAGAATGATAAAGGGGAAAGATTTCCAGTATAATATTCCACATCTTTAGGTGCCAGTCTTCCCCGCCGAATTCCTTTCCCCAATCTTCGGGAGTGTTGATGAAGCCAGAGCGGATCTTTTTGTTTTACCCGATGTTTGGAGAGGTGATGCGCCAAGACTAGAGGATTCGAAAGGAAGACTGAGAAATGAATGGATGTGAATAAATATTGGCATCTATGATGCTCGACGATGATGCGTCACAGAAAAGACTTGTTTCTAGGCAAAAACTACAGTTTACACAGCACTATGATGCGTCACTGCATCACTACTTTCCAACAATGACGTGACATTGACATGACATGACGTGACATTCTTCTGCAAGCACTGAAACACTCCAAGAAATCCCAAATTCGTCATGATCTCTTAATCAGAGCTTCCAGAAAACACATCTTTTGCTGAATCATAGTTTTATCAGAGATTTGAGAGAGCAAACCACATCCAAACTAAACCACGCTTTGTTTTCAGCAATAAATTTTTCTTTTGTACCATCTAAAAAGCAAAAGAACCTGTAAATGACTGGCGAGGTGTTCTTTGTGGTAATCACTTTGCCGCGTAATCACTCGCTGAGATGCTTAGCAAATGTGCTTTTCGCAGCTTCGGTCGATTGAGCCATTTGAGCTTATTCCAAACCCTACTAATACGGTTCGCAAAAGAATGATAAAGGGGAAGATGATGGGGATGGGAACCGACCGAAATTTGATATGGATTTGGTTGATTGATATTTTAGTTGATTTGATAATTTGATAAAAACTTAACGGCTTTCAAATGACACTTTCTCAATTCTGAGATTCGCGTCAAACTTCTGAGCTTTGTGTGGCGCTCAAAAACACTATGTGTACTTCTAGGAATTTCCATTTTCCACAATTTTCAAGCGGCTTTGAAATTCTGGATGCGACTTGGGGTGGAATTTGGGTGGAATTTGATCATTGGGTGGAATTTGGGTGGAATTTGATCATTGGGTGGAATTTGGGTGGAATTTTATCATTGGTTGACCCAAAACGAAGACGTCCTGCACATTGTCGTCGACAAATTTTTGTTCAAGCCTTTTTCGTGAAAAATCTGTATTGTTTAATGAATTTATTGTTAGAATAAATAAAAAAAAATCCAGAATTAGATTTTGAATGACATTTCTTAGTGTTTGCGGACGAAATTGGGGTGATGGCTGCTTGGATGAGTGCCAGTCGACGGGATGCATTGTCCGAGATCAACACAAACTCCCCAGGCGTCTTTTCCTGAAAATTTCTCATGCAAAAATTCAAATTCTTTGCAGTATGTCTTGTCCGAAAAGTTTTCAGTATGCCTCCTTATGCTAAAACAAAAGTTTTTAGGGTTTAAAAAACTTAACGGCTTTCAAATGACACTTTCTCGATTCGATTTCTCGATTAGAGTTTCGCGTCAAACTTCTCAAAGCTCAAAAAACTCTGAATCAAAAAGAGTCTAGCTTCTAGAAAAGAATCTAGTTTCTAGGAAAGAGTCTAGTTTCTAGAAAAGAGCCTAGTTTCTAGAATGACTAGCTTGTTTGGTTTGTAATTGTTGATGTGAATAGTTGTTGTGAATAGTTGTTGAATCAAAACACAAAACACAAACCGGATTTCAAATCTTTGTAGATGATGTCAATGTTGGCGTTGACACCATCTTTGCAATCTTGAACGGCTTGTGGACCGTAGACTTTTTGAAGAGATTCACAATCCTGAGGAAAGGATTTTGTAAATTTAAGGGAAGGGCATACAATTAGTTTCAAAATTGCAAATCACCGAAAGAAGCTCCTTTTGAAGTTCGGCTTCATTGTATCCGAAGTTGAGATGGTGAAGAGCTTGGTTTGTGACGTATTCACAAAGAGAGCATGGCTCAACGGGGCGATAGGTGGTTTGCTGGAAAGAAATCTTTATCTACATAGATAAAGATCTTTTGGCTCTCGTTAAAAGGGACTTTGAATGACAAGCTTTGAAGCGAACATGCTTTGAAGGCCTTTAACTTTGTCTAGAGCTAATATTATTGTTAACTTTTGATATAGTTTTAAAGAGTACACACTTAGGTTTTCAAAGATACCAAATAAAGGTTGATTGCATTAAATAATTCTGAGAGAATCGAGAGACAAAGCTCTCAATATTATCTGCTCTCAATTGTGATTAGGTAGCATTGAAATTTGATACAGCTTATTAAGAATTTTATCCTGCCCCCAGCCTGGTATGAAACTTGGAAACTAAACGAGATCTATCTATAACACTTCTTCAGTAACATTTTCGGGGTCCGGAATCGATTGAAGCTTATTGGCTCTAGTGACTGGTACATAGTGGCACTGCTAGAGTGACTGGTACATAGTGACACTGCTAGAGTGAGGCACTAGAGGCACTCCAAATATTTCTAAGACCATAATTGTGCGCAAAGCCAGAACAACTACAGTAACTACTTAAAAACCAACCGCATAGACGATGGCCAGTGAGGCAACAGCCAAAACAAGGAACTTCATTGTTGATTTGGTGAAAGAAATTCAACTGCGAGAAATCCTTTTAAAAATCCTTTTTATACAAATTCCGTATCGTTGCTGGTTTGTGAAATTGGAAGCGGATTAGGGAAAATTTCGGCACTCCTATCTCGGCAGTGATTCGTCAAAAAAAACGGAGTCGACCGTTGCACCCAACACTCGTTTGGCCGAGCCGAGAGCTTGCCTCACTTATCTTTGCACAAAAATCATTTCTCCAAATATTAGATCAGATGGAATCATGAACAAATAAGTTTTCGTCCTGAAAATCAAAGTAGTGGGAATTTTTGAGTCTGGATAGCAATTATTGGACAATAGAATCAGGAGAATCAGCTAAGAGAATCAGGAGACAGACGGCTCAAATCTGTTCGCACTTTTCTTTCAATTCACTGAATAGCAATTATTGGACAATAGAATCAGGAGAATCAGCTAAGAGAATCACGAGACAGGCGGCTCAAATATGTTCGCACTTTTCGTTCAATTTTGTAGAATCAGGGGTGCCAGCAACTGGTCGCACGCCGTTGATTTTCGTTGATAAAGGGCTGAAAATTAACACAGACGGGTATCTGGACTTTCTCACAAAACATGTACAGCCGTGAAGTCAAGGACATTATCAAAATCAGCGCTGGACATTGATGCAAGACGGCGCTCCAGCGCACAAAGCAAAAAAGACTCAAGAGTGATGTCGAAACAATTTGCCCGACTTCATTCCCGCCAATGAATGACCAGCTAATTCGCCCGACCTCAATGTTATGGATTTCTGTGTTTGGGCAATTTTGGAGCAAAAAGCATGCACAACAAAACATGCAAATGTTGAAAGTCTGAAAAAGGCTCTGAAGAAAGCCTGTGCGGAAATTCCACAAAGTACCCTGCGGGCCGCCGTGGAAAGTTATCCAAAGCGTCTTAAAGCCGTTATCAAGAATAAAGGTGTCCATATTGAATAATTTGTTATTTTTTAAATGAATATGATTACTGTTGTTAATTTTAAATAAAGTTTACATGAATCCGTTCCTATTTCATTACGATACACGGTTCTGAGTCTGTAACCATATGCCGCATCCTGTAGAATCGGGAGAATCAGCTAAGAAAATCACGAGACAGGCGGCTCAAATCTGTTCGCACTTTTCGTTCCATTTTCTGGATAACAATTATTGAACAATACAATCAGGAGAATCAGCTAAAAGAATCACGAGTCAGAACGCTCAAATCTGTTCGCACTTTTCGTTCAATTTTGTAGAAAAAACATGCAAATTTAAGATCCCTCTCTGCAGCGAGTGAGTGTAAACTGTAGAAATGCCCGTCTATTTTGCTCATTTCATTCCATTTGGCACATTTTATCGATCAGCGTCGGATATTTGAATTGATATTAAAGTTTTTTTTGATAAAGTAAATTCACATTAATACATTATGTCGGCGATCTGGTGGGGTTCCCTTGTAAGCTTTTTTGTCGTCCATTCTAGTTTTTCTTCAGTTTTAAATCTTCTGACATCACCCCATTTCAAAAGTTTATTTTAAAAGTAAACTTTGAGAGAATTAGAAGTGCCAATTCAACACCTGGATGACCGCCTCATTGACTATTGGTCAAAGAACAACCAACAAATGTTCGTCGCTGATCAAAAGTCTCCAACATCCAGCTAAAAACCTTATTGAAACGTTTTTTTGCATCTTTGAAAGAATTAACAGCAACACAAAGACACAATTTTTTCTCTTTATTTCCAAAAAGACAGGAAAACGATGAAACCGGTCAAATTGGCCATATGGAGAACGATTTGGAGGCAAACATTTGGATGGAACAGGGCATCTTTGATCGATTTCCATCGCCGTTCACTTAACTTTCTCAATCAAATCTCTTTTTGGATCAAATACCTGTTTGTTAGCAATTTCTCGATCTCAATTCGTTTCTCCTTATCAGCCTCTTTTTCTTTCTTTGGGTCTTTTGTCGAAGAAACCATGATGAGGACACAAGCAACGGCGATGATACCGACACAGCCGACCACGTAAATTCCTGGAAATGGTTTTCAAGGTTTCGGATCAACCTTTACAAAATTATAGACTTTAGAGCTACCTTTAGACTTTGGAGCTACCTTTAGAGCTTCAGAGCTTTAGAGCCTCTAGTAGAAGCACACCCTTTAACTGAATATCATGCTCTTGAGAAAGCTAAAGCCGACATCGCAATTCCTAGGCTGCAACTACTAAAAGAAGCTCGAATGGAGAAAGAAATCGATGATCTTCTGGCGCCAATCCAATCAACACGACTTCTGGAATTCCGCGAACTTGATAATCAAGAAGAAATTGATGAATTGATTCAGACGCATTGTTTTGTTTTGGTGATTGATCTGTTTTTATGTTTAAACCAGCCGATCTGTCTCGGTGTTTTAGGGCTAGGGACATAGTTTGTTTTGGGACATAGTTTGCTTTGGGACATAGTTTGATCTCTCAATTTAAAGGACCCCTCCCCTCCTGCGCCTCCTCCAAGATCCCTGTAATAATACTGGAATCTATATCTTAATCCTTCAAGGCAATATCGGAACTAACCCTGGCACCCTCTGAAACACCATCAACAACTGGGACTTGGTTTTTGAGAAATCACCGTTCAAACTTTTTCCTAGAACTTTCTTTCCAACCTAGGGTAGCACGGATGACGTCAAGAATCCACTAGAGCTTCAAGATCAAGATCAAGCTTGTTTAATTCGATGCTAAGGATCTGTATAAACATTGGAAGTTGACTAATTTTGGTAGCATGCCGTCGACCATTTGTGCGTGGCTCAAAGGATCAACCATATAAAAAAGCTATGAGCTATTAGCTCCTTATTAGTTTTAAGTATTACTTTATTAAGTTTATTAAGTTTATTAAGTTAAGTCTTTTATTTTAAAAAAGTTTAGTTTAAGGCTTTTGATGGCTTTTTGATTGACCGACCAAGCAAAGGAAAAACGGCAGTCTTCGGAATCGAACTCGAGAGCAAATCCAACAAAACGGTCATCGAGACCAAACTCGTTAGACCGATTCCAAGCTGAATTTTCGACTTGCATAGAAAATCTTGATTGCAAACTTTTGCCAATTGCTCAGATTTGTTGTTCTGTCGCCAGAACATTCCGATGATCGAAAGAAAAGTGATGACAAAGCAAGGTAAGGCGATCACGTTGATATAGTAGTTGGGGACTCTCTTCAGACGGAGATTGATTTGCAGCTAGATTTGAAATCTGTCGAATGGGAAATCTTTTCCTGCTCTAATAGACAAAATCGAATTGAAAACTAAAAAATGAGTTTCGCTCTGGAGTCAATGGAATATCTTAATGGCGGATTTCGAAATCTTTGGGACAAACCATTTGTCGCTTCTCGAAGAGAAATGAACTCGAGTCCAATCCATCGTCTTTCCATTCTCCATTGCCCTGAATGTCTTGAAGAGCTTGAAGGGGCTGATATCGAGCTGATAGCCAAAGGTTTAACCAACCAAATCATCTTGTTGCCCGGCGACCGTATCCTGATTGATTGTACCGTTTGTGCTGAGGATTGAGCTGAAATCTTTGTGCTTAAGTGAAATTTAGCAGCATTCAATAGATGCCTCTGTAAATGTCCTTTACAAACATTCCTTTGCAAAAATTCCTTTACAAATCTCTGTTTTTCTACCAAATAACTCACCCATCATATGAGAATGACATCAACAAGAGTTGACATGTCTGATTGTCGAATGGGAAAGTGTTGATCTCAAATCTGACAAGTTGTAGGATTAACGGAAGAGTCCTCACCTCCACTTCACAGGAGATTTCCACATAGTAGACGTTGACCATATGGACGATGCCATTGCTCGCGATGTGCAACGTTTTCTCGGCGCCAATCATATCGTCTAGGATTTTTCTAAAAGTGGATTTATAGGGTGCTACAATGCAGGGTGCTACAAAAACATGCTACAATGGATTACAATCCTATTCGATTGTCCAAGTCATGCATGTGCCTACAACATTAGAATAGACACCGAAAATCTCTATTCAAGTATTATTGAAAAGTATTATAGAACTGGATAGCCTAACACAGTTTAGCATTTAGCATTTAGTTTAGTAAGTTTCGTAAAGCTGTTCACTAACGAGTAACTCGCGAGTACAGGGTGCGCCATAATTTTCGCAACAGGGTATCACGAGCCTTCCAGGGCAATAACTTGTTGATTTCAGCTTCATTTCTGTTTTTTTTTTTGTGTTTTTACTATATTTGGAATATAATTGAAACTTTTTTCATATAAAATTTCTTGCTTTTTTTAGAATGGCTGAAAAATCCCCATCGACAATCGATCATCGAATTGCACAAGCGAGAAGCCTCGGCGCCGGAGATTCATAAGCGTCTTAAAGTCAACAGAAGTGCCATTTTCCGCACTATCCAAGCTACGTGAACAATTGCTGATGCACCAAGAAGCGGTAGACGTCCAACTGTCGTCACAAAGACAAACATCAAGCAAGTGAGGGACCGAATTTAGAAGAAGCCAAACCAGTCGACAAGGCAAATGGTAAAAAAGATGCCGATTTCAAACACCTCATTGCGTCGGATTCTCAAAAATAAGCTCAAATTTACTGCTTACAAAAAAAACAAGGATCAACCTCTTTCGGATGCGGCTAAAAACAAATGAAAATTGAGAGCAGATCAGTTGGTGTGCTTTAATGGAATCGACCATCACAATATCTTGTTCACCATGGACCAATGGATTTTTCAGTGTGCTCTAGAAGCCAAAGATTGTCCAAAGCCCCACAAAAAACTCGAAAGCTTGAAGAAATCACTGTTGAAAGCGTGGGAAGAGCCGGATCCAGCCTATTTGGTCGCCACCGTTGACGCCTTCCAAAAACGCCTGCGAGCTGATGCTCTGTTCGCTGATGTTTATCTTATCTTATCTGTGCTTATTGTTTCATTTTCAATCAAGAGATTTTAGTGCACAAAGCGCTTGTTTATACGTTAGAAACAAGCACATACGGTTTCTCGAAGTGCACATTCAGAAGAGCTCGATGCAGTCTATTTGGTTGACCGTTGACGCCTTCCAAAAACGCCTGCGAGCCTGCTCAAATGCTAATGGTGGCCGATTCGAATTTGATTGCTAATGCTAATGGTGGCCGATTCGAATTGCTAATGTACAATAAAGGTTATTCAGTTAAAAATTTGTCTATTTTTACTCTTGTCTGCCTTAAAATCAGAACTTTATGTTGTTGCGACAATTATGGCGCACCCTGTACAAAGAATTTGCTAATATTTGTGTTGCTATCGACGAAGCGTTAATCTGTTGTGTACTTGTATCACGAGCTTCTACCAAATCCGCCGTATTCTCCCGATTTGATTCCCTCAGATTACCGTTTATTCCGGTCGATGCAAATTGGCTAATGAGAAATGAAAAAAAAAATGTTTTCCTTTCTGGGTTTCGGTTTGTGTGTACGTGGCTGTGGCTTGTGGCTAGACTTTTGACCGTTAATCCTTCTGATCATCGGCTTTCGTGGCATTCGTGAGAATTAGCCCAATGTTTACATTATGCTGGGTGTTGCGTGTTCTTGTTATGTTGTGAGCGTTTTGGGGAAACCCGTTTAACCTTTCGTGCTTCGTTTAATTATGTGACCTTGTATAGATATTAAAAATACAAAATTAAACCCAAATCAAGATCATCGAGGGTTTTCTGTTTCGAAGCCTTGAGGTTCTGTCTTTTGGTTCTGTCTTTTGGTTCTGTCTTTTGGTTCTGTCTTTTGGTTCTGTCTTTTGGTTCTGTCTTGTGTCTTGAGAAAGGATTTCAAAGGAAGGATTTCAAATCCAAGTTCTTCAAAATCAACTTACACATTTGCGAATTGGCTATCGGGCACCCAGGCCACGTCGGCATTCACATAAAGACTCTGCATATCGCCAAATTGATGTGGATCCCAAGCGAGTCTCGGATCGAGCCATGACTGATCGAGAGATCAAATTGATCAAATTGATGATTTAAGATTTAACCCACCATTCTCAGCTGAACACACAAACTGACCAATTGTGTTTGAGCATCCTGTAATTTCGTTTGAGTTCGGAAGTTGGCATGAAAGACTCACGAGGGCAAAGACTTTCAGATATTCGAGCTCGAAAAAGACTTCGAGTGGTGGAAAATCTAGAAAAGAGGCTAGAAAAGAGAAGATTGACTTTCAGCAAAGCTCAATAGTTAGATTTTTTAAACAATGACTTTTGGAGGTTAGGCAGGGCTAACAAGGGATTCCACAAAATGGCTGTAGCAGATTTTGAAGCCGTTGAGATGCAAACGCCTATTGGAAACGGAGAATCCGATGCTGTATTCAGTTTTAGCCCATATTCGCAAGGGAATTTGAACTGGATAGGCTTCCCAAATGACATGAGCCATAGACGCTAGACAACCATAGACATTCGACGCCATAGATCCAAATCTGCGGCTAAAAAGCAAAAAGAGGCTCGGGTACCCGCTGGCTGAAAAGATGGCTGAAATTTAACACGGTAAAATCAGGTACGGGTACTCTGCTTGGGTACGGGTTCAGCGCCATCTGACTGACTCTGACTGCGCCATCTGGCTACATTTCATGGGTCGGAAAAGAGCCTTTACAGCCCCACGCCCCCTCCCCCCCCCCGGCGCGTCCCCAACACCCCCCCAACTTTGGGGCCCCTCCCCCCTCGTTTTTTATATAAGGAAAAAAAAAAAAAAAAACACCCCCCCCCCCGTGTCTGATAGGCGTTTGCATCTCAACGATGACAAAATCTGCTACGGTTATTTTGTGGCATCTCCTTGTAGATCCAAACCTGCGGCTAAAAAGCAAAAAGAAGCTCGGATACCCGCACACTTCTGCGCCATCTGACTGACTCTGACTGCGCCATCTGACTGACACTGATTGCACCATCTGACTGACTCTGACTGCGCCATCTGACTGACTCTGACTGCACCATCTGACTAACTCTGACTGCGCCATCTGACTGACTCTGACTGACTCTGACTGCGCCATCTGACTACATTTCATGGGTCGAAAAAGAGCCTTTATAACCCCCGGCACGATTTCCCGAGTAGACACCCAAACTTACGTTTGTAAGCCTGAACCAGTACTAATCCAACTTTCATCGGAAATGAGACGAATGATAAAAAGATTTCTCGAGTACCTCTCGAATTTCCGCTTCTCATATAAACAGGTGAAAGCAATTTATTATAGGCTCTTTTCGTCAACAGTTCATCATACAATTTTGTCGTTTTGTTGCTGAACGATTTGTAGTCGTCTAAAATCTGAAAAGATGCTCAAAATAAGATTTTCTTTTTACTTGACGCATAGAAATCGATGTATTCCTGGCTTGGTTGATAGGCGGAAGAGACGAATTGAGAGAAAAATACCCATAGAAGGAGCATCGAAATGAGAAAAGTTCCTGAATGTATCGAATTTTGATTTGAATGTGGGTAAACATTGAAATTCGAGGGTTCTGAGTGGGTCTTTTTGCTGACTTCTGCCAACTTTTCACGAAAAATGGGTAAACAATAGGGAAAACTAGAGAGAATTTCGTGTTCGATGAATTTAACAATTAAAATCAAATGTTTCTGTTCGTGAATTTAACAATCAAATCAAATGGTATGGTACAAACGGAGAATTTCAAAGAAACGAATCTATTTGCTCGAACGATTAGGCTTTGACGGTTTGAATACTCTAATTTAGATGGAATACTCAAATCGGGTCTGAATACCCTACACTAGGCTAAATCCCGTTATTCAGCCATTCTGGACTGAATATCCCATTCTAGATTGAATACCGTAATCCAGACAACCTAGACTGAATACTCTAATTTAGACGGAGTACTCAAATCTAGACTGAATACCCTAAGCAAGACTAAATACCGTAATCTAGCTATTCTAGACTGAATATCCCATTCTAGATTGAATACCGTCATCGAACGATTTCGATGAGTTGTTGAAGAGAAATCATTATGATTTCATGCTGAAAGAGATCTGATGGACGAGGAGATGGTAGAGAGGAGGAGAAAGGAGAGGAGGAGAAGAGGAGAGGAGGAGATGATGAGAGGAGGAGGAGATGATAGAGAGGAGGAGAGGAGGAGATGGGTAAACGATTTCCGAGTAATCTTTGATTCGATTCGATCATTTCACGTGAGGAAATCATCAAAAAATCTTCTCATTCATCCACAAATGATCCCTTCCTGTACATTTCAATAAAAGAACTCATCGATGGCTGAGAATTGGCACTCAAGATCACCAAAATACACAATAGAACTCAAAATATGTAAGTGAAAACAAAAAGACGGCTATTGAATGAAAGGATTTCACCGTGCTTTCAAAGAAAGAATTATTCGCTTCACCGAATCAGCATCAACTGAATGAATCAGACAAAAAAGTCCCAGGAAAAATGAAAATGGCGAAAAATCGCCCTGGAAAATCACAAGAGCAATTCGAAAATGAGCGATGAAAGCAATGAAAGAGCAGAGGGGAAGCTATAATTGCTTTTTTTTCGTCAATTAAAAGCAGCAAGGTCAACTGAATCGATGGTATCACTTTTTTGGCTGACTGAAAGGCATTGCATAATGGAACTTATATGCCTGAGTTAACTATTAAGAAAAAAAATAAATCTTTTTTTCTTCTTTCATTTTTATCAGAAAAATCCACTTCAGTAAGTAGTTTTTTTTTTTTAAAATAAAAACTTTTTATTAAAATAAAACCCTAACTGGAGTAGGGGAGATCGAGCGCCTTGTGGTGTAATGGTTAGCACAGTTGACTGGTAAGTGAAAGGTGGTGACTTCGAGTCCCGGCGGAGCACGGGTTTTTGATCTGCCCTAGTTCTAACTCCTGTAAAGGTTTGAGAGAGAAAAAATGAAAAGAGAAGGAAATCAAGGTGGCCAATCGAAATGAGACCTAGACCATCCGATGCAGAATTTTCCGCTAATTCTGAATTTGCTAGCCGCTTTTGCTAAATAGGCACGAAGAGGGCCTGGAAATTAAGTAATAAATGTACCTACTCAAGAATATCGTTTCTCAAGAACGAACAAGAATTGTGATTTGTCTGATTTTTTTGGGAAAACCAAATGAAGAAAGCTATAGCTATAGAAAGCTATAGAAATGAAGAAAGCTATAGAAATGAAGAAAGCTATATAAAGCTAGAAAGCTAGCTAGAAAGCTAACGAATATTCAGATTTTGTCTAGAATAGTCTGGATCTTTACCGTCATCTGATCTTGATGAACCCACTTGATCTTGGCGCTCATCTCTATCACAGATAGGGCGAGAAGTACCCTCTTTCGACACCAAAACATGATTGAATAGGAGATAGCCGTGGTCAACAATGTACAACCGATTGTGTACAAGGGCCAGAGGCGAAAGAACGATAAATGGCAAAATTGTCGCCATCATTGCCATCAAATTATCGCCATCATTGCCAAGATAGTGTTGGAAAAGGGGTTCAATCTTCGCTTTCCCGTTATTTGCTAAGTTGGAGAAAGTCGCCTGAAACGTTTTTGATTTTTTTAAATCGAAGCGTTAAAATCGACAAATTTCGATTAAAAGTATTGAGCCATTGAGGTCAACTTCTTAGCCCTTTTGGACCTTTTAGAGTACAGATATGCCAGCTCCTCGATTCTTATTGTTTTTAAAAGATAAACAGCAAGAACTCCTTGAGCCAAGTTTCAGGCAATTCTTTGTTTTTTTTCTCTTCATCTCTCTACAAACCATTTGAAATAAACAGGGCACGAGAACACGACGTGAACTCAAACAAATTGAGATAAGAGTGGCTCTTTTAATTCGACTCTAATGATAAACTTTTCTTTCCGAATTAAATGAGATTGATTCACCGAATGAATAAACACGTAATATCGATAGATGAAGGAGGAAGGCAGCGTGTACAGAGCGAGGACGAATCGCGGACAGGGCGCAGGTTAGGCTTAGGCTTAGGCTTAGGCTTAGGCTCAGGCTTAGGCTTAGACTTAGGTAGCCGGAATCAGCTAGTCTTAAATAAATCTTACTCTGTTTATCATTCTTGGTCATTTCAAGATTTTCTCCAGTCCACCCCAACATGACAAACAAATTGCACAGTCCGGTGAACATGTCGAGAATGGTTGCATTGGTGATCAACATCGAATAGACTTTGGGCCATTTGAGCCAACATCGAATAGACTTTGAGCCGTCGAGAAGGCGATGAACAGCAAAAGAAGAGAGCCAAGCAAAAGATCGAGACATGGTGAAGAACGGAACTTCACCATGACATGGTGAAGAACGACGATCACCAAATCTTCGACCTACAGACTTTCGCCTTTCCACAGAATGTCCATCGAAGCGAAAATGAGGTTTCTCTCGGAGAAAAGCGGCAATTTGCGAATTGGCTATATGGGAAATGGCTTTGTTGGGCATGTTTCGAAAAAAACGATTTTTCCTGGGGATTTTCCGACTTTGAAGTCCCGATTTGAGAATGAGTTTATTGATTTAACGGAAACATTGATTTAAGTTAAATGATTTACGGGACTTGATTTAATTATTGGTTTCGGAACTTGTTTGTAAATGTTTACGGGCTTGTTTGTTTATTGTTTCGAAACTTGTTTATGTTAATTGATTTCGGGCATTGATTCGGGAACTTGTTTGTTAATTGTTTCGGGACTTATTCCATACTTTAATCGTTTTTAAATAGTGCTAAGAAATTGAAAAAATTTGCAGAGGATTCTGATTAGACAACATAGTTTTGACAAGGAAAAGAAAAACAAAAAAAAGTCATTTCATCGAATAAGCGACTGAGATGCTTAGCAAATGTGCTTTCCGGAGCTTCGGTCGATTGAGCCATTTGAGGATCGAATCTCGATATGGTCGAACGAAATAGAGACTGAACAACGGGCTGAGCACCGGATTGAAGGCGGTTATCTGGAATTTTGTTTGGATCTCTGTTTGGATATCTGTTTGGATCATCAATCATCATCAATCATCATTGATGATCCAAACAAAATTCCAGATAGTTAGATCAGAATCAGAGATCAAACGATTTTCTCTCATAGAGGTAAAACTAGATCTAGCGGAGATACATATCAACTAGAGTAGTTGATCTGTATCTCCGCTGCTTTTTGAGCAACATGAGCTTCTTGATCTTTACTTCTTGATCTCTTCTTCTGACCCTCTCCCCCTCGGCCCCCCCCCCCCCCCCCCCCTCCCCCCCCCCCCCCGCCCCCCCTCCCGCGCTCCTCCGCCTCTCCCGCTCCCCCTCCCCCTCCTGGCCCCCCCCCCCCTTCCGCTTCTTCTCCATTTTTTTCCCCATTTTCACCTTTTTACAACATTCACTTTTTTCGATCTTTAAATTCTACAAAACGAATCTTTAAAGGCTTCTTTTGACTCAACAAAGACATTATTAGGCCAGGAGATTTCCTATTGATCCACTTGAAACTTATTCAGAGTTTTCCTATGATCTTAAAGCGCCCACAAGTAAAACCAATTGTTCCATGGTGGTTGAGTGGACGAAATTCAACTGCTGAGCGCCGTACATCATCGAACACACGACAATGACGAGTGGAAGCAACGATTGCACGGTCAAAGCCTGCAATTCGAAGAATATCCACAAGAGACAATCGATTTGTATCTTTTAAAAAGTGAATCTGGCTCATAATCTTGCTCAATCACAATGCTCAACCACTGAACACCTTTCTTTAGACTTTTGTCTGCCTTTTGCCTGTCTGCCTTCATCCAACTCTTGCATTTCTATCAGTAAATTATTTGGTGGGATTTCCTCATTTTAGACTCTCATTTAACTTAAACTTCTTGCTTTCTAATAAAAATTTTTTTAGATATTGAGCAATGGACAAACTGTCGGTGGGGAAGAGCAGAGGGGAAACTATAATTGCTTTTTATAATTGCTATAATTCAAAAGCTCAGCGTAAAGGCCATCAAGCAAATAAGGACAGGTGCTTTTTCAAGAGAAAATCGAAAACAACAAACCATCATTAGGTCTCGATGAACGATTTTCGTCTTTGGACTCATATCCATTGTTGAGAGGGCACTCAGCACTCTCCGACGACACAAAAACATGATCGAATAGGCGACAACGGTGCTGCTACAAGCGAAAATGATAGCGTACATTGTCCAGAAACGGAGAATCGAAAGATGGCCGGAGACGACGAGATTTGTGAGATTGTAGCCGAAGATCGATGCCAATAGAGGCTTTAGAGCCTCGGGATTGTCGTCTACGGTGGAGAGGATGACCTAAGATATTCTTTTGTCTCTGTCTCTTTTGATATTCGACTAAAATTTGATCGGTTTGTTTGAAAGTAAGCTGACAAAAATGCTCTTTAAGACGGTAACTAACTCTCGGACAAAGACTCCAAAGTTTTGTTTTAATTGGTTTGTCTGGATCTGTTCAGCTTCTCTTTTTCGCCTTAACATCACCCAGAGCCTGAGTCTTTCCTTTCTGGCCAAATTCCCTGCAAGAGATTTCAAAGAATTAGGCAAAGATTTCTTCTAGGTGATCCGAAGATCCGACTCTCACAATGCATTCCTACCGCGTGAAAAACGGAGGGACAAGCGACTAGAATGCAAATGAGCAGCAGATAAATCGTGCGTATGGATCCCTAGAATCTGGTGATGTTTTCATTTTTCAATGATTCCAACCGAATGCAAGAGCACATAATATCGATAGACGAAAGCAATACACAGCGAGTAGAGACCATTGGAAATCGAGGAAACCATCAAACAGTAGCCAATATAACAGACATGTGAGCCGAAGAATGTGCAATAGCCTTAAGAGATGTAGAAGAGCGAGAGTTTGATTGGGATGATTCTAAACTGCATTTCGTTAAGCTGGCTATCGATCATTCCACGTTTTAATGACAATGCGAAATTCTTGAGAGCAAGAAAGAGAGAAATGGTGCCTCTACCGAATTCGTAAGATCGAAGAAATTAAAAAGAAGATTCGCTTCAAAAATCTAAGAGCTTTAAAGAAAGTAAAACTTGTCTGGCTTTTCAGTTGGCTAGTAATACCGTAAATGCTGTATTAGCGCGACTTGTCGCTGTATTTTTCAATATCCCCTTGGAGGATCGCTCTTCTAGAGGAGGTCGTTCTATTTTTTTTTTTGATCTGTCTTCGCACTTAGGTGTTCCTATTTTGCGCCGATCACAACCTGCTTCCACATTTCTCTATCCCTTGCTATTGTCATCCAGAGTTTCCTATCTTGGTTGTTCCTAGTTCGAAGTCTTCGACTTGCTTGTGCTGGTGGTGGTTGCTTTCTCTGACTTTCTCTGCCACTCTTGTGCTCCACCTCGTTGCTGGCCTTTCGATGGGCCTCTTCTGGTCTCGTGGTAGCCACTGTGATCCGTATCGTCCATCTGTCGTCTGTTCTTCTGGCCACGTGGCCGGCCCATCTGAGTCTTTTTCTCTCGATCACTTCCACTGGATCTCTGAGTCCCGAGAGCTGGCGCATATCCGTACTTCTTAGGTCTTGGCCGAGGAGGTTCCTTTCAAGGGCTCGATGCGTCGTTCTCAGGGCTCGTTCGGTGGTCTGTGTCGTGGCCCAGGTAGCAGAGTGCCGGGAGGACGGTGCTGTCGAAGAGGTGTGCCCGAGTCCTCTGGTGATTCTTGAGTATCTTTGGGACTTTTTTTGATGCTTCCTAGTGCTGTCCAGGCCGCTCGTCTTCTTCTGGCGACTTCTGGTCTTAGGTCTCCCTCCATGTTGATGCTTCTTCCGAGGTAGGTGTAGAAGGTGGCTTCTTCTATTTTCATAATCCCTAATTTGAAAGAACCACGTTGGATCATTTTTATGAGCCGACGTGGTTCTTTTCATAATAACAATTATGAAAAGTAACAACAAGCCAAGAAGATCAAGAGGAACATCATAGTCATCAACATCAAACCATCAGAGTCATCAACATCAAACCATCAAAGTCATCAAGAAATCATCACTTGTATCGACGATTGCCTCAACGTTTGTATCGACGTTTTTGTTCAATTCTCCCAAAAGCTTGGCCATTTCTTGATCCAGACTTTCTCGCCATCCGTAGCTTTTCCTGAAATCGACGCCTGCATTTAAAAGCTTCATCTTCACTTTATCCAAAAGAATTCTGCGGGTCACCCATTTTTTTTCGTCTCGTTGAGATCGAACCCATGCAACAATTGATTGGTCAACTTCTGCCCCCAGCAAGTGCTTTCCGCCGCCATCGAGCCGTTTTTTCTTGCCATTGAGATCGCTAAGTTGATTCGTTTCTTTCTTCCAGTTGTAAATTGATGATCGTGACCAAACTTCCTTGCAGCCGCGTGGATTGCGTTTGGTTTGGCCTATTCAAGAATCTTCAGCTTCCTTTTCGCATCGAATGCCCTTCTTTTCTTTCCTTTTCACATGTTGTCCGCTTTGATTTTGCAATCACGTGCCTCTTCATCGAAGCAATCGCGTGCCTTATTCAATCCTGGTTCGAAATCACGACGATCCCGAAATTCGATCAAATCATCTATCGTATTCATCAAATCGTCTATCGTCTATCGTCTATCGCTCACCGTTTGCTCAGCTATTGGCTCAACGATCGTCTTGCGCATCTCTTCGGCCATAACCTAAAGAAAAACATTAAACATTATAGCAAAAGTGTTAAAATGAGAAAAATTAAAACAACTAAATAACATAGGTACTTTTTCAATCTAAAAGAGCGTGACTAAAAGCCACCGTAAATACTGTAATAGTACCCCAGCCCCATAATGACGGTGCGGAGTGTTGCGTAGTCTAGCTTTGAACGAGTTTTTCTCGACACTGGTTTATGCTAAAATGCGCGCTTAGGTATCAAAAAATAGCTGAAATTCAGGGCTATTTTTTGATACCAAAGACGCATTTTTTGAAAGTACGGGTGCTTTGCAAAAAATGAAATACTAAAAAACTTTTGCGACTACGCGACTGTACGAGGGGAGTGGGGTACTATTGCAGTATTTACGGTAGCTGTTTTTCTTTTGCAGTTCTCCGTTTACTCGAAAGCTTTCCTTTTCAAAAAAGTTTATGTCTAAAGTATGTCTTGATAACAAAAAGCTATGCACCTAAGCTAAAGCACAAAAAGCTTTCGATACAATACAAATCAAATTTTTTGCATTGATGGCAATTTACTAAAATAAAGCAGTGGCAATTTACTAAAAAAAGCAGTAGATCCGACTAGAACTTTAAAAATAATACCTTCCACAAAATGAAAAATAAAAAAATTTATGGAAGAAGGGGGTCGCTCTCTTTGAGAGGGTCGCTCTAATACAGCATTTACGGTACTTTTCTGCTGGTTGGTTTTTTCACCGCCGGAGCATCGCAATTTTTGGGCAAACCCGAACAGATATAAACTCATCTCATTGCTTACCGTTGCATAACGAACAAATTGGCACAACAAGCGATCAGATCGGTCAACGTTACATTAGCGATCAGAAGCGAATAGGATTTTAGCCATTTCGGTGTGTAGAATAGAATCATGAAGATGACGAATAGACTCAATAAAAGACCGGGAATCTCGACAATGTGATGGAGAAAGATGAAGAGATTGTCCTCGAAGGGCAGATTTCCACCAGCGAAGATGATGTCCATTGGAATTTTGACTGTGATATCAACGTTGAGACCAAATAGCTCAAAAATAACTTTGAGCTCTTGGAGAGCAAAGGAGAATCACAAGCGAGCAGAGACAGGTGCATTTCTTTGGTTGGATTTGGGGGATATTTTCTTATGGAGAAACTTGAAATGAAATTTTTTTGTACATTGGAGTCGCTAAATCAAATGCTTTGAGGTCAGACAACGTAAAAGACGAAAATTGAAAAGAAAATTCCTAGATTAGTTTGGGAAGAGCACAAATAAATCCAGAAGGATGACGAGATTGAAAGTCGAGAATTGATCAAAAAATGAAAGGACTACTAATTTTGATTTTAAAACCTCAGGCTGAGGGTTTAAAATATCAAATTACCAATGCCAGATTAAAATAAACCATGCCAGGGTGGCATGGCAGGTAAAGAAGGCCGAAGGCAGAATAAAGAAGGCATTGCCAGGATGCTTCAAAAGTTAAAAAGGAGATAGATGATGTGATTCGATTGAGAAAAGTCGATTTTTTTTTTGTTTTTTAGCTTAGTCCTAAAAATCGATATGTCGTAGTCGTTTACGAAATTCAGCCGCTAACGAATCATTCGTTAACACAATGACTAGGCGCATTTAAAACAGCAAAGCGTTTATTGTGCGAATCTGATGTTCGTAGAGGTCCTATTCGGGAAGTTGTTCCAAATTGGGCTTAGGGTCGGGTCGGGTGTTGCTCCCAACCAACCCCAACCACCAATTGACGTTTCCTCCAAAATTTCACAACAAGTACCGATTTTTCATCGCCTGTGACATATGTGGCAAAAAGAATATCGCTCATATCTGGAGAGATGAGCTGCACTATCTGGAGCTCATATCTGGAGAGAATGGCTGCACTGATAGAAATTCGGTTCAATCTCTCGGCCTCGGTATGGGGAGCCCAAGGCCCTAATTTTGAATAATAGCCAAGAGCATGGAGATGATTGGTCATCGCCTTATGAAAAACTCCAAGCTTCTCTGTCAATTCACGTGAAGGGTCTTTATTTAAGGCATCCAACAAAGCGATAACCTTCAGCTTCACTCCTTCCAGATCCCAGAAAACCAAGAGCATAAACTTCTTCTGCGATGAAGTCCGAGTTGTTTACATTTTGAGATTTTTGATTGAAAAAGTGTATCATTTTCAACTTCAACAACCCGAAAGTAAAAATTTTCGTAACCATTCTTTTTGTAGCATGTTTTGATTTACCAAAGAGGGAAATGTTTGGATTTTTCAGGATGGAAAAGAGTTTGAGAGTTTTGAGACAACTCCGGATATAACTTGTCACTGTGAAGATGATCGACATGAATGGAAATGTTGGGAAGATTCTTCTGGATCGAAATGTTGGGAAGATTCTCCTGGATCGAAGTGTTGGGAAGATTCTCCTGGATCGAATGGTTGGGAAGATTCTCCTGGATCGAAATGTTGGGAAGATTCTCCTGGATCGAAATGTTGGGAAGATTCTCTTGGATCGAAATGTTGGGAAGATTCTCCTGGATCGAAATGTTGGGAGGATTCTCCTGGATCGAAGTGTTGGGAAGATTCTCCTGGATCGAAATGTTGGGAAGATTTTCCTGGATCGAAGTGTTGGGAAGATTCTCTTGGATCGAAATGTTGGAAAGATTCTCCTGGAACTCAAAGGTTGTCTCCCGGTAAGAAAAGAGTTGCTCTGTGAAGTCAAACTTTCAATACCAGTACTTTCAATTCAATATCATAATGCATTTTAGCCATGCGACGCAAAAAAGTACGGTTATTTTCGGGATGGCGAAAAGTGTCGGCAGCTTCAAAATGCCGATTGGATGTGCAAAGAGGAGAATGTCATCAAAATCCAAGCGATCTAAAGGATTTTTTGGGCTTCAACTAGACTCTTTGAACCAAATCAGCACTTGAGCTCAAATAAATCACCATATTCAAGTTTTTGCCTAAAAATGACGTGTTTTAGGCAGAATTAAAATTTCTATAGCCTCTTTTGATGCCAAGCGAATCACCGCTATCCATCGTTGGTCCACTATCAGCTTTAAATCTGCAAATTTGCCATTTTTTCGTGAATCACTCTCTTAATAGATTCATCTTATCAAGTCATTCAGTTTTTCTTTTTAATTTTGATGAGCTTTGGCTCGATAATTCGTTTCTTTTCGAGCCTTATCACATCTTTGAAATAGCCAAATAAATAGCCATTGATTTCTGGCTGAAAAGTACGCGGTAAAGTCCGAGAAAGAGCAGAATATGTTGATACGGCTCTATTTTTCCGTATTCGCTGTTTTATTTTCCTCGGTGCTTGCTCAAAACCCGTTAGTAATAACAAAATATGGGCCTGTCATTGGCGCATCGTATCCAACTCCGAGTGGAGCTGTCGTCTCCGAATTTATCGGAGTCCCCTTCGCCGCACCGCCACTCGGGAATTTACGATTTGAGGTAGAATATTGATTTTAAAGACTTGGTAAATGGGAAATTACAATGCTGAAGTTCAGTCCTGCCCCCCCCCCCCCCCCCCCCCCCCCTCCCCCCCTCCCCCCCCCGCCCCCCCCATCCCCCCTCCCCCCCCCCCCCCCCCCCCCTCCCCTGCCCCTTCCTCCCCCCTTCCCTTCCCCCCCCCCCCAAAAAAAACTCCCTTTTCTCCACCCCCCCCCCCCCCCCCCCCTCCCCCTCCTCCACCAAATCCCCCCCTTCTAAGCTCAAGCACTTGAAGTCCAGTCCTGAACTTCGGTCCTGAAATTCAGTACAAAATTCAAAGCTTGATCTCATCTATTCAAGAATGTAGAAAATCTACAATGTAGCAAATATAATACCTTTTTTCAGAGACCTAAACCACCAACGCCTTGGACAACCCCACTGAATGCCTCTACTTATGCCCTTGATTGTGTCCCATGCAATTTGGACTGGTTTATCATCTAGATCTTCCTCTAATCACATTCACTTCAGGGCTGAGGGTCCATCGTCTGAAGATTGTCTCTATCTCAACATTTGGACACCATCTTTGAACGTTCGTAGTAAAATTCACAAAACCCAATTTAACAAGGATTTCTCGATTTCATTTGATAGTTTAAAATCTGTTTTATTAGATCAATCAATAAGTAATGAGCCTCTCCTAATTTACAGCCAAAATTTATATTTATATATCGCTAAACATCCCGCTACTATAAGATTTTGACCCGAATTGAGCACTACATTTAAGTATTAGATCAATGGAATAAGTAATGAGCCTCATTATTTACAAATTGACTTCGGCGGCTAAACTTTAGTCGCTTTTGAGGATTTTGCTAAAACCTAAAACCATAGATCTTTCTGATATTTTAGTATGATAATTATGAAAGGTTTGACCATAATTGAGCATAATTTTATCTAGATCTGATGGTTGGGCCTTGAGGAATCTTTAAAAGAGTAATAACTTGATTTTAATTTTTTCAAAATCTCCTTTAAAATAAAGTTTTATTTCTTATTTCTCTCAAAATAAACAATGAAATATCAAAATTGTTGGAGGAATTAGAATGAACTTTTGTCTATTATCTTAGAAAGTTTCATTTAAATTAGATTTTTGGGTTTTTTAATAATCGAAAAATGCTTCTTTCTATCACAATTTCCAAAACCAAAAGACAATTTCGACTAAAGATTTTGAAAAAGCTCTTTCTCAAAGTTCAGCCATCAGATCAAGTTCATTCTTTGTACAATAATGTTACTTTCTTTAATAATCATCAGATCTAGATAAAATTATGCTCAATTATGGTCAAACCTTTCATAATTATCATATTAAAATATCAGAAAGAGCTATGGTTTCGTTTTTGCAAAATTGTAAATAATGGAGAGGCTCATTACTTATTGACTGATCTAATACTTGATTGTAGTGCCATTGGGTCGCCAAATGCATTTTAGCAAACGGCTTTTGTTTTCTAAAGCGTAGAAACACATTGTATTTTCTGAACCGTGGATACGACAAAATGAACATCTCGGTAATGCTGACAGGACGATCTGTATCCACGTTTTAGAAAACAAAAGTCGTTTGCTAGAAAGCATTCGGTGACCCAATGGCACTACAATAAAAGTATTAGATCAGTCAACAAGTAATGAGCCTCTCCTTTATTTACAATTTTGTAAAAACGAAACCATAGCTCTGGAACATGTCTACTTGTTAAGTGATTCATCAATCGAAACGTCTCTTTCAGAACTCCAATTTGCCAGTGGCTGTCTGGATTCATGGAGGCGGGTGGGGCACAGGGACGGCACAAATGGAGAACAAAAGGATTAGAGAGGTTTCTTTATTGAAGATTTTTCTCGCAAAATAAAGTATCATTGTTTTAAAATTGTTAAACCGATTTGAATTGGAGTAAAGAAATCGACGCAACCCTTTTGTAACTTTTTTAAACTTTAGCTATCTGATCTGATGAGATCTCTGATGAGATCCGGGCCGCATTGGTGACCATTAGAAATTCTGCTGATTTGTGATTAATCAGAAGATTCAGAACTATTTTATTTATCGAAAAAGAGAAAAGAAAGCAAAAAGTAAAAATTCCCTTCCCATGCCGGGAATCGAACCCGGGCCGCGTGGTTGAAAGCGACGAATCCTAACCACCAGACCACATGGGAGCATAGTCGGTCGATCCTTTTTGATCAATACATCATTGGTCAATACATCATTTTTAGATCTACGGCCAAAACGGGATTGTCGTTGTGAGTATTGCGTATCGAGTCGGTTTCTTTGGTGAGTGGTCATCATGCATTTTTGTCATAGGCGACGGCAATGTCGAGCTACAATACAGGGCTAAGAGCCCTGTATTGTACTTTCGAATAAGATACAGGGCTCTTAGCCAGTCGACATTGCCGTCGCCCGTGACCTGGTCAAGGGTTCAATCCCGCTGACTAGATTATTGGTTCTTTTCTCTATATATCCCTTTTCCCTCTATGAGTTTCTTTCTTCCCTAAATTTAGGGCTTAGGCGTGTACTTGTGTATTGTTTGAGCCAGAATACTAGTGTGAATAGATCTATTTTTTAATCATCTCGCTCAGGCTTCCTCACTCTCAACAACACCGCTCTGCCCGCTAATTTGGGAATGTGGGACCAGAATCTGGCACTGAAATGGATTCAGGAGAATATTGGACGATTTGGAGGCAAGTTTATCGATTAAATCAGTCTAACAGAGAATCTCAGGTGACTCGAAAAGGGTAACCGTCTGGGGTCAATCAGCCGGCGGTGCTTCAAGTGGACTGCACTCGTTATCCCCGCATTCACAAGGTTTCTTCAAGTCCTCAATTCTTGTTGTTCAAGTCTAGAACTGTTTCCTTTGTAAGAATTTTCTTTTAAGGCCTTTTCGCGCAAAGTTTTGAGCAAAGTGGCTCACCGATTGCTGATTGGGGAAGAGGCAACCCGACAATGCTCCAATTCAGCACCGACACTCTCAACAAGCTCGGTTGCCCGACGAGCGGAGATATTAAAAGGTGCAGTTAGTTAATAAGAAACAGTTTTGTGATTGCACTTTTTAAAAAGTCCATTCAATTGCGCTTTCTTGGGGTTGGAGGCAAGTTTACCGATTAAATCAGTCTAAAAGAGATTCTCAGGTGACTCGAAAAGGGTAACCTAACCTCCAAACCCACAAAATACCCTTTTGTGCACATTCTCGTAAGGTTAGGTTTATCGGCATAAGCCTGCTAAACGAATAGGGCAAAATTAAATTTATTGCAAAAGTCTTATTAAATACACGAAAGGGCCGCGTTTTCGAACGCGCCAACAAAAAGCATACGGTAGAACGTACACAAAATCATTCATTCTGATTCTATATTGCCAGCCATGTTTATGGAGTTGTTTACGAGCCATGCTTATGGAGTTGTCGACGAGCCATCTTTACGGAGGTGTCGAATGAGCGTTTCATTCTAAATCGCAAACTTTAAAATTCATCGATGAGGCCATTAGCTCTATTAGGAAATTTAGTAGTCATGGGTGTTGCAAAGCCATTTTTTCAGGTCGCAAACCAATCTTTAGAGGCAGATCCAAACTAGGGCAGATCCAAAACTCGTGCACCACCCGGGCTTGAACCCGCGATCTTTCGCTTACTGGGCAATTGTGCTAACCTTTACACCAAAACCCACTTGATCTCCCTTCTCTGGGGTTACTTTTTGTTGCTAACTATCAGGCTGACAAAGTTCGCCCGTCGGGCCCCGTCGAAGCCGTTTTGGTCCAACAGAATCTTTGACGGTTTAGAATTCGTGGTCTAGAGATTTTTCCGCAAAAACAGAATTTTCTTATACCGAGTATACCGACCTATTTTCTTTGAAAGAAAAGTTAAAATTTGAAATCCGATTACGACTCGCCAACTTTTTAGAGCTAGAATTTTTGCGTTTCACCTTCAATCAACCTGAAATTTTGCTATTCATCTAGAAAGGGTTTAAAAAATAGAATTGCTTTTAAAATAAAAAAAAAAATAAAAAAAAATATAGTTGGTTAAAGGGGATTTAAAAGGGGGGGGGGGGGGTGGGGGGGTTCTTTATATTTTTTTCCTTTTTTCCCAATATTTTCCAACCTCGTTGAGTGACTACGTTTAATTAGAAATTTCAGAGAATTTTTCCTTTCAAAGCCTTAAATTTAATACAAACTTGCTATAATTGCAAACTCTTTTATAAGAATATTCAGCGTTGGATAGTTTTTTGTTATCTTAAAAGCTGAATTTGATCGGAAAACAAGGTGGCTCCGAAGTTTTGTGTCACTTTGAACTCGTAAAGTACTCGTACCGGTACTATTTAGGCTTAAAAGTGTGGCGCGTCAAATACTATTAAAGAAAGTCATAGCTAAAGTCTAGATTACCCCATCGGTATTGTCAGATTAATGGTTTAACAGTATGGTACTTAGCCTAGACTGGCTAATATGTTGGCTTGGCCTGGTCAAGATTTTACCTACCCTCATCCTTTTCCAGAACTCAAATCAAGACGACCAAAGAAATCCAGAGAACCTTTTAATGTTAATGATTTCATACTCTAGTTTATGGCACAATATGACACTCTTTAGAACTTTTGTTCCATTTACTTAGCTTTTTGTGTCAAATTGCCAAGTTTGTGTCAAATTTAAAGCTTTGGCAAAGATTTAAGGCAAAGATCAAGTCTTTTAATTGGCAAAATATTGCCAGAATCAACCCAATCAACCTGTAGTAGAATAATGCTATTCAATTTAAGCTGCCTGAAAGGAAAAACCCTCAACGAACTGCACACGGCTGCTGGAGCTTGTGTGATTGGAGACGACATGAGTTTTCTTGCACTTACTCCACTCATCGATGGGGATTTCTTCACGGAACAAGTAATTTGTGTAAAGAAAAAGCTCAAGAACATTAATGTTAATGATTTGATTGCACTTTTCCTTTTGTTTAGCCCGAACAAGCTATCAAACTCTACCCGCCAAAGCCCACAATCCTTGGACTCATGCAAAAAGAAGGGCGAGCTTTTTGTGAGTTTCGTAATAATTTTATCTAATTTCAATTGAAAACAATTTCAATTGAAAACTAGAAATTCTCGATTTCTAGAAAGTTTTTTAAGCTTTCTAACTTCTAAGCTTTCTAACTTCTAAGCTTTCTAACTTCCAAGCTTTCTAATTTTTAAGCTTTCTAACTTCTAAGCTTTCTAATTTCTAAGCTTTCTAATTTCTAAGCTTTCTAATTTCTAAGCTTCCCAACTTCTAAGCTTTCTAATTTCTAAGCTTTCTAACTTTTAAGCTTTCTAATTTCTAAGCTTTTTAACTTCTAAGCTTTCTAATTTCTAAGTTTTCTAACTTCTAAACTTTCTAACTTCTAAGCCTATCAGACAATTTTCAGTGCTGGAAGAACCTTGGCCTCCATCAATGACACCGGATCAGTACAATTCGATGACATCTGATACTTTTCTGCAATTCATCACGTATTGGGTGACACGATCAACCTTTAATCAAAGTCGAATTGAAGCCGCTTTGGTTGGCCAAGTTTTTCAAAGTTCTGACAAAGGCTTTTAGGATATTTACAATTTTTACGCTCAAAATCACAGTGATCCAAACGATCACTATTTTTGGATCGAGCAGTACGATCAGGTTTGAGTTACGGATGTAATTTGATTTATGATTTAGAATTGGTAAATGAGTAAAGATTATTGAGTTTTTAAAGCAAAAAGCGTCATTTCAGCTTTTCTCTGACATTGCGTTCAATGTGCCGCTTGTGAGAGAGGGAATTGCCAGATCTGCGGTCAGTTTTCAAGTGTAAATTGCAGCAAAATGATACAGCTTTACAACCGAATCCTATAAACAGCTTACAGCTTACAGCTTTACAACCGAATGCTATAAGCTTATAGCTTACAGCTTACAGCTTACAGCTTTACAACCAAATCCTATAAATAGCTTACAGCTTACAGCTTTACAACCGAGTCCTATAAACAGCTTACAGCTTTACAACCCAATCCTATAAACAGCTTACAGCTTACAGCTTTACAACCGAATCCTATAAACAGCTTACAGCTTACATCTTTACAACCGAATCCTATAAACAGCTTACAGCTTACATCTTTACAACCGAATCCTATAAACAGCTTAGAGCCTACAGCTTTACAACCGAATCCTATAAACATTTCCTCTCTGTATATTATCACTTTTCAGGTGAAAACGTCGACATGGGCATTCGTTCTTGACTACTACAATGAAGACGCATGGCCTGTCAATTTCCCATGCCAAGGTTTGTCTAGAGCAATGTTGAGCAATTGAAATAATACAGGATCGGGCAAAATGACCCGGACAAGAGTTCTTCGTTGTAGCCTTGCAGCCAGTCAACTTTACCATATAATTTCCTCCGTAATCGGAATTTATTCTATCCTTAACCATTTGGGAAATTACTGAAAGAAACCCGTTGGCCGGCTTTTCTTCCAAATCACAAAGCATCGGGTAAAATTCATCCTGGCAAGGAGCCTCATTTCCCCCCTTTCAGCGCTTTTTTGGTTTCTGAAAACTCGAGAAGAAACAATATTAAGGAATATCAAGAAAAAAAATATTATTACGGCTAGAAAAGTGTGACTACTTTTTTTTTGAGGATAATTTAGAGTTTCTAGAAATGGCCTATAGGAGTTTTATGGAATGGTTGACGAATAATATTCAAACAAGTTTCTTGTCCGGGTAATTTTGCCAAACTCTGGTTATTGCTTTTGAATCATTTGCACTTAAGCAAAATTTGGATTTGAAAAGTTCATTCAGTTTTGGACGTCCGGACGTCAGTCAGTTTCTGACGTCCGGACGCCATTCATTTTTGGACGTCTGGACATCATTCAGTTTCTGACGTCCCGACGTCATTCGGTTTCCGACATCCGGACGTCAGTCAGTTTTGGACGTCGTTCAGTTTCTGGCATCCGGACGCCATTCAGTTTTGGACGTCCGGACGTCATTCAGTTTCCGACATCCGGACGTCAGTCAGTTTTGGACGTCTGGACGTCATTCAGTTTCTGATGTCCGGACGTCATTCAGTTTCTGACGTTCGGACCTCATTCGGTTTCTGACGTCCGGACCTCATTCGGTTTCTGATGTTCGGACGTCATTCAGTTTCTGACGTCTGGACATCATTCATTTTTGGACGTCCGGACGTCATTCATTTTCTGACGTCCGAAACTGAACAAAAATTTTCATTTCGTTTCGGAGGTCCTGTTCGGAATAGGACGCTTGGTCCGTTTCGGACATAACACAGACAATCAGATAAAATTCTAATCCAGGAAAATTACTAATCACGTGTTATGAAACCAATTTCAGGCTCAACCCATGGCACTGAGTACCCTTATATTCTTGGATTCCAATCGGATTACAATTTCACTCAAATCGACGACAAAGTTGCTTCGATTATGCAACAGTTTGCGATTCAGTTCATCAAAACTGGGTTCGTTTTTTGGCTATTCTGAGTTGAGCTGGCCAATCCAAATCCAAAATGTGTAACGATTGTGTAACGATTTTTGATTTCAGCAACCCATCAACTGCTTCACTTAAATGGGATCCGTTCACTTCTAGCGATTTACAATATATGAGCTTCAAGCCAGCACCTGAGATGAAAAAAGGTTGGGCTAAAGGAATGAGACTTATCAACACCAGAGCATTTAGATCTACATAAAGATGCACAGCAATTTTGGTCGACATTTATGAGGAAGTACGATTATGATTATATTACAAGGAGAAATTGGGATCGTTAGTGAATTGAGGGATTTATTTATTCGCAATAAAAGATTTTCTCAAACTGGTAAAAGAACAACACATGAAGCAAACCAGCATCCATTGTGAAGCACAATGGATGCTTTAAAAGGCTCCTTTCTAGTGGAAAGGTACATTGGTGGCTTAGTGGATAACACATTATAATGTGTCGTCGGTAGCCTAATGTCGGTAGCCTAATGCATTAGGCTACCGACTAAAGGGCCCAGGTTCGACCAATCGAACTGTCGGTCGACCCTGGTGCAGTCTTCCTTTTGCAATTGGAAATAAACCAAAGTTGTAAGCTCAAATTTCAATCGTTTGGTTCAATTTTGCTATAGAATCAAAAAATTTGATCACGTAGAAAATCTTTCATCTTTACTAAAGTAGTTTACTAAAAGTTTACTAAAGTACTAAAGTAGTTTACTAAAAGTTTACTAAAGTACTAAAGTAGTTTACTAAAAGGTGCAAAATCTCCGTTCACGTGTTTCTTCTATTAAAAATCCATGTGGGGGACCACACGAAAATGTAAAAATCAAAAAACTTTTCTGAAACTTGTTCAAATGGTATTTTTTGTATAGAGAATAAAATTTTAAGCACTTTGATATATTAAATGTGGGGTCAGACATAAAAAATGAAAAAATTAGTCAGGGAAAGATGCTGGGGCGGGTGGGGGAGGCCCGAGTAGCGAATGGAGGAGGCCCGAGAGGCGGATGGGGGAGACCCGAGAGGCGGGTGGGGTTTGGCCTTTTTGGAGGAATTACGCCTTCCCCTTGTGATCCTCGGGATCAGCATAAGTGATGAATTTTCTCGTCAGATCTTGTAATTCTGGGTTCTGGAGTACACGGTTGATTCAGATAATTTTTTCTAGAACAACAATAAAACTGCTCTAAAGTGTTTATCTACACGTTTTTTTGGTTTCAATTCCAATTATTACCTATCTTTATTTCTTTTTTTGAGCAACATATATTTTTTTGATTATGTAGGCTTTCAAAGCGTTAGCACTTTCTGATAGTTTTTCAACAGTTTTTTTGGTTTTTGGTTCCCTATTTCTCTAAATTTGGTTCCCTATCTCTCTAAATTTGGTTCCCTATCTCTCTAAATTTGGTTCCAGTTTAAATTTGAATTTAAAACAGTTTGCAAGTCGCTAAAACTAATTAGCTGCATTTGTTTAGAACTAAAACAGTTCTGTTTTTCTGTAAAAAAATCGGTAGAAAATGTTTTATTAAAAAGTTTTCGGTTAAAAACTCCGACGTTTATGATCTGGCCGTGTTGATGGAGATTTCTGCCACTTGTAAGCACTATTTGCATCGATTTCGGCACTCTTCGGCAAAACGAAAATCTGGCGGGCCTTCCAGAATTTGTTGATCTCTTCTTTCATCGATTTGTGATAACTGCTCTCCATCACATCTTCTGGTTTGCGGTGGGTCACAAAAAATCAGTTAAGCTCTGCAAAAAGACAAAAAAAAAACCAGTTTTCATGTTCCTCAGCTCTTGCAGCATCAAATCGAGAATCGGCTTCAGTTCGTAGAGCCCAATGTACACAGATCGGAAAAATTCGGTAAAGCAGAAATGGGAAATCGATTCGAATCTGAAATCTTTTTTCATTTAGTTTTATGGTTTACTGTAAAGGTTATACTGTAAAGTTTCAACATAAGAGAAAGGGATTTGAAATTTTCAGTTTTCATTAGCGATTCGTCATTCGATTGAAGCATCTTCTTACTGGAATAAGCTTCAAAAGCTAAAACAGGCTAAAATGGTAAAAGTTAATCTGTTCGAAGGCTAAACTTGTAACTTTCAGCCGAAATCTCAATGTCCGAAACCCTTTTCACCTCTACTTTAATACTTTGCTTTTCCCGAATGCTCAATTTCCAAAGCCTGCCGTAAACGGTCACCCAAATCCATTACTCTAACGAGGCAAAGGTGAAGGTAGCCTTTCAGAATGAAACCTAGTGTACCTGATAAAACTTTGTATGCTGATTCCGAATCCGGTTCTAGTTTTTCCATTGAGTCCCTGTAACGCGAGATATTTGGTATACAAAAATTGACCCCGATTCGCCTATGTCTAAAAGCGCTATAAAAACTTCGATATACCGATTCTTTTATAACGATTTTCTCGATATAAGGTTCGATTTTCTTGATATTTTGTACAAAAATTGACCCCAATTCGCCTTTTTTAAAAAATTGATCCCATTCTGACAAGTTTTTTAGTCTTTACAAAGATATTTGTAAGATTTTGAACAATTTAGAAGATTGTTATTTTATGCCAAAATAAAGCTCAAATACCTCAAAACGCAACAGGGAACAAGATCAGTGATCGGATTTGAAACCGAGGTAAAAGAATCCTTATGCTAGCACGCTATCCACTGCGCCATTCGAGCTCATATTTTAGAACGCTTTTAGACATAGGCGAATCGGGGTCAATTTTTGTATACCAAATATCTCGCGTTACAGGAAAAACACTGGAAAAGCTAGAACCGGATTCGGAATCAGGGTAAAAAGTCAGTTACACTAGGTCTTACACTAGGTCACTAGGCCATTGACAGGCCATCTTCACCTGATGCCTTTCCCTCGTAAGGTGTTAATAATCAAAATTTTAATAGTCTCAGAAGAGAAGCTAGAACATACCTGAAATCGTGGTGCCAGAACGAGTTGAGACTTTTGACATTGAGACCAATCAATAGCCCTTCTCTTTCCTCATTCTCCTCACCGCCATCATGACAGTACTGAGTATAAATCTGTTTCTCCTTTAAATAAACAAAGTAGAAGCCAATTCTTGGATCCTTTTTCAGTTCAATTTCTGCTAAAAGGTTCTCCAGTAAGTATTCCATTGTATACTTGTAGACATCAATTTCTTTCCATAGATGCATCAATCGAAAAGCTCTATCAAACAGTGAATGGACTGCAAGAAAATCTTTTTGATTAGAGGATGGACAAGTCGAAAACTTTAGTTTCAACTCTTTTAGCGGAGTTTTTTCCGGAAATTCTCCTACAGGACATTGTTGAGCACAGGCACAAGTCAATTCCAATTTAGATTTTGGAATATAATTCCAGAAATACAAATACCTCGGGAAAAGAGTTTTATCGGTAGTTTTCTCGAAAAGCTCCTCTTCAGAAGTTGGCAGAAAATTGATTGTATAATTGTTTTTGTTTTTTGATCGATTTCCAGAGAATTCTCCTGTTTGATTCGAACTTTTCAGAAATTGTTCCAAAGTTTGAACCGATTCAGGATCATTCTTCACTTCATTGACGGAATATCTTTTAACATCGTCCAATTTTTCATAGAGAGCTCTCCGAAAAGTCTCTAGATCAATAGCAATTACGTCTAAATGTCGTTCCCGTGGCGTTAAAATATTCTTTAACAAATCCTCTCTGATTTCCGTGAGATCTTTTCTGAAAGAAATGCCAAAAGATGTACACCATTCTGCTCTCGAATCTCCGATATTGAAAGTTCGGAATCGTTTTCTCCGAGTGAAATTCATTTCAGCTTCTTCAAGGTTAGTTATAGCTAATTGTAAAAGTTCTGATAGTTCAACCCAGGACAAATTCATCAGTTCACAATTCCATAAAGCATAGATACTGAATCTGTAGAGAATTTCCTGTATATTCAGATCGAGGATCAACAGCTCAGAAAGCGCTTCCAATATCGATTTCAGCTCCTCCGATTGGAATTTCTTATCCAACAGATAAATAGTGATCTTATTTCTGATCAATTGCTTCGCTTCATCATGGGCGCTGTGTTTTTCAAAAATAAATTCAATCAGTCCTTGCATTTCTTTGGCTAGAATCGCTTTTTCTTCAAAAGCATTGATTTTCATTGAGATTTCTGCTCCAATCCGATTCCTCATCTCATTTACACTATTCGAATTCACCAAAAACTTGAAAGAATCGATACAATTCAACTTTTCTTCACTTTCTGGAATCGATAACTTCACGAAATTGCTCTTTCGCTCAATTTTCGGGGTCCATTCGTGGAGAAAAGTTTGCATAAGGGGATCGAGTTTGACTATGATTTCCGGGGCATTTTCTGTGACCGCATAATTTCCCGTCCCACCAGCTACACCTCCAAAACTCAATATAGAGAAGGTGAAGTTAGTTTTTACTGTTTCTGGTTCGAATACTCCTTCAGGAAGCTCAAGGAGCTTTTTCTGGTTGCAGATTTGTGGCTCAACGAGAAACTTCCCGGGGTGTTGATGTCGAAGATCTTGGAAAACCTTTTTGAGGCTTTCCACTCTTTCCAAAGCCTCTTCGACACTGAACCGTTCTTCAATTCGAGTCGAAGGCGATGAACAACTAGAAAATTTTGCCACTTTTTGTGTATTTCATTTTCTCATACCCTAAAATTAAGTCCCCCAACTTCTTGCTTTCTGCGGTGAGGTTGTGAAGGAAAGAAATAGTCGCCCAATCCTTCGGGAGATTGCTGAAGAAAAGTTTTTTTCTATAGAAAATGCCGCTTATTACCGTCTCTCCAATAGCTCCCAAATGATTAGTCCAGCCGCGAAGAGGTCACACTTGTGGATACCCTGCATAAAAGGCACTAACTAGGGAGAGGCTACCAAAACTGACCTCAATATTCATCCTATTGCTCGATCTTGCTTCCGGAGGCATGTACGGAAAGGTGCCTTGTGGAGGAATGGCTGTTGTCGTTTCTTCATCAAATTTTTGCATTATTCCAAAATCAGCAACTTTCAGCACAAAAGTTCGCGTGAGCAGGACACTAAATTGCCTTTTTAGCTTTTATTAGTAATACAAACTTTTCCGGTTTAATATCAAAATGGACAATTCGTTTTGTTTTTAGAAAGGCAAGTGCTGTGAATAGTTCTTGTGCCCATTGAACGATCGTGGCTGCCGAGTATTTTCGATGCAGATTCGTGATCACTGAAAATAACGCTTAGAAAGACAATTTGAACAGTTAACAAGACAATTAAAGGTTGGACTGAAGCCAAAAAAATCTTAAGTTCTAGTTCTAAACCCACAACTCCTTAACGATCCCTCTTCGCAGAACTCCATGAAAATCAGCAATTTGTTGGAGATTTGCAGAAGTGTTAATTCAGTTGGTTTTGGCCGAAATTTGACGATATTTGGATGAGACAACTCCTTCAGAGCAGTCAGCTCTTCTTGTTGTTTGTCGAGGAGCCCCGAGATGATCTCGATCTCCTTCATCACAATGGGGCTGAAGTTTTAGAGGATATGCTATATGCTACTTATATGCTACCGTAAATACTGCAATAGTACCCCACCCCCATAATGACGGTGCGGAGTGTTGCTTAGTCTAGCTTTGAACGAGTTTTTCTCGACACTGGTTTATGCTACAATGCGCGCTTAGGTATCAAAAAATAGCCCTGAATTTCAGCTATTTTTTGATAGGAAAGACGCATTTTTTGAAAGTACGGGCGCTTTGAAAAAAATGAAATACTAAAAGACTTTTGCGACTACGCGACTGTACGAGGGAGGTGGGGTACTATTACAGTATTTACGGTATATGCTTATATGCTAATAACTTATATGCTAATAAAATTGTGCTTGATTTTATTTGAAAACTTCTGCTGATCTTTTCTATAAGGATTAACTGGCAGAGCATAGAAGATCAGAAGTAAAATTTCAAGAAAAGTTCTTTCCTTTTCCAGACCTTTTTTGAGCAAAACGGGGTTTTCTCTGAATGAATCAAACTAACAAAATAACAAACTTTTTTATGGATTTTGTTTGTACAACCCATTAATTATCTATATTAAGCAAAAAACCTCACGGATTAAACTCTTCTAGCAGCCAAACTTTTCCATAGGCTCCAGAACCGATGTCTTGCTTGGCAAGATCGTCCATTGCGGTAAGATTGTTACAAAATGAATATAATAACAAAATGAAATAACTATTTTTCGAATGTCTAAAGCAAAACAGAATCAAGAAACAGATTTTTAAAAAAATGATTGCAAAAGATTATTTAGGCTTCGAAAAATTGATCCGTTCCTTTTCTTGCACAATTTTAGTGCAGTAGCTAGGAAAGAGAGCTATGAGAAAGAAAGGAAAAAGCAAAACAATTCTTCTTTTTTCCAAAATGTTTAGAGATGCGATTTCTGGAAGTTTAAATTGTCTTGTTCAATTAGCAAAACTAAAGACATCTCCAGAGTAGGTCGGTTTCCTGCACAGAGAAATGGCTTTTGCCGAGCTGAGCTGTGTTTGCCAACGGTCGTTCTTGCTACGCATCTAGAAGAAAGTACAGTAAAACCTCATTAGTGAAATAAAAACTCAATAATAAACAATTTTTGAAAGTTCTAAAAGTTAAATAAGGTGACTTGATCTCGACAGCTTTGCTTTTGCTGTCAACTTTTTCAGAACTTCCTCAATAGTTTGAGAACGAGATTCAATTGTACCAGCTAACCATTCTCGTTTTTATAGGTTAGACTATCTATAACTTGAAAGCGTTCATCATTTAAACGGGAAAAAGACTGGAAACCAAAGTTTTGTCAATAATTTCAGAAGCAAAACATCGATTCAAGTTCTTTGCTTAACTGGAGTCAGTTTACACTACAAAATAAGATTTTTGAGCTTGAAATTTAGCTGTTTGAAAATTTATTAGCCTAACTTAGCACGTGTTTCATTGAGTTTTACTCTCAGTCATTAATCAACTGTGCTATTATTCATAAAATCAATATAATCAAAGAACCCGACTATTAATGAATAATTTTTTATGGAATTTACCCGTTCATTTGTGCGGAGTTGCTTACGATGAAACTCGTATACGAAATGAGCTTGGGACCGAGGTTTTACCCAAAAAATCGAAACACAAACAATTATTTAAAGTTTCGTTTCGATTCAAGTTCTTTGCTTAACTGGAGCTCAACACTACGATTTTAAGATTAAGAAATAAGATTTTAAGATCTCCAAACCAAAACTTTCTTTGATTATTTTTGTAGTTTGTCAAAGATTATTGAATCTTTTGTCGCTTTTTTTGCCTTGATCTCTCTTAAACTCAACAATTTGTCTACAACTCTCATTGTCAGTGTCATCATCAAATCAAACTCATCATCAAACATTCTCATTTGATTTTGGCTCTTTTTTTTGAGTTGGCAAGCAAAAAGGACTGTTTATTAAATTTTTCGAATTGAAATTGTTGATATTTGGGGTGAGACAACGACTGACGGGCTTTCTTTTCGTTTTCGGAAGCAAATACAGCTGACGATACTAGAAAAGAAGCTTTTTTGATAGTATTTTGTATGGTAGATTTGCAACCGAGCTTTTTTTTTGCCTTGATCTCTCTTAAACTCAACAATTTGTCTACAACTCTATTCGAATATTGGCCACAAGTTAAACTTTCAAAGAAAATTTCTTAAGTATTTGAAACTGGAGCTACCTGAGCCCGAGATGAAAGAAGAGAGCCCAAGTGAGATATGTGATTTGCCATAAAACAGCACCAATGTTATTCCCAGAGAAGAGCCAAATAAATATCCACAGTGTCGATGTGCAAATATAATTTATAATGATAAAAACAGAGCTGGTGAGCATCTGAAAAAATTAGTTTTGCTAATTTTTGAGTGCAAAACGAAAACCTGTAACGTTAACAACGATTCCGCTCGACTCGTTTGGCCGCTTTTCGTTAGCTAAATATTGGGTTGGTGAATTGAAAACTGCGGGCTATTGTCATATGTGACAGTTTGAGTACTTTCTTCAAAAGAAACCCATTTTGGTGTCAATGGAAAAGTTGTAGAGAATCAAAAATCAAGCTTATATCCAAATTTTCAGAACGATTCAAAAACTGGTTTTCAAGACATGCCAAATTTACGAATTTTCACAAAACTTGCATTTTAAGCGAAACTACTAAGTGTATCTTTTTGGAAATTTGGCTATAAGCCTAATTTTTGATTCTCTACAACTTTTCTATTGACACCAAAATGGGTTTCTTTTGAAGAAAGTGCTCAAATGCTCAAACTGGGACTCTCCAGTCCTCCATTTTTGAGTCTCACACTTCTCTCACACACAAACCAAAATCCTACTACGAAAGAGGAATCCGCAAATTGCCTGTAAAATGGGCAGAAGTCGTCAATAATAATGGAAATTATTTGGAATGAATTGATGGTTTTATGTTGAATAAATTTTAGTTCAAAGTCCCGCGGTTTTCAATTCACCAACCCAATAATTTGGTGAACCATTGCATTCGTTTTTTTAGTCTCAAAGTGTCGCAGTTTCTACTGTATCTATGTAAAAATTTTTTAGGGTAATTTTTTAGGGTAATCCATTTACCGTACTTTTAAAGCGCTTGAGTCCGATTCATTACTTGTGTTTCTACTTTTATAAGCCTTAAAAAGGAGATAAACTTAGTCGAACATCGAATTCTCGTTCTTTCCCAGTCACTCTACCTTTCGCATATTGCGAGTGGTGACAAAATCGAGGCCACAAGTCACGAAATAGGGAAACACTGTTACATAGCCCTTGATGCCCTGTATCGTTGAATCGCCATCAGCTTGATCAGAGAGTGGGAAAAGACAGAAACAGAGCTCGATCGCGAGCCGCAACAAATACGGAACGATTAGCTGAAGGATCGGCCATCTCAGGGTGTACCGGAAGTATGCACCAGAGAACGAGGTCGCCAAGAAACGGCTGGAACTTTGAACTTTGACTAAACCGTTAACGACACGTGTTTTTAAGATTTAAGCCATTCGCTCCGATTGGATACAAAAAAACGAAATTTGTCCGATCCGATTAAAGCTACTCGTGCTCCATTTCTACACCACAATTGCTTGATCGATTTCTTCATTACTCACCTTAACGAGATGAAGAATTGGCAATATTGAGCAATATCGTAGAGACCATAATCATCGACAAAGCTGAAAGGAGCCGCGGTCGCATTCTGCAGTCCAGTCGAGCACCTGGGATCGTCAACTTCATTGGAAACACCGCTTACACTGACTTGAGCGAGGAAAACTCTGGATTGCAGGGAAAAGAGATGATGTAGAGTAGAACGTAGATAAGCTTATTCCCATTCTCCGATGCGGCCAGTAGGCTAAAACTTTGACTGATGCCAGAGCTGAGATTTCTCTATTAGTCACCGAATTGGAAGTGCCAAACGATCGTTTGTTGCCGCGAAGAAGATGGCTAGAGTGGTGGTGAAAACACTCAGACTGACAACCTAAATCCTATTTTTAGAAGGCTATCTTAGAAGCTTTTTCAAATTTATTTCCAAGTCTTAGGCCAGGTTTCTACCATTGTAGCTTAACCATGGCAAAAAGCTAACCGCGAGAAAGGCGTATTCGAGGGTGATTGTAAGCTGTTCGGTCTCGTTCGCGCTCAAATCACTGTGGTTGTCAACACCAGTTTGCCAGTCTTGAAACTCCGTGTACGAATCGATGCTGACGTAGAGCGCTGGAAGAATTGCTTAATGGAGAAAAAATGAAAGTATATTTGGACATTTGAAGGTTGGCATCGAAGAAAGTCACGGGAACTAGACGTTAATTGAATTGATTAAATCTCTTAAAGTAAACGAAGAGTGTCCTTAATCTATTAGATTGGAGAGAAAGTCTTTGCCGATTTTTTGGAAGAGCATCTTAAGCTTGTCCGATTTGATCGTGTAATAGCTCATTCGAAAGCTATTTCTCTAGCGGATTGGATTAAAAAACCGTTTTTTAATCTATCAGTTTTCAAAGTTTTTGCAGGCGTTTTACTGAGGGCGTCAGACCCCAAACTTCAAAAAATGAATTTTTTTCGTTCTTTTGTACGGAAACCTAGGCTGAAACCCTGTTTTTCTAAATCAGCGTTGAAAATTACCCTAGAAAACGCAAAACTCGTTTTTTTAGCAAAATTTTTTTAAAAAACCTGCCGCGCACCGGAGTCGAACCCTCGACCCGGAATTCACCGCTTTCAGAGCTCTACGAAAGGACCGATGTAAGGTCGTTATTAAAAAAAAACATATTATTGAATTATTTTAAGACATTATTTAAGACATTACATAGCCATTGTTTATTTGGTTTCATTATTTTGTTAATGTTTGTTGAATTGAAAATTTATCTATTAAAAACGGGTTTTTTTTCTATCCAATCCGCTAGAAAATTAGCTTCCGAATTGGCTTTCAAATGAGCTATTACACGAACAAATTGGACAAGTTTAAGATCCTCTTCTAAAAAATCGGCAAACACTTCTTTCTCTCCAACCTGATACCATGAAACGCTAGAACATAAATGTTCGAACCGCACCCACCAAATAGGACAGACGAAAGGATGAGGGCAATGATCGGCTCATTGAATCGCTGCCAAAAACTCGCCGATAGAGACATCGATCACATGGAGGGCAAAGATTTGAAACAATCCAGAAAGCGTTGACCATATCAGGCAATAATCGGCCTCGCAAACGCAATTAGTCGGCCAAAATTGGAATAGAATGAAAAGGAGTAGATTAAAAAGACCGGGAAAGTCATCAAGAAAACCATTTTTTTACTCCAAAAAAGCTAGCGAACTTTGTTGGTACACCTGGGAATGCAATTTTTTTTGCTCAAAATTAACATAAACTGATTTTTTTGTGTAAATTAATATCTAGTGTTTCTTTTGCAGAGAAATCCCAAGCAATTACGTCACAAGCAAAAGCAAATTGCGTCACAAGCTAATTTTTCTTAACTACACTGCTCCACAAAATTATATGGACACTTACTTTTTTACCAATTTTATGCTCTTAAGAAACGATAGTGAAAAAAGTTGTTTTATAGTATTTTCCTTATTAGATTTGCTATTGAAGCACGTTAGATATACTACCATAGTTTGGAATATGAATGTTTAAAAATCGAATTTTGTAAAAAATGCCTTTTGGCGCTTTCCACATAATGATATGGACACTACATAAAAATTTTTATTTAGTAACAAAAAAATGATTTTAAAAAAGAACGACAACATTTAATAATCAATAGGATCTCCATTGTTTCGAATCAATTCAAAAATTCGATTATCCATGCTGGCCACAAGTTTATCGATCAGATTTTGGTCTACTTTTCTCTAGGCATCAATTATTACAGATTTCGGAGAAGGCACATCTTTATAAGCCTTGTTTCCTGCATAAATGTGACGTACCATGAATCCCCATACACTTTCTTGCACATTCAAGTCGGGAGAATTGATAGACCAGTCGAGGAGTCGAACTTGCTTCCATTATAGCCATCTTTTAGTGCTTTGGCTTGCATGTATTGGAGCATTGTCCTGGACGAAAATGTGATTTTGGCCTTGATTCCGACGCCAAAACCGAAGAAGTGATCGCCAGTCAGCTCAGTCAAAAGATAACCGATTCCCACAAGATAAATTGATATTGGGCTGAATTCACACGCTTTAGGACAAACGCCAGTTTTGTTCGGGCAGATGAAGCAATTGCTGCCCATACCATCACACCACCTCCTTTGAAGTTTCTTCGCGAAAAGCTAATCTTTTCCTTTCTTAAATCATGCCAATAACTGCGGTTTCTATCAGCCCCATCACAGTTAAATTTCTTCTCATCCGACCACACGACCTAAACATAATAATAACTTTCCATCAGCCAAGTAATCACACCCACCTTACTCCAGTCAATTCTTCTGTTTTTGTCGGCGAATTCTAGTCTTTTCTTGCAATGATCTTGCATCATAAACGGTGCTTTACGCATCGCACAATAAAATCGCTTTTCTTTAGCACTCGACGGACTGTTTCGCTTGGCACTTTGAGCTTGAGATTCGCCTTGATATCTGAGCAGGAAAGCGTAGAGTTGGATGCTTCTCCGCAAATGTGTCTCTTATCTCGCTCAGAGACGAAAGGTTTTCGAGCAGTCGACTTTTTTGTTCCGTATTGTAGAGGATCAGACAGATAGGATCCAGTTAACGTTGGTGTTCGGTTCAGAAATCGTCCTATTGCTTGATTTGAGTGTCCTTCGCGATTCATTGCCTCTATGCTTCCAGTTTCCTTTTCAGACAGCGGCGGTCCCCTTGGCATTTTTTCAGAGTACCTTAAAGAAATGATTTTTGAGTAAAAAGAGCTAAATTATTTGAAAAAAAAGAGAAAAAGGACGAAAAACAAAGTGTCCATATCATTATGTGGAAAGCGCCAAAGGGCATTTTTTACAAAATTCGATTTTTAAACATTCATATTCCAAACTATGGTAGTATATCTAACGTGCTTCAATAGCAAATCTAATAAGGAAAATACTATAAAACAACTTTTTTCACTATCGTTTCTTAAGAGCATAAAATTGGTAAAAAAGTAAGTGTCCATATAATTTTGTGGAGCAGTGTATTTCCCAGCAATCATTTAATTACATCTCTCGAATACTTCTCCACGTTTCGAACTTTTTTCTGCAATGATCTGATTCAAAATTGAATCTATTGGGTTTATTTCTCTTTTCACCTGTCGCCCTTTTGAAGCTATTTAAGACTCACAATCGTCGTCGTCTCAGCTTTAAGACTCACAATCGTCGTCGCCTCTCAGGAATCGTCTCAGCTTAAAGTTCGGAATCGACTGGAAACACAGTGCATAACATAGAATCGGCAATGGCGAACAAAATGCCACAAAAGTTAGCCGCTAATAGCCACGAAAATGCGAGGAATCTGGTATGCAAAGTCGGGATGCAAAGTCAAAAGATTCCTTTATAAGGCTTCTCTCGCTGGCGGCCAGAGATGAGTTCGTGGCCTAGGATAAAGGCCTAGCCTGCGAAACGGCGGTCCTATTTGTGCCCTCGGGTTCAATTCCGCCCACGCTCTCTTTCTCTTTCAGAAAGTAGAGAAAGTTTGACTAGGGGGGCTGACCAACATAAAAACGGTTGTCCACCTTTTTGAACCATTTTTATGTTGGTCAGCCCCCTCCCTGGACAAATTAGGCTCAGGCTTAGGCTCAGGCTTAGGCTCAGGCTTAGACTCAGGCTTAGGCTCAGGCTTAGGCTCAGGCTTAGGCTCAGGCTTAGGCTCAGGCTTAGGCTCAGGCTTAGGCTCAGGCTTAGGCAAATATGCTTTGCTATTACCAAGACATCTAAAAGCCATCGTAGAGATCTTGATTAGAGCTTTCAGAAAATACACTTATGGTCTACCTAAAAAGATTGAGAAGTTACGGCGCCGCAAAAAATGGGTCCAATTTTCCAATTTCATATTTCATTTTCCTGTACTTTCTTTTCTTTTCTTTGCCAAGAGATGAAGTTTCCTTTCCCGTATTATATTTGATAAAAATTGAAAAAAAACATTTAAAACAGTAACTTAAAATTATTTTTTTTTTTTTTTGAATATGAAATAAGTCAGTGACTACAAACTATTTCAGAATTTTACTATGATGCTTTTTAGCCACATAATTTAGAGCTAGAAGCCCATTTAAAGACTTTGCTTTTATTGAGTTTTCCATTTTTACACTGAAAATTCAAAAAAAAAAGCTGCGTTTTTTAAAAATAAAGCTTTATTTGAAAAAAACTTCCACCAGAAATACTTCCAGTTTTGTTTAGTTCATTTTCTTTTTGGGTTTATCTTTTTATCTAAAAACTGGACTATTGAAAGTTCGATTAAAGACAGTTCCCTCAAAAAACCAATCAACTTCCAATCAACAACCAATCAACCAAACCAATCAACCAGTCAGCGCCAGAAGCCAATCAACTAATGAAATCTTTGAAATTAGCCGTACGATTGGTCTCATATTTTGGCAAAAACCTTTTCAATGATAGATATATTTGCTGCAAAATTTTTAGAAAAATTGATGGTGAGGTTTTTGAGAAATTACACTTTAAAAGTTGATAAAAAAATTCTACGAACTTATCGGCCAGCCTAATAAATTTGTACAGAGAAGCTACAACCTACAGATAAGAGGTAACCGAAAAAACAGGAAAAATTTCATTTTGTACTGGAAAATTGTTTTTCTTTCAGAAAATTTTGCATTAGAAAAACGAATTTAGTCGATTAATATTTAGGTAAATTACTTTTGAAAACCGATACCACAAAATGCTGTTAAAGGGTGACGGTGACGGCACTTTAGGGCCGGTTCCCGATGAAAATCTATAATACAGTGCGTCACAATTACTCATACACACTCTGGAGGGTGTAGCTCAGTGAAAAGATAACCGATTCCCACAAAAATTTTACAGGTAAATGTGGAATGGGTCTCCTGTAGCGGTGCCCATTATCTAACCGATCGGAGCTCATAAACTTTTTAAACAAGCTCTTAAAGTTGGGAGTCGCAATTAGTCTCGCACGTGACCTAGTTTTGGGGTTTTTGAAGTGACATTGAAAGCCGATTGGGAAATTTTCGCACAAAATTTATCAGAAAGATGTTTTTCAACCTTTGATCATCGTTTACGAGAAAAATCTCACACAAAATAAACTGCTTATTTATGATTTTCGTCATGTAAATCCGGGCTGTTTAAAGGTGTTTAAAAAGTTGAGAAAGAAAAGCGTATTGAATAATCGTTTGGTAAGTTTTAGTTTTTAAAACTCATATCTGAACATTATTGATTGAAAACTAACAAAAATTTAGCTCCTCTCGATATGCAGCTCGTTTTTCAAAAACCTGAAAACGATTATCGGAGGTTGAAAAACATCTTTCTGATAAATGTGATCCGAAAATTTCTCAATTGGCTTTCAATGTCACTTCAAAAACCCCAAAGCTAGGTCGCGCGCCAGGCTAAGTGCGACTCCCAACTGAGAGCTTGTTTAAAAAAGTTTATGAGCTCCTATTGGTTTGATAAAAGATCTATCAAAATTCAATATAGGCAATAGCCTCAAATTTAATGTAACTAACATAAAATTATTGTGAAATCTGATTTTCCTATCGGGATTGCACCTTTGACCTTTGCACTTAAGTCCAACCAAAATACAGTACCGATCAAAACTATATCCCCTCGAAAAAGTGATGCTGTTTTAGCTTTAGATATAGACATCGTATACAGGGTGCGTCATTATTACTCATACACACTCTGGAGGGGGTAGCTCAGTGAAAAGATAACCGATTCCCACAAAAATTTTACAGGTAAATGTTGAATGGGTCTCCTGTAGCGGTGCCCACTATCTAACTGGTTGGAGCTGATAAACTTTTTTAAACAAGCTATCAAAGTTGAGGGACGCACTTAGCCTGGCGCGTGACCTAGTAGGCTTTTGAAAAACGAGCTGCCTACTGAGAGGAGCTAAATTTTTGTTAGTTTTCAATTATTAGGATGAACCAAAAGTTTTCTATTTTTTTTATTAAAACTTTCAGCATAAATAAAACAACAATGACGAACTCTAAGTTTCGAAATAAAGACCATTCGAATCTATGACTTGAAGCCATCTATCGGCAAATTGGTCGATCTCGCGGCGGTACCACTCCTTGTTCTTAGAGGCGAAAAACTCGCGGCACCCTTTTTCGACTTCGCCCAGATTGTTGAAGGCTCGTCCGCGAAGGAAGTGTGCCATGGAGCGGAAAAGATGATAATCGGATGGTGCAAGGTCCGGACTGTACGCTGGATGTGGAAGAGGTTCAATTGAGTCGAGATTTTTGATCTTTTCCTTGGTTTGTCTAGCGGTGTGAGATTTTGCATTTTCCTGCTGAAGGACTATGCGCTTTTGATTGACCAAAGCGGGATATTTTTCACTAGGCGGCGCATACATCCGGTCAAGCTGGGCGCAGTAGAGGTATGCGTCGATGTTCCGACCATTTGGAACCAGCTCAAAGTGAACTTCTCGGCTTCTTCTCGGCAGCTTTTGTTGATCTTTCCAAGGGCGTGAAGGTGCCGGATAACTGATGTTTGAGGAATATCCAGTTCAGCGGAGAGCCTGTAGGTGCTGGTTGATGGATTGGCTTCAGCAGCGTTGCGTAGAGCTTCAGAATCCACAATAGTTGACCCAGACGTGGCTGATCTTCGAGACCAAGTTCGCCATTCTTAAATTTTCGTTTCCAATATATTGGAGATCATTCCTTTACCTTCCACTTGGCATATTTTTTGGCCGCTTCAGTTGCATTGAACCCTTGTTTCCAATAATGGCGCAAAAGTACCCGAATTTCGAATTTTTCCATCTCTTCCCTACAAAGTAAAAGATTAAAAATAAATAGTTAAACACACGATTACTTAGTAAAATATGAAAGAGCAGATCAAATGCTACAAAATAAATATGGTACGTATATATAAATCGAATTTATTAGTTTTAAAAAATTGTACAAACTTAAAGAGAAAAAAAAATAGAAAACTTTTGGTTCACCCTAATAATAATGTTCAGATATGAATTTTAAAAACTAAAAATTAGCAAACGATTAGTCATTTTGCTTTTTCTTTCTCAACTTTTTAAACAGTTAATATATCTAATTAAAATCACTGAATTCATTTTAATCACCAGTCTTTATGGAAAAAGTCACCGCGGTGCTAGACGATTTTATTTACGGAGCTTCTAATGGCCCTAATTTTTCCCATCTCCCACTGATCGGGTTAAAAATTGGAATATAAATGTAAAAATGTTTATAGAAATGAAATTGTAACAAACTTTAAGTAATCTGATACATTTTCTTCGTAATCTGCCTTCATATAACGCGTAACACATAGTATGGGCACATATTATTATGTACTTGTTCTAAATCAAAACAGTAACCGGTCAGCTTTTGATCGACATTGTCAAGATTGCCTCACGCACTTGCCAGTGCAGTTTTTTTTGAATTCTAAAACTACAATTGTAAGTTTCAAATGATAACTGTTTTGTTCTGTTCAAAAGTTCAAATGTTCTGTTCAAATAAAATGTTCAAATGATAACTGTTCTGTTCTGTTCAAATGTTCAAATGTTCAAAAGTTCAAATGTTCTGTTCAAATAATAACTGTTTATTGTCTTTTCTAATGTCCAAATAAGTCGTGTCATTGGATCGAACATCTAAACAGAGAATCCTCGATTTTACCAAACTACTTTGTTCTAAAATCGGCCCACTAGGAAGTAAGTGGGCATTCGATTTTTGATCGACATTGCCTCAAAAAAAAGATTTCCCGGAACTTGCTAAGTTCCGACTTTTTTGGCTTCCAGCTGCGACATTCTAGAGCGATCTAGGAATTCTATCGAAAAGTGAGTGCACAATAAGCACAGCCACAGATTGGCACGTAACCTGTGATTGATCCCGGAAACAGCCATTGTTCGACCTAGCTTCAATTCAAGTCCAAACTTGATTCAAAAAAAGTGCCAGGTCGAGCGAGTCTGGGATTATTTTTTTAGTTAATTGAAAACTCTATATAAATAGGGCTTGGAATCAGAAACGACATCCGGTTTTGATCATTTCAAAATGCGCTTAGTACTACTGCTTCTTGTTGGCAAGTTTTTATTTGTATAAGTTTTTGCAACCGTTCACTTATGCAAAGTTTAACTCAGTACTTGCACAGCACTTTCAATACTATGGATAGCTCAATAACACTTCCCTAGTGAGTTCAGTACTCACTAGGGAAGTTCAACAGATCAAAATGGCCATCTGTAATGAGATCTAGCTCATCTGACGCAGTTTTTCACAGAGATTCCACAGTGTAACTGATCAAATTGACCATCTGTAATGAGATCTAGCTCCTCTGACGCAGTTTTTCATAGAGATTCCGAATCTGCTTTCAAAATCCAAAGTTTTCTGGCAAAATTTATGAGCATTTCAAGTTTAACTTTCGGGCTGCCTCTATAAAGTCCCTTTCACTCTAGAAAACAAGTGTTTTGGTGCCGTAGTGGGCAAGAGCATTGTATCAAAGTCGGCCAATAGGTAGCCCGAAACTTAAAATCCTCATAACCTTTGCCAGAAAGCTGCTTTACCGATTTTGAATGCAGATTCGGAATCTTCATGAAAAACTACGTCAAATGAGCCTACGTCAAATGAGCTAGATTTCATTACAGAAGGCCAGCTTTGCCATCTTAACCTTTGCTTGTTGCCATCTTAACCTTTGCCTGTTGCCATCTTAAACTTCCCTAAACAAGTTTACCTAGTTTATACTAACCTGTGCTAAACTAATAATGATCTGTGTAGTACTGAACTGTCTAAAAATACGATCAACAAAGTATTGTGCTTAAAAATCACCACCGTCATCATCCAGATACCAAAATTTTAGTTGATAAGTTGATTGGCGAAGTGAAAACCACAATCTGCACAACTTGTCCAGCAGGCGGTAAGTCAATCATTCTTCTAGCACTAAAATTGCCAGAATTACAAACATTTTTAATCCCAAACACTTAAACAATAAAGATTTGGTTAGTAAACTTTTTGTCACTTATGTTACGGCACTTATGTTACGCCACTTATATTACGCCACTTAGGTGTTTGGTCAATCTGGGATGATTACACAACTTGCTCGGCTTCTTGTGGTTTGAAAGGAAAAAAAGTTCAAACGAGAACTTGCCTTTCATGGAGTTATGGATGTCCTTGCGCGTAAGTGACATAATTTTTAATTTGAATTTGAATTTAGATTTAAAATCACAATTTAAAATGTTTTAGTGGAGCTACCTCTCGAGTCCGACCATGCCCAATAACCGTTTGCCCATCAGCGCCCTATTGCGATACTGGATACGGAAGAGTAAGCGTTTATTTTTATATCTTATCCGTATTTCCTTTTCTTTCTTCCTTCTTCCTTTTCTTTCTTTCTTCCCATTTCTTCTTTGGCAAAGAAGGCGCCGATAGCTCATTGGTAAAGCACTTGCCCGGTAGGCAGAAGGTAGAGAATTCAGCTTTCTCTCCTTTCCAACTCTTTTGCCATTCTCTTTATCTTTATTACAGTATTTTTAAGTATCTGAGCTCTGGCACTTATGTATGCGGAAATGTGAGCCTGCCGAGTGATTATGAGGCCCCAAGTTGCGTCTTGAACAGTTGAGTCAATGTTGATTACGCTTTGAATCAACTCCAATCAACTTTCAGCCGTTTTGGACACATGTCCATGCCCAGTAGGAGGTGTCTGGTCAGCGTGGCAAGCCGCTGGAACTTGTACGGCCACTTGTGGACTTTGTGGTATGGTTGCGCAGACGCGTACCTGCCGATCAGCCAGCTATGGCTGCCCTTGCAGGTAAGAGTTAAGATTTACATTACCATTACATTATGTAACCATTACGTGAGTAGATACTTTAAATTTCGAATCGAATCTGCCGTAATCCATAATCCAATTAAAGCTACCGCAACATCGATACTTATAGGGCAAATATCTATAAAGTTTTGATCGATTTAAAGTTTTTAGCTGAGTTTTTTAGTTGAGTAGGTAGCTAGGGCATTTTTTAAAGCACAACCGAATGAAATTCCTTTAGTGGTGATACGACTCGATCACTCCCTTGTCCAAAGAACCCATGTGCTGGCCCGGACTGCTGTGGATCGTATCCAGTGGTTTGGCTTGAAAAGTAAACCCAGTTATAGGTTTAGGTTAAAAATTTGGACACTGGGAACAATCAGTGTGGCTTGCTGCTCCCACCTTATCCTGTTTTACCGTTACCCACATGCCCGACGGTAAGATTTTAGAAGAGTTTGAAGAAATTGAAATGTTTAGACAACTACCAGCTCAACGAGCAGTAGTACAACGACTACGGGGACGGATACAACAACAACGACAACTACAACAACCACAACAACTACTACTGGCACTGATACGACAACTACAACAACCACAACAACCACAACAACTACCACTGGCACTGATACAACAACTACAACAACTACAACAACCACAACAACTACTACTGGCACTGATACAACAACTACAACAACCACAACCACAACCACAACTACAACAACTACAACAAGCAGAAGTAAGTCTCTTCTCCATAATCATGCTAGCTGTTAGTTGTTTAAAATTGAAAAATTTGTCTCCAAACTATTCTTAGCAGCTTTTTGAAGGAATCCTTTGATGGAAAGGGTGAGTTTCTCACTAAATACTCATCCAAATTTACTGAAAATTTGTATCCGAAGCATTTTTTGGGTGCGGAAACCGAAACCCTTGTTATTTTTCAAGAAAATTGACTCTAAACACTTGATTTATTCAAAATTTAAACGAAGTCCATTATAAAGTTAGCAAATGAACACAAAAACACCATAGAAGTTAACAAAAGCTATCTTTGAAAACAACAATCAATACAAAAATGAATTTTGCAGTTGTTTGAGCAACATGTAGTCACTTTCTGAGTTGAATTTGTTGCTTTGCGCCATCGTGATCTTTTCGTTAACTTGAAATAGCAACCGTGACAAACTTTTAACCGAATCTAACGAGTCTAACCGATAAAGTATACTTAATTACGAATATGAGATAGTGATAGACAAAAGCTAAAACCGGATTCGGATTCCCTACCCCAGAAAACCCATAGATACAAATTTTTGGCTTCTTAGGTCTTCTAAAAGACTCTCGCCCTATGCCAGACAACCCAAAACGGCTTTAAACCCAAGATTATGTTAAAAACAGCAGTAAACTGAGCTATTCATTGTCAGAGAATATACTGACCATGATAAAAGCCAACTAGGAAAAGATAGGATTTCTGATTGAGGGATATTTGGCATTTCATTGTAGCAAGTCTTAGTATCGATTCCAGATTGCCAATCATGCACAATAGCCGAACTCAATGCTATTAACGGGAACGGTGACGCGTTTTGGATTCAAGGATCAGTGCTGTAAGAAAATTCAGAATCCTTTTGAAGATAACAAGTTCTAGAGTTGATGGGTCCACTGGCTGTAAGATTTGTGGCTGGAGCTGCAATGCAACCACACAAGCGGTAAGACAAAAGACAAGCGGTTTTATGAAAAGTGTACTTTTAGGCTGTTCTCGAAGTGCTCGCCACTGATTTAACCACGCAAATTTTCTATGACGATACTCATTGTGGATTTGTAAGTATTCAATAAGCTTAGCTTTGAGCTAAGCTTACCCAAAGCTCTAAGAAGCTAAAAATATAATAGATCTAAAGGAGAAGCTAATCAGTTTTTTACTAGAATTATTAAAGTACAAGTATTCGACTCTGTTATCTGAAGATAACAGAGTTGAATACTTGCTTACTTACTTCAGATCGATAACGATCTCTTTGGAAGGTTCGAGTGCTCTTCGGTCGGAGTATGGCAGTTTAAGAATGTGAGTTTAAAATCAGAAACACTTTTTGGAGATAAGAATTTAGATTCTAAATTCATTAAGAATTTAGACTGGCGGAGTGTACACAGATATGGGAAAATACACGTGCAGTAAAGGCGACTGTCAGACAACAACATCGACAACAACGACGACAACTACTACAACTACGACCACCACCACTCGTTAGTATTTGAAAGTTACCAGTAGCTGTTTTTCGAGCCTTGAGCAGATGTACCTTGAGCTCTGTATCTTGAGCTCTGTACCTTGAGCTCTGTACCTTGAGCTCTGTACCTTGAGGCTAGAGGAACAAAAGTAATGCATACATTTAGTTCCCGGTTGTGCTTGCCCGACTATTGCAACGGCGGTCAATCCAGCTCCAACTGGACCGTTCACTGCACAACCGACAGGGCTCAGGTAAAGGATCTCTTTGTTCTAAAGGATTTTAAGGATCTAAAGGATTTTATGATCAATAGAGAAATTTTAGCACATGTGTCCCGTTCTCGAACACCTTTAGCTGTCAAAGTGCTGGCGTTGACCCAACCCTTTTGATCAATCAAGTGGTTTGGGATGATGTAAGTTTTAAAAGCTCTTGCTCTATAACTTTTGACTTTTGACGCATCCTGTATGTCGCATCCTGTAAAATTCAATTCAGAGTGGAAACGTGTTGAGGAATGTCTCGTTCTGCAGCCAGGACAGTGCGACAAATGCTTTGCCGCTCACATGTGACTCGATTGCAGCTCCCGGTGACTCAGTGAACTACTACAAGTATCAGGTGTGAAAAGAATTCTATTGTTTTCAATGCTTCAATGCTGAAAGGCTTTAGGGATCAATCTGGGCTTACTCTTTGTGCTTAAACATGGGCTATGCTGTGGAATGCGATCCGAACCCGACCACGACGACCACTACTACCACCACTACCACCACGACGACCACAACAACCACCACGACTACCACTACAACAACGACCACACGTGAGTTGAGCAATTCGATCAAATCTCCAGTGCACTTTGCATTGATATTTGAGTTTTATGGTAGGTAAATGAAATTTAGTTCCCGGTTGTGCTTGTCCAACTATCGCAACGACCGTCAACCCAGCACCAACTGGACCGTTCACTGCACAACCGACAGGGCTTAGCACATGCACTCCATTCTCGAACACCTTCAGCTGTCAAAGTGCTGGCGTTGATCCAACCCTTTTGATCAATCAAGTGGTTTGGGATGATGTAAGTTTAATTTGAATTCAGGTTCTCTAAAAAAAATCGTCTTTTTCCGTCTTTTTCTGCATTAATACGGAGGTGAAAGAACTTTTGACGCATCCTGTATGTCGCACCCTGTAAAATTCAATTCAGAGTGGAAACGTATTGCGGAATGTCTCGTTCTGTAGCCAGGACAGTGCGACAAATGCTTTGCCGCTCACATGCGACTCGATTGCAGCTCCCGGTGACTCAGTGAACTACTACAAGTATCAGGTGTGGAAGCAATTCTATTGTTTTCAGAAATTCTATTGTTTTTTGCCTTAGGGATCAATCTGGGCTTACTCTTTGTGCTTGAACATGGGCTATGCTGTGGAATGCGATCCGAATCCGACCACGACGACCACTACTACCACCACGACTACCACCACAACTACACGTAAGTCAAGTTTAAAGGAAAATAAAGCTAACCAGTTGGCAACTGAATCTTGCATTTAGGCAACTTTAAGCAATTTTAGTCCCTCAATGCTCTTGCCCCAATGCGGCGACTTCAGTCAACCCAGCACCCACTCAGCCATATCCAGCTATACCTACTGGTCTCAAGTTAGAACTACTCGTTTTACTTATCTACAAGAGAACGTATATTTTAGCACCTGCACTCCATTTTCAACCACTTTCCATTGTGCCGCAACTGGTGTGAATTCCACAACGCTGGTTAATCAAATATCCTGGGATGAGGTAGTTGTAAGAACTAAAAATCCCTTTTTCTGCGGCTATTGATGTGAAATTTGTGTTCTTTGTTTCAAACTTGATCCGAATATAATCGGAATCAATACAATTCGCTTCGAAATTGATTTGAAAGTGTTCAAAAAACGGAAATTTTATCTAAACAGGTTAAGTAGTAGAAAATGATTTTGAAGAAAAGGAAAATGACAAAAAAATCGCTTGATAAAGGCACAATTACAGTAATTCGTACAGTAAACGAATAAAAAGAGTCGCAAGAAGAATAGAATTAGAAGAATAGAATTAGAAGAATAGAACTAGAAGAATAGAATTAGAAGAATAGAATTAGAAGAATAGAATTAGAAGAATAGAATTAGAAGAATAGAAATAGAAGAATAGAATTAGAAGAATGGAATTAGAAGAATATAATTAGAAGAATAGAATTAGAAGAATAGAATTAGAGGAATGGAATTAGAGGAATGGAATTAGAAGAATAGAATTAGAACAATAGAATGTCATCTTTTAGTAAACGGTTTTAAAATTCGAGTTGAAACAGTAGCCTTCGCATGATCTTCGCACGATCCAACGATAGTTGAAAATTCCCCAATTCACTCTCAAACGAACTCAACTCACTATCGAATTTTAGAATGGAAACGTTCTGAGAAACGTGTCCTTCTGCAGTCAGGACATCACAACGAACACAATGCCGATCACTTGTGACTCTGTGGCAGCTCCTGGTGACTCGGCGAACTACTACAAATATCAGGTAAACGCTAGCAAGCGATGATCAATCAACAACTAGCTTCAGGGATCAATTTGGGCCTACACTCTATGCTTGAATCAAGGATACAGTGCAACTTGTGATACGCCACCTTGAGATTTTTCGATCTCCTTGTAAACAGTCTGACTTACAAGTTTGAATTAATAAATCTAATAAACTTTTAATTATCGAATCATCAAACACAATTCTGATTGCATTGGACATACGTAAAACAGTTCTCAACATGATTACAAGGCTACAAGTATGACTATTGTATGATTAAAATCAAAAAGAGAATGGTCAGAAGTGACCGTGAGATTTCGGTACCAAAATGTGGTGCAAACACAAGTCAAATACGGTGAATACGATGGCGCTTTCGGCTTTTTGCCAAAAAGCCCTAGTTGTCGAGAAAAACGCGTTGCAAGTTTGGGCATCTACACGGGAAACGGACGCGCGAGGTTAAGTCGCCACCCCCGCTTTTCATTGACGACACCCCGGTGGCCTAGTGAATAGTGAGACCAAATCTATGCCCCTTTTTGCCGCGGGTTCGAATCCTTGGACGGACGTCTTGGATTCTGGAGGCATTGCCGAGCTTAGGACTCCGACTTCGAGATTTGGACTTCGGCCCCAAAATTAGGTGCAAACACAAGTCAAATACGGTGAACACGATGGCGCTTTCGGATTTTGCCAACAAGCATTAGTTTTCGAGAAAAACGCGTTGCAAGTTTGGGCATCTACACGGGAAACGGGCGCGCGAGGTTAAGTCGCCTCCGCCGCTTTCCATTGACGACACCCCGGTGGCCTAGTGGATAGTGAGACCAAATCTATGCCCCTTTTTGCCGCGGGTTCGAATCCCCTCCGTGGCCATTCCCTTGTCAATCGAACTGTAGCAACTATTGTAACTTAAAACAGCATTAGTTCTCAAAACTTTTTTTGTGTCAAGCTTTGCAATAAGTCTATCTAGTTTCAGAAATCATTGCAAATTTTGGGAAGCTAGCTCTATTTTGACCACACTAAACTTGTCCCTAAAGTGACTCGATTCTTTTTTTGGTCACTTTCGCCCTCGAAATTTCTTCAATGTTTCGATCAATTGAAAAACGTTTTAGCCTATTTTGTAGAGGAGATTTAGAACTCTCAAATAGTTTATAACATTCATCGATATCAGTTTTATCGATATCAGGTTTCTATCGTTAGAAATTTATGAAAATGTTGAAATCCACATTTCTTATGCATGTATCTAATACTTTATGAAAAACCCCTCTTAAAATGGTCATTTGATCCTTGTGAAACCCCTTCAGAGAACAACATGAAAAGGGTAAAGAAATGGGAGAAATGATGTATCATAGGATGTATTTATTTGTTCAGCCGCTATTTTTCTTCATTTTCTTTTCTTCTTTTGAAAAAGGTGAGTATAAATTCGACTCTCTCAGGTAAAAACAAGCCCATTTACACTCAAATCTATTGATTTCTTTTTGATTACAAAGATGGTGAGTTATTTTTATGGAAAGATTTAAGCTTTATTTTTCTAAATATGTCAAATAGAAGAGTTATTTTTGTGGAGTCTGCAAAAAAGAGTTAAGCCTAGTTTCTGGCCTAGTTTCTGGCCTCGTTTCTGGCCTAGTTTCTGGCCTCGTTTCTGGCCTATTTTCTGGCCTAGTTTCTGGCCTCGTTTCTGAGCTAGTTTCTAGCCTAGTTTCTAGCCTAGTTTCTACCCTAGTTTCTGGCCTAGTTTCTAGCCTAGTTTCTACCCTAGTTTCTGGCCTAGTTTCTGGCCTCGTTTCTGGCCTGGTTTCTGGCCTGGTTTCTGGCCTGGTTTCTGGCCTAGTTTCTGGATTACTTAAATACTTTTTAAAGCCAGGCTTTGCCTCATGAAAGACCAGGGTCAGGGTTAGGGTTGAAGCCTAGTCCAGTCCCGGTTTTTAGTCTTGCTTGGCTTCGCTGACCTGATCTAGGTTCTGTCAGGACCTGGTCTGGCTTACAAGTGCTATGAACCAGTTGGGATATTCCTCGCCATTCTTGATCACAACTCTAGCCATATTTTGCTAAGCTTTTGAATCAGCTGAATGAATGCTGATGCTGATGCTGATGCTTTAAAAACAATGCATTTCAAACTTTAAAAGCAACTGCTCCTCAAGCACTGTCTAAAGATAACTTTAGCACGCGGGACACGGCGGTTATTATGTTGGTGAGAGACATGGTGAGCATAAAGGCTATGGACATCAATCCGGATGTGGAACGGGGCACTATGGTGGTCATCATGAATCAATGAATCATTGTTATTCATCTGGTCACGGCTATGCTTATGAAGGTCATTCAAATATGGGTTCGCTTTTGAGCTGTATCATGGAAGTATACAGGGTGGCCAAGAATTACCGCAACAGCAACAATAGTGGTATTATGTTATGAGCCCCATTTCAATGTCATGAGCCCCATTTCACTTTTTGCTTACCTGTTTTTATAGTTTTTGTGTATTTTTCTTAATTTATGGTATTACTAACTTTTTAGGGATCACTAACTTTCGATACATTAGTATCGTTGTTTTCAGGAATGGTGAAAGCGTCTCCACATCGATCGACATCGACAATCGATCCTTGAGCTCAAGCGGCGAGCGAGATCTCAGGCGAGCGAGATCTCAAAGCGCCTGAATGTCCCCAGAAGCCTCGTTTCTCGAACCATTCAACGTTATGAAACTCTGGGCACAGTTTCTGATTGCCCTGGAAGTGCGCCGGCTCAAGGCAAAAAAAGTGCAAGAGTTTTGTTCAGAGACCTTCCCGGACTTCATCTCGTTTTCTGAGTGACCACCCAGCTCACCCCGATCTTAACCCATTGGATTAATAAAGATATTTAAGTTAACTTTTCGAGATGGGTTGCATATTTGGCTAAAAGCCAGACGTTTTGTGTGTTTCGGTAATTCTTGGTCACCCTGTAGTCTTGAGCAAAGTGATCAGACGAGTGTTCAAGTTTGGCTAGTAATCAAGTTTGTGATGTTACAGGATATTCTTAATACTTGTATCTTTAGGTCATGGAGTTTATCCATCTTATGGAGGTCATCATCAAGCTTATGGAGGTCACACATGTCATAATTCTTATGGAGGATATTCAGGCCACCATCATCATTCATCGCGTTATCATGGTCATCATTAAAACCTTTCCAAACAACCTTGCACATATTAAATAAGATTTTAAATACAAACGCACAATTCTAAAACAAATCCATATTTGAAAGTTCTTCATAATCATAGCCGTGACCAGATGAATAACAATGATTCATTGATTGATGATGATCACCACTATTCCCCGTTCCCCGTCCGGATTGATGCTCATAGCCTCTATGCTCACCATGTCTCTCACCAACATAATAACCGCGTGCTAAGGTTATCTTTAAACAGTGCTTGAGGAGCAGTTGCTTTTAAAGTCACCATGATTCCCCGTTCCCCATCCGGATTGATGCCTATAGCATATCTCCCGTGTTCACCCCCAAGTGACCACCGCAAATCAATCAAAAAACACGTTTTCTTACAAATCAAAAATCCGGCTGCTAGCAAATGTTTTTGAATGTTTACTGATCTCAAAACAAAAAAAATTGAAGATTCGCCTATCCAAAAAAAAAGTTATTGCAATTTGCTATTGTTGTTCCCAATGTTGAATGAGGAATTAGCACTAAAAATTTACGAAATTTGCGAATTTGGAAACTTATAGATTTATAATGGGAAAGTGTATTAAAAGTTCCCATCTCGAGTCGATCTCGGCTGAGGCTCGAGTCGGCTCGGCTCGGCCTCGGATCGAGCTCGGATTAGTGAGCCGGCTCGGATGGGATTTCGCCCATGTCTAATCACTACCGTCATACTTCCCCAAAATCTGCACGTAATATATGATTGGCTGTGATTTACAAATTTTGTGAATTCATTGCGCTAGGATCACGCATCGTCAGCGACTCCTGGAAAGGTTAGTCTAGGAAGGAATTAGCACTAAAAATTTACGAAATTTGCGTTGGAAACTTATAAATTTATAATTGGTGTTCAATCCGTTCATTGACGATCACCTCGTCCACTTCCTCATCGCCCACTTTCTTCTTCGGTCTACTCCGAGGCCGTGACCCAACATTGGTTCTTTTCTCGCGAATTGTGCAACGACGACCGACTACTATAGCCAGGGAATTTGAGAAATCGTGAGGATTTTGGAAATTTCATCAAAATTGGAGAATTTCGGGAAGCAGATTAGAGATTTGTGGATGAAAAATTGTAGCCAAATCAAAATTTCCCCTCACCTTCAGACACCATCCCAGCATTCAAGCATTTCTGGTGGACATTTGGGTTCTGGTGGACACGTTTCTAATGCATTTCTGGTGGACATTTGGGCTCTGGTGGACACGCGAGACATTTGGGTGATTCTGAAACATTTTTTTGCATTTCCCACTGAGTAAAACTAAATCTTGAGTATGCAAGTCATAAAATGAACATTCAGCTTCGTAAGACTATGTAAAAGCATTGAAAGTTCCCACCGCATTGATCTCCGTTTGCGCAAGTCGATGTCTCTTTGCCCGAAGTCTCAATTCTCATGAAGAAATTTTTGGAACTACTAGAAAAAAGACAAAACTCAAGACAAAAATCATTATGGACTTAAAGAGCCTGAGCCTGAGCTTTTTCTCTCACTCACAAGCCATCGAACAATAAACATTGTAGGCTGGAGTGTTCCCACAAACAACACAACGTTTTATGGTTGGGTTCTTCGATGACCCGATGGATTCTTGGGCGTTCGCTTTTTTAAGCCGCCATTTAGAAAGCCGCATTTAGAAAACCGCATTTAGAAAGCCGCATTTAGAAAACCGCATTTAGAAAACCGCATTTAGAAAACCGCATTTAGAAGTTCCTGTGAGATTTGAGTGATATTTAGTGAGATGGCTAAAGAATGAAAAGAATGGTAGACGAGGAATTTAAAACAAAAGAATTAAACGACCAAATTGACCAAGGAAGTTTTAAGTTAAGTGAAAGTGGAGGGAAAGTGATCACATTCGAAAAATACATGGCAACAAATCTCGTTGCTCTTCTTGAACTTTGAATTTGGCGACGATTAGACGAGATTTTCCTGTTTATCTTTTTCAGAAACAGCTATGA